AAAAAAAAAAAAAAAAAGGGAGAGAGTTACAGGCTTAGGATTGACATAAGTCTCTCTAGCTATGTCGGAAGAATGCTCTCAGCATGTTAAGAACTCCATAGAGTTGCTAGGTATACTATAAAAAGATAAGGTCATTGATGAGGCATTTTATACATTAGGAGAAGTGTCTGTCGACGAACGCAGACAACCTATACAGATATAGAGACGTGAGCCAGCTTCAGGTGAGCACTTACACCTTCTATTTAATACTGAAGCAAATATTGGAAGCCTACTTGTCTTCACTATATATGAAAGGCGTTGTGGCGTAATGTTACGTGGACAAAGGAGGCAAGAAAATAATGGGGAAGATTTACGACTGATGAAAACAGCCAGGATAACAGGAATAATATGGTGCTCTTAACAGATTTGTTCAGAATCTAGAGAGTAAGATAATATGGGCCTGTAATGAGAGACATGTCACAACTAAACATGTACACTTGGAGCTTCGGAGTGTCGATGACATCCTGAAGAGTGCACCAATGCTTCCTTATGACGGAGAGCAGGCTGTACGGTAGCAGATAGCAATTCCACACGGCAATGTGGAAATCAGTCAACAGGTAAGCCGAACCATGGCCTCAATTAGTCACGGCAACGCTTCGGCTTCAGCTGAGGCCAATGCTTAGTAGTCATCGCCACGACTGATCACTTCCTTTCCACCATTGTGGAGCAGGATGGTCTATAAATTGTTAGGCTTCAGCTGATAAACCTGGCGGAAAGCTCTTACGTGTTCAAACTGGGCCGTGTATGAGCCCTTCACATCGACCAATGGCTCGTAATATTCGACGATGCCGTTATCGATCAAATGTCTCATCTGCATACTGAGTCAGCGTAAGTTTATCTTCTAATCTTCTACTTGCTCACCCCGAGATGGTATTTTTCCACACCGAGACGCTCAAGATACCGACGGCAGAAGACAAGGCTTCCAAAATTAGCGTCGATAGTCTTAAGAAGATTCTTGGCAGAGGAAAGACGCAGGTTTGCACCGGAGACATCGGTGTTCCTTCCGTAGCCATAGACTCCCACCTGAGGAGCATTAGCCTTGCTAAACGTATTGGACAAACAGAGACCTACATCATCATGGAGAACTCCCCTGCCGGTACTTCCAAATGTTTCGATGGCGAAGACTTCACCTTCCTCCATCTTGTCCGGCCTGTCGTTCTTAATGAACGGGACTTGTTTACCACCATGAATATTATACCGAAGGATATCATGCCCGGTAATATTCCGGATGGCTTTCACAGGGTGGGTCTTTCCGGCGATTTCGACCTCGTAGCTTTCCATGACTTCCTGGATCGCTGCGCCGATTTCACTCACTCTGGCATCAATGCCAGCATGCTACAAACGTTAGCTGTGGTTAGAGGTGGTCATTAGAAGGCAGAAATACCATGATGCCAGTATTAGTCGCCTCCTTCACAGCTGTCAGAAGGTTGTCGTATGTGTGGTCAAAAGCCACAGTGAAAGCTGAGTCCACAATACGGCCATTGACATGGACGCCAAAATCGACTTTGAGCACATCACTTTTATCTAAAAAGACATCCTTGGCACCCGGGTTCGGCGTCCAATGGGCTGCAACATTGTTCAAGCACAACCCAGTGGGAAATCCCATTCCCGCCTTGAAACCGTCTCCGGGTTCAAGACCCTGGTGGCCGGACAAAGCGCGGACCCCGTCCTCAATACCCTCAGCAATTGTAGTGAGACTTGCGCCAGGTTTGATGAGCTCATTCTGGGCATACTGGCGAACCTGACGATGGATCTCGGCGGCTTGACGGTACTCGTCGAGAAAGCCCTTATCCCAAAGACGTGAATTGTAACGCAATTCCTCGTCCGTAGTGCGAGAGGTGTTATCATCCTGGTAAGGGACGCACTCCCCAATGGGATATCCAGACGGGAAGAGGGACGAAACCAGCACACGGGGAGGGTTCGACTGCTTGAGTGGCAGGGTTCCTTTTTTGGTCTTCTTCTTGGACCTCTTGCGTTTCTTTTTCTTATCTATACGAATTATATTATCAGGAATGCAGATCATGGAATGCTTTGTGGAGTGTAATCTGAACGTACCAGTACTGTCAGCGGAGGTCTTCACCCCCGCTTCTTCGTTCGCTTCACCGTCATCGTCATCATCATCGTCGAGATTTCCGCCGTCCAGATCGGCCGACTGGGAGCCATTGCGGGCGGGCTTGGGGTTGGGATTGGCAGGCTTGAGCTCGGAGGAATTGGAGGCTAAGTGACGCAGACAGGTCAGAACGGAGCTTCTGAAGCTTCGCGGGTGTCATACCATCAGGAGTCTGCCGGTGGCCTTCGGGGCTTTTCGATCCCATGTTGCAATTTCAAGGCGCGATACTGACATTAACCGTGACGCGATAATTCCGATCAGGTTGTGGAAAGAAAGAACGAAGAAAGAAGATGCTGACATTCGAGTTCTTGTCTAGACTCAAGTCATCCCCGCTCTCCTTTAGGCTTAGCTCCGGCCCCACTCGCCGCAAATCCAACCACGGGACTACCCTCGGATTAGCTATTAGTCCGGGGAATGGAGCCCTAGGCCATCCGTCCAGATTCTCTGTCAGTATCATTGATCAGACCGGAATTATGCTGAATTTTCTCGCTGCATAATGAGGTTCAAGTATAATATAGTGTATGCCTAGGTATATGCAACCGGATGTCGGATCCTACCTTCCAGCCAATGGGCTTCTCAACCACAAAAGCGGAGTTTAACCGCGCCGGACGTCCGCCGGAGGTGGCACAGCACACCATACTAGTAGACCTCAACAAAGTACTTTCTCTTCCGACTATGATCCGTAATGTTAGCACCACTTTAAGCGTCAAAAGAATACTAGTTCTTACGACCTCTCCGGTGTTCCGAACTCGGCGTCTGCTGGGTCGTTTACCTGTCATCGAGGCAACCCAACATGGGCAGGGAGTATATCTAGGAACAACGTGCGGGGAAGGCCTCAAATTTACTACTGCTAGTACTATCCGGCTATATTTAATGGGTAACCCTCAACGAATTTCACAGTTGTAAGGATAAAATTCTCAATAGTGAGTCGGTACTACACAAACCTGCTGCAGCAACTATCTCACTACCATGTCCTCCAAGTTTGTCGCGAAACGGAGATGTCTGGGTGACGGGTGTGACAATGAATGTAGCACACTGCAATGTCCCACCTGCCTCAAATTAGAGATCAGAGGAAGCTTTTTCTGCTCTCAGGAATGCTTCCAGCGTAGCTGGGTGAGTACGCAATATACATACCCATCCCACCCAAAAATCTAACAACGACCAAGAAAATACATAAAGCTATCCACAGAGCAAAGCGTAAGCCATCAGCATTATCTGTGTCATCCACCTCCTACTGAGAAACATCAGAGACCATTCTGTACAACCCCTTCCCATCATTCAAATTCACCGGCTCGCTCCGACCCGTCTACCCACTCTCCGAGCGTCGCACAGTCCCCACCACCATCCAACATCCAGATTACTGGCAAGATGGCATTCCACAAAGCGCACAATCCTTCTATGATCGGAGAGCCAAATTCACCGTCCTTGATAAGGCAGGTCAGGATGCCATGCGAAAGGTCTGCAGACTCGCTCGCGAAGTCCTGGACATTGCAGCAGCCGCCATCAAACCTGGGGTGACAACGGATTATATCGATGAGATTGTGCACAAGGCGTGTATAGAGCGTGATGTATGCCTAACATACCCCCATTCCTTAGATATTTACCATATCCGTAATAAGATACTGATGAGGTTTAAATATAGTCCTACCCCTCCCCACTCAACTACAACTTCTTTCCCAAATCCGTCTGCACCTCCCTCAACGAAGTTATCTGCCACGGTATCCCCGACCAGCGCATCCTCGTCGACGGCGACATTCTAAACATTGACGTCACGCTCTACCATGGCGGATACCACGGCGACCTAAACGAGACGTACTACGTTGGGGAGAAAGCGAAAGCGGATCCCGATTCCGTGCGGGTTGTCGAAACAGCCCGAGAGTGTCTGGACATGGCGATTGAGCTTGTCAAGCCTGGGGCATTGTTCCGGACTTATGGGGACGTGATTGAAGCGCATGCGCGGAAGAGAGACTGCAGTGTGATTCGGTCGTTCTGTGGACACGGCATTAACACGGTGTTTCATTGTTTGCCCAGCGTGCCACATTATGCTGGGAATAAGGCCGTCGGGGCAGCGAAAGAGGGTATGTGCTTTACTATCGAGCCGATGGTAGCGCTGGGGACGTATAGGGATATGATCTGGCCAGATAATTGGACGGCGGTGACGATGGATGGGAAGAGGACGGCGCAGTTTGGTGGGTCTACCATTATACCAAGGATACAACAGTTTTGTGTACTGACATTTTAGCAGAACATACCCTCCTAGTGACGGCGGATGGAGTCGAAATTCTAACTGCCAGATTACCAAACTCTCCAGGCGGACCGGTTCCATACCGCGTCGCAGAGTGATAATCAACGACCTGATATCTTCTATAGTATATGGAATCCATAGATAACAATACATAAACTCCCAACTCAAATACCAAACCAAACCAAGTCCCCCTCTCTCGAGTGCTAGGTATCCAATGCGACCCTCGCCTCCGTCCCCCAACTATCCTCCAAAACCACCCCAATACAATGCTTAATATGCTCCTCGTGATCAAAGCTAGGCTCAACAATCACCCCCTCCATTTCCCTAACCCGGAACATCTTCCTCCAGTAAAACAAACAATGCACGACATGCCAATCCCTCGTCATCTGCACCCTAGCAGACTGGTTATCTGCCAGCGCAGCAACCTCCTCAATGGCCATGGGTACCGTGTGATAATCGTCTGCGTAGTACGTCCAACTCCCGTCGGGATTGGGACCAGCGCGCTCAAACTCCGCGGTGAGCTCGTCGTCGCGACAGTGCGGTGGAAGCCAGGCTGCGGCTAGGGAGTCGAATTTGCAGCCTAAAGTGAGGGCTTCGGTGGTGGAGTTGCCGCAGTGGCAGGTTTTTGGGGTGGGAAGGTGAGTAGTGGTGATGGAGAGGATGAGGGTTTGTGTGAGGTTGATGAGGCCCCAGATGGCGAGGAAAGTGATGAGGGTATTTCGAATGAGGAGCGGTTTGGAGGTTGAGAGGAGGAGGGCTTTTATGTGATTGAAGAGATGGGAGGGGTGGTATTTGGGATATGGGCTGTTGGTGTTGGTTGTGTTAGGCTGTAGGAGAGCCTCGTCTTCGTCGCCTGCCTCTTTGGGGGTTGCGAGCTCAGGGTCGGAGGAGTTGTTGGTCACTCTGCATACAATTTCGTAAGTCTCAATGTGATGTGCATTTTGTGATGAGAAGCTTTTACCGTTCGTACTCGAAGCCCATGGTGGCTAATGGATCGCCCGGAATGTGTGGTACAAAGTGATGTAGGATGTAGGGCGCTTCCAGAGGCTCCTAAAATAAGTAACTGCGGCACAGCACATACAACGCCAATTAAAGAGACCTTCTCAAGGTAATATGAAGCTATTTCGCTACTAGTCTCAATATGGGCTGATACCATACTCCGAGAATCGGATAACCACAATCGTATCCAGACCAACCCCATCCACCAATCAACCCAAACAACACCACTCACATCTCCCAACTAACCAACGCTTCCTACCCCAAAAGCAATGTGACATCCCACTTTCAATCACCTCCGAAACCTCTTCCGAAGTAGCAATCAGCCTAACGAGCAGCTATCACACTCAGCCCCGACAGCCCCACCAGACTAGCATATTAAATGAGGGGTTCGAACCAGCCCGGCGCAGTCTGGCCTCCCTCTACCACTTTATCGACCTGCCTATTTAATAAACATGCATGTTCCCCTCTCGTGTGGCTGCATGCGTTCCTGTTCAGGTATATGCGCGTTCCGCATTAGTACATATGCGTTTACTATCTATGGCACGTGTGTGGTCTATTCGCAGGCAAACACAGTGCCCTAAGCCACTTCGGGCTGATTGCCTCATGATGGAGGCTGTTGTTTCTGGGCAGAATTTCCTCTTTTGTAGGAAGGGTGGAGGGGATTCGCAATGTTAGACGTGGTTGGACCTACTGTTGCGCTTTCGGAGCTACGGAGGAGATTCCGAGTGTAATGGCGTTATATGTAGAGATTTGGATTCATTGGACGACAGGGGTAGTGGATTAAGATAGGGGGGACTCATAAGCAAGCGGTATCGCTCAGCCTCCTTCGTACTTAGTACCTTCGATAACTCTCAACACAGGGAAGTTTCACACTTTTATTTTGGTACTACTATCGTTGCCAACTTGAAATCCAACCATGAAGCTCTCGGCAATCTTCCTCCAGGCAAGCGCCCTTCTCATCGCTGCCACTTTAGCCAGTCCCCTCCCGGCTCCCGATGATGGATCTATCCGAATCCCCGTCAAGGGCGCCCCAGCTGAACGTGACGACGGCTCCATTCGCATCCCTGTGAAGGGTGCTCCTGCTGAACGGGACGACGGCGTAAGCAGGATTCCGGTCAAGGGCGCCCCAGAGAAAGAATCCGACGGTGTCATCCGGATCCCTGTCAAGGGCGCTCCAGCTAGGCGTGAGGACGGCTCGATCAGAATTCCGGTCAAGGGCGCACCAAACAAGCCCGCTCAGTCATAGTGGCGGGCTGTCAGATGTGTTGCATCATGTACAATGCATAATATGGAATGTAAGTAATTCAGATATCGGTGAAAAGTGGCTATGAACAAGGCTTATATTGACAATCAAAACGCTCAGTCCAAATATGTTTCCCCAAGAACTCCAGACTCCGAAAACGTGCAATTTGGCCCATAGTATTACCAGGAAGAACTTGCAATTGGCGGTGGTCAAGAAATGGGAAGTCGGGGATTGAAATGAACTAGATATGAAGATGGGTCATTAGAAAACTATTATGCACAATTCCATAAACGATGTTTGCTCACCATGCATAGTTGTAAGCAACACATTAAGGACCCCTCTGCGTAATCAAGCCGTACAGCTCGTGGTTCTTTGCCTTGTCAGCCGCACGCTTGACCAAAATCCCTTCAAGTATGTGAGACGCCTTCTCCGAAGTCTCAGTGGCTTCCGTAAGCATCTTATTTGCTCTTGGCTTCTTCCCAATCAAATCAGCAAGACGGGCTAGCAGCCGACGAAGGTCTCTGAAGTGGATGTTGGCTAAAGTGTGGACAAGCTCCCTACACACAGCCTCAATTTGTATTTGGTACCTTCCTATAAAGACGCTAGCCTCCTGCTCGAGATCTGCTGGGTCGTCTGGCAAGGTCCTCTGAGGCTTATCCTGGAGCGAGAGAAGTAGGTCGCAAAGGTCACTCGACCTTATGGCAAGCTGTTGAATTAAAGCCATTAAGATCATTGAGTTTGTAGCACAGATATCGCAATTTGCGCAGTCAAGTACGCGAGTACATGTATCAACACCGGTGTGCAAAGACATGAGCAGGTAATCAAGACGTTCACTGTGGTCGATAGTACTCCTTTGGTCGTTGTCACCTCCAACCTTCTCCAGCGTGTCGGCAAGGGACTGAATGCACTTGCAAGGTTGGCCCTGATGCTCAAATGGGCCTTGTGAAGTGACAGGCGTATGAGGGTTCCGAACAAAGACACTAAGACCGCTTTCACTCGAATGTGATGCAGCTGGCGACACCAAATGGGAGGGCCTCAGATGTGCCTCTGAGATCAAAGGCGCCGTTGGGTAACAGGGCATATTATCGTCTAGGGTTAAGTTCAACCCTGGGTGTTCCGTTGTGTTCATGTTGCAGAATTGACCCCAGTCCTGATATGAATTGATGAAGACTGGCTCGGGCGCCACGAGTGGTGACTGTATTCTGGGGCTGGGTCCAACTGGCGACGGACAATGTATACGCAGTGCTCCAACGCCATTTGTCCTCCGCCGCTTTATGGGAGGTGCCGGAAGATCTGATGCGGGATGTTTCAAGCTCAAAGGCGTGGAGGATGTGGGCGTAGGGGTGCGATATGTGCAATCGGTAGATGACTCTTGGCATCTTTCGCATCCATACAGATCACCATTGCATTTGAGCTTCACAACTGTTAGTCCAGCAATATACCCACGGTCTGATTGCTGGCTGACTGACCTTTTGAGCTCGGCACGGTTCACATGCCTGATGGCCACATGTTAGCATCGCCAATGTCGCCCATATGATAACGAATAGATCACTTACCAGTACAGCAGAATTCCGAGAATCCATACCGACCTTTCTCGATAAATCAATGAATTCCAGATTCTTAGATGTACTGTTGTTGCAACGAAATGCACCGAACATTACGTGGATGATCTTTCCTATACCTGCGAAAGCACTGGTTGGAAGCTGGTTGTAGATCTTATGTTCCGAAAACAAAGGAGATGCTCATTCCAGAATTGAGCTTGAGGTAGAGAATATGTTGATGAAGGGCGAGCCATCCTCCCTTAAATGCCGTCAATGACGCGATAGTACTGATGCTCTCTCATGCTGCCAGATGGTGTGAAGTAGGGCAAGCCTAGAACGACAAATCGTCCTGGGGATGATACCGCGCCTTGATTCCCGCCTGCGAGTTAACTGTGCCGCATACCCTAGCTACGCTAACCGCTAAAAACTAGGAGCCGCTACTGCAGCTAAGAGCGACCCTCAGAACACCGTCGATAAATTCGACCATTCTGATTGATGGCCTTATGCATGGTGACTCAGTTTAGCCGCCGCGATCCCTGTAGCAGCTGGTTGGGGGCGTTCGGGCGTTACGCTCATTTGCGTTATCTCGCTACATTGACGGCATCACATTCCTCCGATCGTGTGAGTGGGGTATCACACAGCAACACTTGGCTCAGCCGTCCGAAGATCCTTTCTTGCCAATCAAGCTCTGTAAATTCCGGGAGGTTGCTGTTGAATGCGGCCCGGAGGCTAATGCACTGTATCCGTTCCACACACCACGTTGAATTTGACGAGATCCTGCCGGGCGGCGCTTATGCTTCGCCCTTCGGCTACCCAAACCTGTTGGCGTCTGAATTGGTGGAGTGATTTAGAGCCAGAATAGACGCCAAATGTGACAATGGTGACTAGAATTTGTGGCCACCGGCTCATCCATACGGTAATCAGTGGATGCTGCTTGGCTAAATTCGCCTTCCAATATGTCTCTTCTATGAACCGAGAACGTTCACACCTGTGATTGTAGGTCACATTGAACTAGGCGCGCGTAATGGAGGCCCCTATTGGAATTCAGCCCCGACGCTTCGTCCCCTCCTCAATTGCATGCACTCGCAAAGCTAATGCGGGGTTGCTTTCGCTATCCATCCTGATGGACCTCTGGATGATCAAATGCGGTCTTTTCTTCGTTGGACCAGATAGGGCGAGAATCCTGCTATAGCCTGGAATTCCCACCCAACCCAGTTGCCTCCGATACAATTTGCGCGCTCAACATTGGTTCGATGTTACCTCTCACTACTCAGGCCGGCTTTCAGGTAGGTTGGAGGTGCCCCTGGGATCATCGCTGAGATTTTGAAGGGTATGGGTATCTTGTAGATCAGAATTTTTCAGCGACATTGAATGAGTCAAGGCTTGCAGATACAAGGAGATCACATTCTACTCAGCTAGAGTCGTTTTAATTACCGGTTGATAACAGACAGCGCTTAGTATTCTGCCCGTGACATTGAGCCACTAAGACCCAGGTTGCTTTCCCATCCGAGGAAGGTGCATGCAATGATTTCTGGAGTCGGAAAATGTGGACACAATGATTGGTGTGTTGTCGTTAGTTCGACGCGTTCTGCGCGCGACAGTTGATAATGGGAAAGGGGGGCGCTGAAGCTATATTGTAGGACAGACAAGCAAACAGCGCGACTCTCTATCACCTGACCAGTATGAATCTTACGCCCCTACTCGATAAATGTGCAGTAATCGTACTTTACACTCAACGATTACACCATTGTAGTAAACTTTCAAATAGTGCCTGTAATGGAATGATAGTAAAGGCTTCTATTTCGACACTCTGGTTATTGCACAAGCTGCTGGGTAAGCCTCCCATATTTTCACAGACAGGCACTTCTGCATAGATATAATCTAAGGGACAGTACTGGAACTGATCGGGAGATGGGAAAGAAGCATTCCATTGTTTCCCCCTGTTTCTCTCGGCGTAGCTCAGCACGCCTTCAGTGGCTCTCTCTTGCTTTCAATACTCCCTGATGCGTCATCACCGTTCTCAATACCTTTAGCTACCCTCTTCACATTCTTCCACTCCATAGCAAGTGTCGGGAACAGGGCCAGACAAGACATAGCTAACGCTAGAATGAATGTCTTCATGAAGGCGTCGCTGTACGCTTTCAGAACCACTGCCAGCTTTGCAGGAGGCACCAACTTTCGTATGGTAGTCGCGCCACTTGCAATCACCCATGTTGCATAGATGCCTTCAATGTCGTCTAGGTTTGAGGTAAGGAAATTCGTGAAAAGATTCTGCGCGACCGCTAGAAAGACAGCGCCATTCAATTGTTGCGAAAACATTAGAAGCGATGCACCGACCGGAATGTCGACAGGATCTAGGCACGTCTGCACAGCGACATTCGCTTGTTGGACACCAAGGCCCAGACCAAAGCCGAAGATAATCTGATACCCAATCCATTGCGGATGGTCGGTGTCCGGTTGAAATGTACTTAGTAAACCAGCTCCAACAGACATGAAAACAACGCCTGCAAACATGAAGGGGTTGTAGTAACCCAGAAGGCTGACGAGTGAGCCAGAACCGATGGAGCCTACCACCATCGCGAGTACAAGAGGAAGATTCATAATACCCGATTTTTCGGCATCGACATTCTTGATGGCTTGGAACCAGATGGGAAGGTAGTAAAGCATGACCATAGTGCTTGCACTAGTGCACATAGTGAACACAATTCCTGCAAGGACTGAGCGCTGTTTAAAGATGCGAGGGGGAACCATTGCTTTCTCTTGGAGGCGGTACTCTGCAAATGCAAAGATAGAGAACAAAGTCCCGAACATAATAAAGAGAAAGATAATGCGCCAATTTCCCCAGCTGTACGTGGTCCCGCCCCATTGGAGTGCAAGAAGGAGACAGGTCACAGCAGGGGCCATAAGAAGATTTCCGACGGGGTCGAGCTGATTAAACTTCTCTCTGAGACTCCAGTCCCCTTTCTCAGGTGGTGGAACGTCTAGCAGAAAGAATATGGCGACAACCGCAAGTCCTCCTAGGGGCAAGTTAATGTAGAAGCACCACCTCCAGCTGACCTCTGTTGTAAAAACTCCACCAAGAATTGGGCCCAAAACAGATGATATGCCGATTATTGCACCAACAGCTCCTTGAAACACAGGCCTCAAGCGGAGGGGCACAGTAAGGGCGATGATGATGACAGCCCCGGAGTATATGCCTGCTGTCCCGAGGCCTGCGATCGCGCGGCCCAGGATGAGCGTGAAGGAGGAGGGCGCAGCACCGCAAATAGCGGAACCGACCTCGAAAATAAAGATGGAGAGAAGGAAAACCCATTTGATCGGATAGAAAGTGTAGATGCGACCGTATGTAAGCTGAGACGCAGACGCCGCTAACATATAGGAGCTTCCATACCAGCCAATATCGCCAATACTATGAAAGTTATCAGTGATTTTCGGAGTTGCCGTAGCCACAATCAAGCGGTCCTGCACAAGCCCGTAATCAGAGTCAGTCCTTGAAGAGAGATAGACCGGTAATCTTCCATAGCATACCAAAGAGACGAGAAAAACGGCAATATATAAAGCGAGAGCGACGAGGATGGTTTTGGCAAGTGGGGGATATGTCGGTGAACCAACTGTTCCTGTCTGATGCTGCACATCTATACCACTACTCGAAGTAGAGCCAGAAAGGACCTCCTCCACAACAGTCTCCTTCTCACAGACTGCCTGAGTGCAGTCTTGGTTTGTTGATAAAGCAGACATTGAAACTGACTAGCTGATATTGGAGATGAGAGATGCACACAAGGTCCCGAATAAGCAGCTGAGGAGACGATATGTGAACTGGATGTTCTAAGAGAAGTTGGGGTCTCACAATGTGCTACGAGCAGAGTAGGAACGAGAATGGGTCGCATCCGGAGAGTGATGAATCCGAGGTTGTAAAGGCAGAAGATATACTATGAAAGCGCTTTGGGTAGTGACCTTTGTGTTCCTTCACAGGGATCGACACGATGCATGATGTTGTTATTGCAACACAGCATACGCGGTCTCCCATATTATGCCTCAGGGACCAGTCACGTCAAAATTCCACTTACTGATCTTCTTTGAGAATTTACAATAGTATTAAATGAGCTATAAAATACTCCCTGTGTAAAAGGCTTCGCGCGCTGATGCCTAGATTGTAGTCTTTCACATCGCTGAAAGCCGGATTCTCTCGTCATGATCGCCCGTGGACAGTATTTTCCAAAGCAGTTAGGCAGTTAGTAGACTCTCAAGTTTTAGACATCAGACTCAACATTTTTTGTTCTCCTTTAGCCTCTACAATCTCCGAAAAATATTCCTGATAGCACGAACGCGCAAAGGTGATGGTGTATGTCGACCTTGCTGATGAGAGCCTCTGCGACGGGGAGAAGGTTCTCCTGCAGCCGACTGTCCATGATCCGCAACCTGCAGAAATGCTCCCATGACCATTTCAGTAGGATCACGTGAATTAGTATGCACCATTCAAACGCTTGGGATTGTGGACTTATGGAGGGATGTCTAGACTCCGGAGGCGCACCCGAGGCCCCTGACATTGCAAATGTTATTCCGCCGGAAGGTTCCGAGGACAACCCGGATATGCGGCACTGATATTCGGATGAATCCCGGGATAATTAGTATCATATTCAGAACTTATACATGCACAAAGAGCCGAGATAAACCATGCCCCGGCTTACTTTGACACTCAGGCTTTCTTGACGTACCTGAAATTCAGGCGACAGATGATCCAATCTCGATTTCATGTTCCTAGTCGAACCAAAACAATTGGTTTAGTTTGCAGACCAAGACCGCTCTAGTCATATGGTCTCGCGAAAGAGCCAACAAACAAGTCACTCCATGTTCTTTGTTAGATACTGCTCCTGGCTGTCAGTGGGATTAGTTATGCAGAGAAATAATGTGGTTTTGTGAAGGGAAGGGCGCTGGTTGTGTCCGAAGTACTGCCCGAATGGTAATCTACAAAGCATGCTGTATCCAAACCGGTGGTAAGATGGACGGCAAGGAGAAGATGCAGCTCGCGCCTAAAAGGCTATTTGGGCATAACGCTTCCCAAATGATTGGAAAGATTCCTTGTCACGAACGCGTCTCCCGCTAAGTGCAATATTGGTCTAGTTTTGAATAGAACTATACTTTTGTGTGACCCCATGAAGCAGCTAGACACCCTTCACGTGAGCCCCTTGCCTCTGTTGTGGTGAAAATTTACTTCAAAACTGACTAGGGTGTTATTCCAGCCAATATAATCATCCTAACAACAGGCTTCAAAGCTAACCAGTTTCTCTCTTACATGGAGGTCATCGGCCGCGGTGGCAAGAGTGTCACCCAACACTGGAATCAATATGGGGGGCCTGGGGCGTATAATACTTCCGTTATGAATGGCTTGCCCAATTTCTTTATGTTGATGGGACCAAATTCGGCAACCGGACATACGTCTGCGTTGATGGCGGTAGAGAAGTAGATCTCCCCTATTATAGCCAAGTGCCCTGTCTGGAAATAGCTAATGCAAAATCACTCAACAGCTCCGTCAACTATGCCCTTCGTATCTTGAAGCCTGTATTGCAAGGTCGTGTTTTGGCCGTGGAGATCAAAGAAGAGGCGGAGCAAACTTAGGTTCACGAGGTTCAGAAGGCATTGGCCAAGCGAGTCTGGAATGCACGATGCGCATCAGTAAGCCTTCTCCTCTTGAGAAACTTGATAGACAGGGCTTATTCGATATCTAGTGGTATATCAACGAGAAGAAGTGGGATTCCATGGCTTATCCTTGGAGCCAGGCTCACTTTTGGTGGCGCAGTTTGTTTCCCACGTGGTCGGACTGGAACCTCAAGGTCAGTACATGACCTAGATGAATTACCCATGCTCGTTTACTAACTGTCTCAGCAGACAGCGAAGTCTCCCAAACACAATGGATTTTGGGTACAGATATTTCTCCTCCCCTTGCTTGGCTGTGCTCTGCAGGGTGCTCTCGAATATCAGACCCCAAGGATGAGGAAGCATTTTTGGCAGTGATAAATGGTTGTTTGTCTGAATTGTGCTTGAAGAAGCCCAGAAGTTGTTTCAAGGTGACTGTTGTCAACGTAGCCAGATTGTTGCAAGGAAACAGCGGAGGTGGAATCATCCATCTGAGCGAGCCTAGTATCGACCCGGTAGTATCCACTAATTTAATTTTTCTGCCGTGCATATTAGTGCGGCTTAAGCTTACTTGAATCTCCTTTTCATGCTTGTTGTTTGGTTATCCTATCACGTTTTAACTACCGAAACACGGTGTGTGCTCAAGGGCTATAGGTTTCTGGTAGCATACTATGTACTGTAATGAATGTATGAATTTATGTACGAAACTGTTTCTCATTGTGTGAACTCTCAAGAAACTGCTGACGTATCGCTCAGTGACGAGAAAGAAGTTTCTGGGCATTTGCATAGTAGATACGGTCCCTCAATTCTTGATCCAGTGGGTATTCGTCCAAAGCCTCCTTGAACCCAGCAATTTTATTGTTGTTAGCGTAAGGAAAGTCGGAACCTGCAGATGTCAGCATCAAGTCGCACTATTGTATCTAATGGGTCTTCTGGGGAAATGGTTGACTTACCGTATACAATGTGATCATGAGGCACGAGGCTCAGCAGAAGAGTCAGCACTGCCGGCGAGCTGGAAAGAGCGAGGTCAAAGTAAAATGATTTGAAGTCTTCGACCATCTCGTTTGGGCCACGCTCATAGGGTTTGTACTCCATTTCAGGGTCTTTGGTGACGGTGGTTAGGCGGGAGATCAGGTAGGGAAGGGTGCCACCGGCGTGAGAAAGGATAATCTTGCAGTCCGGAAAGGCCGCTTTTGTTCCCGTAGTGAGAAGGTCCACAGCAGTACGGGTGGTTTCATGAGGATAATCAATAGCCGGTTGAGGTAATTGGGGGTTGACGCGATTGGTATCAACCGGATGAGTCGGGTGAATGAACACAACGGCTTTGCGACGGTTGAGATCCTCCCAGATGGGGCGAAAGTCCGGATGACCCAGGTAGTGATTTCCGGTGCCGTATCTAGTGAAAAGAGTGACACCCTCGGCTTTGAGTATGTCTAGACTATACCGAATCTCTTTCAATGCGCCCTCAGTGTCTAGCAGACATGGCAATGCCGCGAAGAATCCGAATCTCTCGGGTTGCTCATCCCTCAAGTGAGCCGCATATTCGTTTGCCTGTCGGGCCAAGTTGCGTCGGCTGCTGTCGTCCGGGGCGATGACAGCTCCGGGAGCTGTTAGAGACAAGATCGCTTTCTGTGTGCCATTCTTGTTCATAGAAGCCAATGATGCTTCAGCGCTCCATTTGGGAGTGGACCAGCCAGAGGGGTCACCTCCCGCATTTTCAACCGCTATTTATATGAAAACCATTGAATCAGTATGGATGAGGATCAGATATCGTCCGAGCGAACGCGGTTCAGACGTACCTTCGGCATAGAACTGCGGCACAAAGTGATGATGGGTATCAATCTTCGACATTGTTTCTAACGACAGACGAGGCTCAGAAAGTGTTTTCCATGTAAGGGCACGAGAAGATAACTGAAGGAAGCTCGTGATATAATGTACAGGATATAAATAATCCAAGCTCAGCCACTGCGCCCCCTCATCGGGTGCAACCCGAGCAGAAGGTTTACCAGGTTTGCCGAGATATCCGGCCAGCTGTTGGGACTCGACCAGAATTACTCGCTGCTTCGCAGTGGGAACAAGGAGACATGGTAAGAAGTTGGAGTAATGAAACCTCCACAGCTCTTAAGCATGGCGTATCCTAGTAGATTATTGGTCTCTGAGAAGAGCAGCGTATTGTCTCAGCGTGGAGTATCTTCGGATCGTTCCGGAGCCCCTCCACAATCAGCTGACCGGTGCCACAACGGCCAGTTAGCTGGATCCTGAATAACATCGAAATGCAATTACCTGGACCCAACAGATTGAGCTCTTCGATTTAGCCTCAGGTAGGGACAAGATGCCCCCCAAATCTAGCGGCGTTGCCAAGCAACGTACCTCGCGTCGGAAGATTGCATTGGCGTGCGATCCATGCCGGGAGAAAAAGATCCGCTGTGATGGCGGCAAACCGATCTGTGGGTCATGCGACCGAAAGTCCTGGGGCATTGCCCAATGCTCCTACAGCATGGATAACCCCAGGACCGCTAGTCAGGATGAGTGAGTCCTTCCTCACAGTGTAACCAGCGTTTTCGCTGACCGCACAGGTACATCCGGGTCCTACGGTCGCGGATCAATGAACTCGAGGATTTATGTCTTCGTGCCGGAGTGTCAGCACCGGAAATACGCAGGGACTCACCACACCAGAAAGACTCTCCTGCACATGAAACTCTACAGCTGGATCGGAATTGGAATGGGCAGTCGAGGTCTTCAAGGGTCACCCAAGGTAGCCCAGTGCCTCAGGAGAGTAACAACACTCTCCACGATGAGCGGCATGCAGATGGACAGAGTCTTGATACTTCAGGAACAGTCCCAAGTGATCATCAGGCCAAGAATTCTCTTTCCCATCCCGAAGCAGAAGAGGCATCTCAAAGGATGTCCAACCACCCTCGGAACAATCCGAACCGTGGGGAGCAAATGTACGTCTCATCTCAAACAAGATCCGCATCTCCCCACTTGGACACCCCTGGCCGTGTCACGGCAATGGGCCAAATCGCGACGCCAGATGATACCTTGGCATCTCCAGCTCCACTTCGGGAATATTATGGATCTTCCTCCATTGCATCACTGATGAGATCTGCACGGATGTCTGTCCCGTTGCGATCTTCGCGCTCGGCCAAAGGTAGTCCTAATAGCTCAATGGATTACCAGTATCACGAGTCCCCTAACACACAGTACCGGATCAGTGACTTCACACTTCCACCCCGCTCACTAGCAGATCACCTCTTAAAATGCTTTTGGGACCGTGTAGCCTGTATCTACCCTTTCTTCGATCGGCCCAGCTTCGAGAAAGCGTATGATAACCTGTGGAGATCGGAAAGAGAGGGGATGAACAAGCTACCGGACATGCATATCGGCCTTGGAGGGAAGGCGGACTCGTCTCCCAAGTCTATCGTGTTTTATTGTGCTCTAAATGTGATGTTTGCGCTTGGTTGCCAATTTTCGGACCTTCCGCTGCAGGAGCGAGAGGCAACAGCCCACTCCTTCTTCCTACGCTGCAAACGCTTCGTAGGCCTCGATCTCCTTGAGACCCATACAGTCGGAGTAGTTCAGACTCTCCTTATTGTCGCGCTCTACTTGCAGAGTAGCCCGTATCCCAGTAGGTGCTGGAATGCCATTGGGATAGCATGCCGTCTCGCACAAGGCCTGGGCTTACATGAGACCAATAACGTGTCCTCGATGACGGTGCTGGAGACAGAAGTACGCCGGAGGACATGGCATGGCTGTGTGATGCTAGATGTGTAAGTACTTCACTGCCGATGGCTTTCTCCAACCTAACTGACTTCTACCTAGGTTCGTGAGCATGACACACGGTCGGCCAAGCATGACCAGCCATCTGGCCCCGATTCCGTTGCCTTATGCCACAGGCGAAGATGTCCCTCTGACCACAGGGTTTTACGTGGCAACGATCAAGCTCTATCGAATTCTTGATAGAATTCTCTCAGACGTGTATAACATGTGGCGAGGCCGGTTGAATGAGGAATCGAAAAGGTCGACACGATGGTCCGAAGGCAACTTCGATTCGCTCCTAGAACTGGAACGGCAGCTACAGTATTTTAGAAGCAATCTTCCACCATATCTGAGCTGGAGCGCTTCTAGTCGTCCAGAGTGCACCCCTGACGAATCGGATATTCTAGAGCGCCAGCGAAACATCCTTCGTTCACGGTAAGCAATATCGTCCCAGTCCAATGTCCGAGCATCACATGTACTTAATGTCTTAGGTACTACCACCTCCGGCTACTTCTCTATCGGCCCATTTTTACTCAGGTGTGCTCAGATTGTACTTCGCCTCGGCACTCACTTGATTCCCGGAAAGACGTATACCCGGCCTGGAAGGATGCGGAGAGCACCCTACAATCCTGCATAGTAGATAAATGTGCAGCTAAGTGTGTTTTCACCGCAACTGAGCTTATCCACTTGATCTATGAGACATACTCGACACCATATACTGATGCTTGGTGGTATAATGGCTTTTGTAAGTTGGTCATTTATTTCTCCCTTTCTTCTGTTGTCGTCCTAGGTTGCTTTTTTCTACTCAAACCTGTGTCTGAGCATGTCACAGTAGCAGCTGAAGAATTAGACTGACGATCAGAAACAGATACATCAACATGTGCCCTTGTTCTCATAATGGCCCACTCGGTGCCCTCACTATCCCACTCGATCAATTTTGCCAGAGTACAAGAAGCCTGGGAGAAATGTGAGGAAATCCTCGCACACATGGCTACATTCAGTCAATCAGCACGGACATCGCTTCGCTTCTTACAGGCAGCATTCAGTCAGAATATCCATGGCCGTCCGTCATCTAGGCCTAGTTCTAATGTGGGAGTAAATCCGGATCGAAATCTCACAGACGAAGCCAGCGCACACTACCCTGTCCCCGATGGCCCAACAAATCCTTCATTCTTTCAAGATACCCCTGGACTGGACTCATCGTATTGGACAGATTCCGGTATCGGCCCCAGCACGTTTGAGGATGACCTCGGTCTTCTGTCCTGGATTGATGTTCCAGATATGTGGCAATGGCTTCGGGCTGAGTCATAACCTGTCGAGAGGTGAGTGTGATCGATGATGCCAAGTTCCTCTGGAGGACAACAAGAAGGCCATGTAAACATAGAAATATGTAACGCAATCATATTCTCATGTGCCGCTAGCCTCTCTACTGTAGCTATATCTTGGGTAAGCAACTTGTCAGACAACTAGGCAGTGTCAACCAACAGTATTAAGCCATGAATCAACACAGCCCCTAGACTTTACAACCGGTTCCGGTATCTCTTTCTCATCAACCTCCCCGCCACCAAACTCACTCATATTGTTTTCCCATATTTCCTTAAGCCATTCCTCCTGGTAAATGCTCTCCGAGGGCAAGCCTTCCCCACCGAAAAAGTACCATAAGAATACCTGCCCCGACGCCTCTCTGGAAGCTTCCTGGTCTATCTGGGTTCGTCTAAAATCCCTACGTGTCTTTAACTGCATATTATCGAAACGACCCTCAGATACAGCTGGCGTTACTTGTTCCGAGAACCCGCGGTCCTGCATTGTAGTGCCGTCCGGCAAGTACCACTCCCAATGATCATACTTATATTCATGTCGGGGGCAGTCCACGTGTGCCGTGACATAGAGTGCACAGTCCTTTGTGAGAGATGCTCCGCAAGGCGCCCAAGGCACTCTAGGCCCATGTTGATAGCCTTCGTTGTCCTCATCAGTTGAAGGATAATGTGTCAACCGCCAGACATCTTCTCTCAAGATGTAATTCCGGTCTTCGCAAGTGTACGGGCCTGATCCTGCAAAGTCCAGGAAGCGCTGTGGGCATCCAGTCCAGGGAAAGGCGACCGCGTCAACAGGTGGTCGGCCTTCTCTTACTCTGTGGAGTATTTGTGGGCCGAGCCCGCTTGCAACAGCTCCCATCCAGAAAGCACTGAAACATGGCTGGCGGATTGCACCGATAAAAGCAAGAACTTCTAGTTCATTCTCTGGCAGAGCACCTAGACCCTCATTGATGATGGGATGTAGCCATGGGCTGACAAGGTTACAGGGGACATCGTGCTCCCAGAATGCTCCACAGAAAGTTGACATCATTACTTCCGGGCTGCAGCTCAGAGTCATGTAGTAGGGCAAGTCTTCCTTCAATTTCACCCATTCAGTATCCATGGGTATGTCAATTGATATTGCACCACTCGCTCGGGGAAGAGGCAGTTTGGCAGATTGCTTATAATACTTATGCGTCGGGATTATCAGAGCCATCGTAAGAGCAATGAGGAATTGGCTTTGCAATCCATACAGACGTGCGAATTCAACAAGTGCCTCAAACGCGCTCCCTGAGGATAAGGGCATCAGGTCATGGTTTGATGAGGGGGCGCCCTTATATGTAATCGAGAATTGCGTTTTGCAGGTACGGGAAACCGATCACGGTGCCAGAAAATCCCCTTGGGGCGTTTGTTTCACTGTAGCTTTCCATCCATTCAGTGCGAGTAATGCGGACCACCAGCGAGCTACGTTCTCCTCCACTTCCCCAATATCGACGATGTGGACTTGTGAGACATTAGGTAAGCTTTCATTGCTGTACCCTGTCTGAAAACTGGTGTACTGCATAGAAGAATCCCCACCTCGCATCTCAACGAGCTGTGCAGATAGGACATAGCACCATCCAAGAGCGAGGATCCCCAGGTAATTGGGTCCGTTCGAATGTTCTTCGCTCGTGTCGCTGCTCAATGAACTGAATGCGCCCTCGGTGAAGCTGAAAGTCGTAGCAGCAGCAGTGCCGACTTGTATCAAGGTAGGGTGTGATGTCTGCTTCTTGAGTTTCCCGCAATCCTGGTCTCCAGACAGTGTCCAGATAGAAGAAGCTTCACAGCAAAGACTGAGTATAGGAGTCATTCCATATGGGCGAATGTGAAGCCGTTCAGACCGGGCTTGAAGTTTCGGGGTTCTATGTAGAGCGAAGCGAGGATTTGTGAACTCAGGAATCAAACCTGTGTCCCGCAGCTGAAAGGCCAAGTTCGCGATTTGATACCAGTATTGCCGAATTTTCTCGAGCGCATCTTGGATTTGTTGCTCTTCCAGTTGGAGAACATTGTTATCGCGAAGCATCTAGTACTAGGGTGTTAGCACGGTCGGTCTATCATATCACTCTTTACTGACCAAGGAAAGCTGCGGTGGCCGTATTGAACGGTCACCCTTTTCATTTACTGTATCCTGCATGAGTATGTCACGATGTCAGTATGATGGATGATGCGGAGGAAAGAGAAAGGGGCGAACAAAGGGAGACACGCGGTTCATATGCACGGATGCCACCGCCCTGGCATTATGGCTTACAATACTGCTTCATCCACGCAGAAGTCCATTATATCAAATATAACAAGACTATACCGCCATTATACTGCAGTGTTCCCATCAGAATGGTGCAAAAGCTGCATAAGAGCAGACACCGCAAATCGGAAAGTGCGCTAATCAGAGAGGGCAATCAGTTTCAGTAAAAGGGGACTTGGTGACTGCTGGGATCAACAAACTCAATATCCAATGCTGTGCAAACTGAAACATCTGCACTGTGCACTGCCACAGCTCGCTACTGACAGGCGAAATTCGCCCCGACACGGATATTATTATGCTTTTAAAGTATGGCAGACAGCTAGACTTCACGCGGAGCACCTACAGCCACGACATCTTCTGGGAATTTCTATATGCTCTCGTGGCAATGGGGACATAAAGAAGCCAAATTGTCCATCTATATACTAGTTCCAAAGCACTTTCCATTCGGAAACCCAGCAAGCATTCAAGCACAGCCCATACAGAAGGAAGTATCTCACTCCAAGGACCCCTCCCCCTCACACCTCTTCAAGGGGTACCCATCCCCCAAGCAAGTGGTGACCACCCCCTTAACCCACTCCAACTTACCCTCGCCATACGTATAACTCGTATCCTCATAGCTGTCTGCCTGGTAATACTCAAACGTGCCTCCATTTCCCGGCTCCCCATTGAACACATACCCACGGCTCCGATGCGTCAGAGGATTACTCACAATGGCGCCCCATTTGCCCTTCGGGATCGTCATCGTCACAGTGCCCGTGATCGTACTCGTCGTGGTGTGCTGGTAGCTGATACTTGTGGTGAGTGAAAGGAAGTCCTCGATGAGGGTGACGTCGGACGAGACGCCGGTGGTGACGCTGTTGGCGATCATTTGGCCGGATTGGATGGCGAGGGTGACGGGGGCTTCATTGGCGTGCGTGATGGTGGACATGGCGATGTCCCAGCCGAGGAAGGTTTGCGGATCGAGAGGGATTATGAGGTTCGTGGAGGAGCTGCGTTTGGCGGTGTTGTTGCTGTCGCGGTTGGAGGTGCTGGTGATGAAGGGTGGTGTTGAGTCGGTGGATGGGAGGAAGCTGAGGTTTGGAATTTGGGCCTTAAGGTCGGCTTTCTTAATGGTCTTGGTGGTGTTATTGCTTAGGAGGATTATTGCTTCGTCGGGACCACAGATGGTGGTGGATGCAGGTGCAGCGTAAGAAATAGTTGCAGAGAGCAGGGTGACGAGGAGTGGGAGCTTCATGGTGTGCGGTTGTTGGGTCGGGTTCTTCTTGTGCTGTAGAACTGAGCGGACTGATCGGGTTGGTCTTACATATTTTGTCGCGAAAGGCTTGAATTTATATATCCCCAGGCGTCTTAAGAGCACCTTCTATTACTCCTTCCAATCCTCAACAACAACTACTACTACTACTACTACTACTACTACTACATATCCCATCTTCGCCAAGAATTGTAACCATCGCCAAGATCACAACATACAACATCGATCAACGACATCCAAAACCGTTCCGCAGATCCCCCGGAATCCCCGAGGAACCCCCGAAGAAACAGAAGATCGACAGTCATAGTCGCACAAGACTAATTATGCAGACATAATCGACCGAATCGAGTAATCCATACGATCCGCTCCTGAATCGTAGCCCTAACCAAGACGACCGGTTGTCAATCTCAGCGACGGATCGAGCCGCTATCTATCCAGTCATGGCCCTAAGTGGGCCCACCCGTTTCACGCCCCAAAACCTTAATAGATGAGGTTGTCTCCCGTTGCTCCATTCGATCTTTTCAGGGGGTTGTGCCATGTGCGTTCCGCCCGTTGAGACAGGAAGAACTTGAGGATCGGCTACTTGGCGCAGGATGAGACATACAGGGCGATCTACGCTCGGCCGATGTTCAGGTGATCGATTTTGAGAGTTGATAGTATTATAGCTGCTCATGGAGCTTGAATTTGAGGTATATGTTGTCTGAGCATGTCTCTCTTGAGGTTATTGTGATCTTCGACGTCGGTCTTGGGTTGCTCGAAGGATTGTATGTCGGTGAGAACTATATTGTTGATTTGATGATGGTGATATCATGGCGGAGGATATTCGGAACTACTTTTCCTTGGACTTGGTAGTAGAGCCTGAATAGAGTGATAACTCGAAGACTGCTGGGAGACTTGAGTTGAGACATCATATATTGCGGGATTTCCTGAGCCGTAGTCAGTCAATTTCGATAAGAACATATTAAGGACTGTCTTGAACCACTCTTCGACAACATACACTACTCAGTCTTCACAATTCACAAGCACAATGAAGCAATTTGCAGTCCTCATCGCAGTCCTCGCTACTGGGTACACATTACCTCCCAATTTCCAGCTACCACTCAAGCACTAACATGTTGTAGTGCGCTAGCGGACCTCCATTACACAGGTCTCTGCTACGACTCCCCTGGTAAGGACGTGGTAAGTTAACTCCATGGTCACAATTCTCAAAGATACTTGTTAACCAGACAAAACTTGACAGAAAGTCTTCAACAAGGCAGCAACAGAAAAAGCCTGCGCGTCCTACAAGAACCGCAACACAGGCAGCAAACAATGGGACCAATGCCCGGATTGCACAGTGCTGAGTGACAAAGACCTTCTGTACTATTGCAAGTCCGAGGGTCAACACATAGGAGGAGACGAGCTGTCGTATTACTGTGGCCAGGCAGGTGCAGATGGAAGTTTGGCGTGGTGATGTTAGGAGACCATAGAGATCAGGCAGCTCTTCAACCTCCTGGGCATCAATTATCTATCAGATAGCATAACAACTAAGAAACCTAATCACCTGTATCCACTGTTCAGCTGTCATTCGTGCATAGTGGATTCCCAGTACTTTTGTTCATAAGTAATCGGAACCTGGCCGCGATCGCCCCTCATAGTACCAATAAAAGCTAAGACATCAGGCTAAATCATTCTCACCCACCTAATCAGATCCTTCGGCTTCTTGCTATTCTGCACACTGAAACCTCTAATCTAACCAGGTTTCCCATCCTTCGGCACCTATAGCGTGCAGTCTAGATTCGGCCGCCGAAGTTCTCCCATGCCCAGCACGAATAGATGAATTTCTCATCGGCCGGGTCAAGTTACGCATAGCCCTCCTGCAGATCAGTGCGGTACGCTCATGACTCGCACACTAAATCATTAGCCGGTGCTTCTCGTTGGGTACCTTCCCTATCATTTCTCAAGCTAGAGCAGGGGGCTGAATAACTAACCTATTTCCAGCTACCGGTTCTGAGGAATCTCGGTTGCGAACGGACGGAATCCTTCCGACCAGGAAAGTTCACATGTGTATCTATCCCCTGCTTATTTGAACTCTGCTTTATATGTCTGGGATCCATATGAGAGGGGACGAAAAAAACTTTGTTCCTGTTTTTGTTGTCGGATAATGTTTGTGTGCCGCTGCTATGAGCGCCACCAGCACCGCTGCCTTGACGGGGACTGGCACGGGCGTTATCCCTGCACCCGAAGGCGTGACGCCTGATTTAAAGGATCCTGAAAGGCATTATTATACTGCAAATCTAGTTGTGGTTATTGTGGGTGTTACAGTCAGTACATTATGTCTCCTGGTGAGAGTATATACGCGGGTGGTTATTGTGCGGAAGTGGCTGCTTGATGATGGTGAGTGCAGCCGATCTATCTTGTATTATTGATGCAAATATACTATCCTCGAATACTTGCAGTCGCATGCATTGCTAACACAAGTCCTCATATGTAGCCGTCATCATTCTATCATGGGTCAGTAACTCACCCTCTCAACAGCACCAACAAAAAAACTGATCGTGATACATCCCTAGATTTTCGCAGCAATAACCCAAGCCCTACTCCTATGTACGCACCACCTACCTCCATCTCAACCTAATCCAGCTCAATCCTAACGCAATCACCCAAATCCACAGACGGCTACACCCACGCCGGCTTAGGTGTTCATGAATGGGACCTCACCAGAGCCGTGTACAACCAAACCCTCCGAGTACACTCCCCATTCCCATCCCGACCTCTACCACAACACCATCTAACAACAATTTCAAAACAAATAGGTCCTCCTCCTCGGCTCATTAATGTACATCCCCGCCCTCGGCCTTTCCAAAATATCTCTCATCATCCTCTATTACCGCCTCTCCGACATGCAACGCAAATGGCGCATAACCCTATGGGGCATGACCGCCTTCGTCGTCGCCTACATGATCATCCTCGAATGTCTCTTTCTGTTCACCTGCGATCCGGTATATAAAGCCTGGCACCCTGGTGCAGAGGGACACTGTTGGAGTCGAGCCCCGATATTTATGGCGGGCGTGGTGGCAAGTATGTTTATTGACTTGGTGTTGCTGGTCATGCCGCTGCCTATTGTTGTGAGGTTGCAAATGGCGTCCAGGAAGAGGATTGGGTTGGTCTGTATGTTTGGGTTGGGAGGGCTGTATGTGTTTCATTCTTCACCTTCGGGGTGTATGTTTTATGGGTTATGGCTAACAGTTGGCGGCGGTGTTTAGGTCACTCGTTACGAGTACAATGCGGCTGGCGGCGACGGTGCCGATGTTGACGCAGGAAGACCAGACGTATTTGCTGGGTGGGGTGGCACTTTGGATGTATGTGATCGTTTATCCTCCTTCTTTTATTCTTACACCTGATTGATTGTTGCTGACTCGGTTTGCTGCTTTGGTAGTAATGTCGAGGCGAGCCTGGTCATCATCACAGCCTGCGTACCCTCGTTCCGACAGGTCTTGAGGTTCCATTCTTTTGGATCATGGAATGATAGTGGTGGAAGAATTGATCGAATGTCTAGCACTTGCAATCTGCGCAGTGTGCAGCGGAGGCAGGAAGGGTTCACGAATATAAGCAATGATCTCGAGATGGACCAGAGTGGCTCGGCTGGACATGACTCAGTCGGGACACGAATATAAGAAGAACTATACAGGTGCATTGGGTGGACTCTTGTGGGTTTGGAGTGTAGGATTAGATTTCTGTTTTTTCTTGTTCATATATAAAAGCACTACTAACAAGCACATAATTTTGTCTCAATCCCTAACCAGCATGTCGCTGAAAGCCTACATGAGTTGTCAAGACGGAGGGTCAAAAATATATGGATTTGATCTATCTGATCTCAAGAGAGTGGTTGGTTGTTGGAAGAGGTGGTGGTCAGAGACCACGCAGGAAGAAAAGGCGAAGGATCAGCTGACAGCTGCCTGGCTGCAGTGAATGTCTCAACATGAGTTACAACAACGCTACGAGCTTTTTGTATACGCCTAGCATATGGGCTGTTGTTCGGTTGTGAGTCAGTTAACCGCCCTCTCCATCACATATGAGACTATATGCCTAACTCTGGCTTATGCTCTGTGTTGGGACACATATCTCCATCGCCTAGCTAGCCAAGCGCGGTTTATCGTTTTTGGTCTAGCGGTTAGTGCTTCGACACTCTGTGTTTACAGAGTCAGAGTGCATGTGCAGTCTCCTTGTAGCTGGGTCCTGCCAGCTGCGAACTCGGAAATCATATCCTTCTCCGTCACGAGTGCATCCAATGTGTATGAAGTTTAGTGTAGATACCTGGGTACTAATGAAAGAAGGGCAATTCAACCTTCTGTCTGTAATGCAGATCGTAAAATGGTATAAGTTCAGTTGTGTTTCCACCTACTCTAATAATGATAGACTGTTCTCGACGATAGGAAGGAAAAGAATAAGAAAAGTAGAAAATTAAGAAGTACTTGCCATAGTGACAATCTACCAAGCAAGGAGGGCTACGTAGAACAACTAACGAAATAGCACCCACGGTGACATGGCGCATGCAGTTATGGAATCTGTCCAAGATATAGTTGTATTATTTGACTAAAAAACCGGGCCAATTGTAGATGCCATTTGCAACGACAACTGTCTTAACGCTCAGACCGGCTAACTGATGCCACCGCCAAACTAACTTGGACAGAATTGCTTGCCACTGTCCACCAACAAGCACTCACAGAAATTAAGTATGCGATTGCTTGGGTTGAAGGAAAGGATGTTCCGCCAGTTCGCCTGCCGTTTCCCTCTTATTTGGGTGCCAAATAAGCATTTTACTGACGAGGTCCAAGAAATTTTCTCTCTCCTCTACCTCGAGAAAGGAAACTGCGTCGCCTAATGTTCGGTTGGGAATCAAGTCCTCGTGAAGAAAGCGACCTGAAAGGAATTAGTGATCTGAAAGTCCTCGGGGTAGAGAGTCACATAGTACCGTTAGTGTCAAAAAATGGCCCATCGAAGTACTCCTCCGCGGTCTCACATAGTCTGTCGTCTTCTCGTCTAACAGGTTCCGGCCACGGGTATTCTCGCATGTATTGATACCGTTGCATGATCTCTGGAGGGGGTGGACCGAGTAAGGCCACCATCTCAGCCATGTGTAGTTTAGCAACGTAGCGACCTTGTTTATTATGGATATGCTGGAATAGCTCTTTGCCTTCAGTCAAATCCCATAGCTTGTCCCAAGTTAGTCTATGCAACAACTTTGGAGAACAAAGGAACGTACTAGAACACCAAGGTTCCAGATATCTGCAGGCATTTGCCATCCGATACCCAATATCACCTCTGGTGCCCGATAGTGGTCTGGCTGAATAGGCCAGACGCCCCAGTCGTCGTCTTCCTCAAGTTTAGTTGCGAGGCCAAAGTCAACCAGCTGCGGAATACTCCTCAGGCTTTTGAGTGGCCCGAAGTCGTTACGGGACTGATATACTGGCCGTCCTGTCGAATCTATCTTGAAAGCCATTGGCTTCTCAACTTGCGTTTCCATAAACTCGGCAAGCACTGTTGGATCCTCGAATGAGAGCATGATGTTGTCAAGCTTTAGGTCTAGGCAGTTGCCAGTGTTCATCGCCATAAGCTGAAACTAAGAGTGAAGATGGATTTACCTGTATGAACGGTCCTGCAACTCTTATGAAGATAATCAAGACCCGTAAGAAGCGCACGAATATATGTCTTGACAAGAGGCAGTGGCAACTTTTTGTGATCAAAGCGCTGCTGGTACATCGATAATGACTCCCTCATCGGTGGATACACAAGACACGAATGAGTACCTTCTGCGCCCTCAACTTCAAAAGAGTCTAATAAGGTCCGCATAAGCAAACGACCCCGATGTGATGGATCTGCCGTGGAGATGTGGTCCTCAACCTCACGCTCATTAGCAGCGAGGCTTGCATTATTATTTGCTATCTTCAGTGTCACTATGCTCTCTGGCTCATCGATATGTCTGTAGGCTTGTTAGAGACGGAAACAGAGTCTGGAAGGGGATCATCGATTACTCTTCCAAATCACGCGCCAGCCATATTGTTGAAGATACGCCCCAGCCCACCTTTACCAAGGCTTGGTAGCGATTGGCAAGGACCTCTCCAGGCCTTGCTGGGTAGAAGTGCTTGGCATTGTATACTGGCGCGATCTCTTCATCGACGAGTATGCTGGGCGGTAGACGTGGCCCAGGTGAAGGCAATGGAAGTGGCTTCTTGCGGAGAATGGCGGGCAAACGCGAAACTGACGATCTTATAGTATTCACTCCAGATTTATCCGCAGAAATTCACAGGCAAATGTCATATGAATGGCTGTCAGACAAGAAAATCATCAAGGGGTCCAAGCACGGACGGTGCTGGACGGTGCACGTGATCACGTGGCGCGTCAGTTGGCTTCTCAGGAGGATTTTGGATCTACAAGCTATATAGAGCCATTCAGGCCGTGGTTACAGAGCATATGCATAAAGCAGTCTCCAATCAATTCTGTAGGTTCAACTCAGTCACCCACATACCTACCTATACACAGACTATGGCCACCAATTGGCCTGTGCTCTCTTTTCACTGCACTCTACTAATTCGACTAGCATTATCAGCCAGGTTCTAGCTAACATTCGTCAACAGAATATATTAGACTGAAGAGGCACTAAGGCCAAACTAGATAGTGCCACGAAAACTGGCGGTCGGCGTCGGCACCGGTGTTGGTCGACGGCTCACTGAAACCGCACGGCACGGAACCCGGATGTTCATTGAAGCTCTTGCTTGCTCCCTGTTTAGGTTAACCCCTCGAATAGTTAGCTGGCCAAGTGACAACTAGTTAGATAAAGCAGGTCTAAACTGACTTAGCGGGAGTGATAGTTAAAACGCGCCGTTTGCTGCAGCGTGCGCCGTCTGACGGCCGGTCAATTTAGCGTCTGCGCCGGTGGCATTAGTGGAGCTGTGCTTATCTGACAGCAGCCCCTCCCCCTTAGCAGCAACGGTTCGTATGCATGTCAGTAGCTGCATGGCAAGCCAAGAGGTTGCAATTGAGATTGATTATAGTACAGAGTCACATATCTTTATCCTGAGCGAAGATAGAGTCTAACGGCTAAGCTTCCCATTAGAGAATGCATTGGTGGTGGTGCATAATTCACCCTGGCCGTAGATCGGGGCGATGTGCTCCTGGCTGCTGTCTAAGATCTCAAAAGCCCTGTTGATCTCCGTTTGCTTGCTGATTCCCCCGCCCCAGCCTTTATAGCTCCCTAGTTCGACGTTGGTGGAGCGGCTGCCCGTGAAAGAGGAGGTTCGTCGCGACTTGAAAGGCGATCGAAGCTGAAAGAGTTTGCGCAGGGATGAGAGGGAGCCGGATATGAGACCAAGATTAAACTCGAGTTCCATCCAGATGAGTGAAGTGGCAGCCGTGTCTTTTATTGGTGAATATCTGTAAGCGAGCTGGATAGCCTCGTCGAACTACTGAACGCAGTATACTCACAGGTGTAGTCTGTTTCGTCCCTGGCATAGGCCAAGGTGCTGAAGCGAACCAGTGCCGCGATGCATGCTGTGAAACCTGAGCAGACATAGCAGTCAGTTACTGTTTGTTCTAGGTGAGGCTTCTAGCATACCAAGGCAAAATAATCCAAGTACCAAGACCCTTCGTCCACGTGGCATTTGAAGCTGCCAGACGCGACGGAGTGGAAGTGCGAGGATGGCCAGATCCATCACAAACATAATGACACCTTGCGCCATGAGGATGGCAAAGGAAGTGTTGACACTGTAACATTTCGCATCTGGGATGGTTTTGTCGAATCCAGCGCGAACGGGTCGACACTGGAATGCCAAAGCCAAGGTTCCTGCGAGCGTGAAGACTGCTAGAAATCCCAAAATGGACTTGCCAGCAATGCTTATACTGCGGGTGGGGAAAAGCCGCATTATAAACACAGTGAGGCTTATTTTGACCGATGCAGCAACAAGCAAGTAGCTGCAGAGCGCCGCATAGTAGATCTAAGTATATCCTGTCACCTCAACCGCTGTCCAATCTAGAGTATGTGTTAGCTTTTAGCGTACCTTCCACCAAACGAGCAGGTCTGCATCTGGAACATCCTTGGTCTTTTTTCCGAGGCCATAGTAGGTGATCGTAAATGCAAGCGTCGAGAAACCATTCACCATGACCTGTTGTGGCTCAGTAATCCGTCGCCCACTGCTCGAGCATTTGGGAAGACTAACAAGAGCGATCATTACCATCCAGTCATCCAGTCCCCATGAGTTCAAAACAAATTTCCGTAAGTAGAGCTATGATTCAGATTATTATATGAGTTGTGCTTCGTCAACCCTATCAAGGGTCAGGTACACACCCGGAGACCGCAAACAAGGGTAGTTGGAATAGCAAGAACGAGGACTATGATGCGAACAGTAATAGTCATCGAAGGTAGACTATCATCTCGTGGTATGACCGTCCAGTTCATGGTGTAATTAATCTATTGTCCTACCCCCGTCAGTGACTGGGTGGCATGTTGAGAATGTTGAGTCCAGAGGGGGGAGCATGTCGAGGATAATGTCACCCGCCTCGGCATTTAGCCGAATTTGAGTTGTGATTTTCTGATAAAGAAGGAATCGGATCCCTGTACTATAGCAAAGAAAGTAAAAAACAAAAAAAGTTGGCGCAGGATAGCGTGGTGACTACCAGACTAGAGCTGTTTTGGCCCCGCAAAGCCTGGGCGTTCGTTCCGTGTGCCGGCCCCTTGCCCGTTGCCAATGAATCCTATATAATGAATGTAGTGGATACCATTCGTAGTACCTCCTTTTCGTGAGCATCCTCATTTCTTTTTCTTTATTGACCGGGGTATCAGGCTTGCAACCCTGTCATTCAGCCTCACACACTAACAAACCACAATGAGCTGTGCAACAGACATCGCAGCGATCGTTCAGGGACAGAACGTCGACGCTCTCGCCACCGCAAAAATCGAGGACCTACTGTCCAAGTATGCAGCACTTCCGGAGGATGAGAGGAACAATCAACGGACATCCTACCTTGCCCAAGTTTTCCCTCTTGTTTTCGGTGAAAATGCCATCTTCCAGGCATCCGATGAGTATGATTCTCAACGCCAAGTGCCCTGGTATGACAATTGCACACCCTCGAAGCACATTTGCAATCAAACTAATTCTGTTACACAGGTCAATAAATTGCTGGCTCCAGCCATTAGTTGTGGTCACAGCAACGTCAGCACAAGAAGTCGCAACTGCCCTTGCTCTCTGTCGTTTCTTCGACGTTTGCTTCTCTGTTCGCGGCGGCGGCCACCTACAGAACCCCGGGTTCACCAGTAATAATGGCGGAGTGGTCATCTCCTTGAGCAAATTCAATCATGTCAAGCTGTCTGACGACAAGTCTACTGCTGATGTAGGTCTCGGGCTGAGATGGCTTGACGTCTATAAGGCTCTCGACCCTCATGGGCTGGCAGTGGCAGGAGGTCGGATTTCAACAGTTGGCGTTCCCGGTCTTCTCCTGGGAGGAGGGATTTCCTTTCAGAACAGTCAATATGGAGTGGGCGCAATGGGCGTGTCTAGTTATGAGGTAAACTTGCACATACTGCGCGGCTTTCAGCTGTTCTCTAACCTGGGCGCAGGTTGTCCTCGCAGACTCAAGCATTGTCAATGCCAATGCTCAGGAGAATGCAGACTTATTTTGGGCTCTCAAGGGAGGCGGTCCTAACTTCGGTAAGCCTTTTTCTTAGGATTATAATGGTTTCATTACTGACGAAAGCTCAAGGCATCGTAACCAAGATGGATCTAGTGACGGTGCCCACCGAGTCTTGGGCCGAAGCTCGTGTATACCCCCCAACAGCCTACCCCGAGCTCGCCAAGAGCCTCATAAAGTACCAAGAAGCAATTGAAGTCGACAACAAGGCATCCCTCGTCTGGCATGCTACCAGCCAAGCAATCCTTCTCGTATTCTTCTACTGTGCCCCTATCGAGAAGCCTGCTGCATTCCAGTCATTTTACGATATTCCCTTCTTGATGAACTTTGTGCCTCCGGGCACTCGCTCAATTTATGAGCTCGTCCAGGCGGTTGCCTCAGTCATTTCACCCGAAGTTTTGCAGTAGGTTATACCGAAACCTACAGTTTGTTGGATGCTAACAGATCCTTTAGTCATGAGTTCCGAACCATGTCCAGTCGGCCCTGCTTAGAGCTGTACGAAGCAACCGAGAAAGTCCGCCGAGAGCAACAGGAGGCTTTGAGCGATGTTGAAGGGCTTGTCTTGACCAACGTCTTCCAACCCATGTCCTCTTTAGCTATGAAGCAGAGTCAGAAAAATGGTGGTACGCCCCTTGGATTAGAAGCAGTGGGCCAGCAGTGTATGTTTCCCTTCCCATAGATTATTTTGTAAAACTAACAAGATAGGGTTTCTGTCAATGGCCGATTGGAAAAATGCCGAAGACGAAGATCGCGTCCGCGAAGCAGTCCGCAAGATTGTGGATGTTGCTGAAACGACAGCAAAGCAGGCAGGCGCGTATCTTCCGTACCGGTATTCCAACTATGCATCTCGCGATCAAGACCCACTATCCAGCTATGGTGCTGAGAATGTAGCAAGGCTCAAGAGCATTGCTGCGAAGTATGACCCTGATGAGGTTTTCCAGAAGCTGCAGAATGGTGGATGGCTGCTTTCGAAAGTAGGATCTCACACAAGGTCTGTCAAGTTGACATAAACAGTATGAACTGTGGATAAACTGGCATGAATGTATAATTGTTATATGAATGATGGCACGTTGAGATTTTGTTGATGAATCTTCTTGTTTATCAGGAGTTGTTCATTGAATCGTAGATTTTAACGGAGACATGCATTAGGCAACCGCGATCATGTAATCATTCCTTTCGATGAGCTTTGCCTGGTGAGTAAAGCTCACTAGTCTGGGTGGATCACAGTGTAAATCAAATTTAGTATAATGCAGAATGTCTGAAGTCGTTTCTACAACCATAGCGTGCTAAGCAGAGACATTCTCGTAAGGATAATCTGACGGATATCCACATAATAGGCTAATGCCTTGAGATTATTGACAATTGGGCCGATTGGCCTAGCAACTACTCTAATTTTGTCGAACTCGAGTATAACAGAAACCCCTGTCTCATGACTTTCTATGTGAGAAAGCCAATTGCATGTGTCTAGTACAGGGCGCATGGTAAGACAGGTAGAAACAACTGAAATGAAACCAATGTCCGCATATAAACCTAGTAATAGCATGCACGTCGTAACCGGACGATTCTCATTTTATTTTCTCAACATTGGGTGCCTGAGGAGCGATGCTTAGCCAGATAGAAACCACCAGTTAAACCCATCATACACTCACCATCACCTCAGCTTGCCTGCGGGTAAACCTGGAAAGACTTGAATCCCTGACCCTGAGTCCAGCATCCCGAGCCCCCGTAAGTGTGAAAGTAATCACAGGCACCACCGCTCGCTCCATCGAAAACCCAATCATCGGGAATCTCAGCCCTGATAGACTGAATGGTTGGGTTGTATGTTTCAAGCGAGTAACACCCGTAACTCTGGTTTCCGGCGTATGACCATTTGTATTCGGTGCACTCGGTGTCGGTGTAGAGGGTCACGTTCCAGTGCACTGCGAGGGAAGTACCAGCCAAAGCTGCGATAGGGAGGATGGAGAGAAGCTGCATGGTGGTGGTTTTCTTTTGTTTGGAGATCTAGAGGGTGTGCAATTGAAGATGAGTAGAAGTGGACTTGTAAAATTTCCGTTAATTGCTTGTGAGCCTGTGGGGTAATTCTGGGAGCATTTCTGCAGATTATATATTGTCATTGACACCTCCGTGGCGACTATAGTTGAAGGGAGGCTTAGTAGATGATCGGCATTTAGGCCCGTAAGGCGTCCAGTTCGTTAGCCAACGGGGTAAGTGCAAGATAGACATGTTCCAGATGTCTGACGCCTAAGCTGAAAACAAGTGCATTATACACCCATCAGGGTCAATGATAGACGGAGATATACGAAGTCCTGCTGCGCTGTTCATGTGTCGATTGGTGGATGTGGATAAGCGTGGGTAGATCACTCCGCAATGTCGACAAGGCTGGGTAGACCCTTGGGGGTCTAACCCAGAAGATCCTTTGGTCTGTATGAACAGCCCATCTTGTACTTCAGCTGCCAAGGGCGATGTAGACAAGTCATCATGGGATCGACAATGCACCTCTACTAAATATAGTGGCTTTTGCAAGTAAATGACACCTGACTATTCAGGCTACAACATAAAAGGCTATATCTAAATTTGGCCGAGGATGTTTGCACGTGTGTACTGTTTGCATCATCACCAAACAGCAGCTCCAAGGTATCCACCATCACATCACATCACATCCTGCCCACCAGTACAACATAAACATCATACCCCATCACTGTATTCTCCCCTGCTGCGCTATATACTATATATAACCCCCTTGCGCAGCGCATTTCACACCATACCAGACACCATGGCCGACGGCGGAGGCTGGAGCACAATCGAGTCCGACGAGGTACGCAATCTGCACATCAAAGCATACATATAGAGCCACAAACCTAACAAGCAAACCTTTAGGGCGTCTTCACCTCCCTTATCGAGAACCTCGGCGTCAAGGACGTTCAATTCGAAGAACTTATTTCCCTAGATGCAGACACAATCCGCTCTTTAAGGTATACTCCTGCCACCTTTTACCAACATCATCCACACCCACTAACACCTTCTCACCATGCAGCCCCGTCTACGGCGTAATCTTCCTCTTCAAATGGATTCGCGAAACGCAACAACCAACCTCCACATCCTCAGCCACCTCACCCCCCTCCGGCACCTACGACACTGACCCCTCCCCGAACCTCTTCTTCGCGAACCAAACGATCCAAAACGCCTGCGGCACGCAAGCCATCCTCTCCGTGATCCTCAACAACGACTCGTCCTCCTCCTCTACGAACCCGTTCCCCATCAACATCGGCCCCGAACTCCACTCCTTCAAGGACTTCACAGCGGGGTTCCCGCCCGACCTGCGCGGCGAAGCGCTCTCCAACTCAGAGCTGATCCGGAGCGCGCACAACGCGTTCGCGCGCGCCTCGCCGTTCGTTGACGAGACAGTGCGGAATAACCAGGATGAGGAGGGGGATGTATACCATTTCATTGCGTACACGCCTGTTGATGGGAAGTTGTATGAGTTGGATGGGTTGCAGCCTCATCCGATTTCGCATGGGGGGTGTACCGCGGAGGAGTTCCCGGAGAAGGTGATTGAGGTGTTGAGGCAGAGGATTGCGAGGTATCCGGAGGGGGAGACGAGGTTTAATCTTATGGCTGTGGTGAGGGATTTGAGGGTCACGGCGAAGGAGATTGGGGATGTGGAGGCGTTGGAGAGGGAGGAGAGGAAGAGGAGGGCGTGGGCTTGGGAAAATACATTGAGACGGTCGAATTTCGTTGGGTTTATTGGGGAGGTGTTGAAGGGGGTAGTGGGGATGAAGGATGCGCAGGGGGAGGGGAAGTATGAGGAGTGGGTGGAGAAGGCGAAAGGGGAGACGCAGAGGAAGTTGATGAGGAGGTAGGTAGACCATGCCTACTATCTATCTTATGAAGCCTGTCTATTCTGCCAGGGGTGTTAGAATTCTACCTAGTAAGATCCGTTGAGATTCATAACTATGACATATCTATGTACAGTGGCAAGGCCGATGTCTGTTGAAGAATCGCTTCGTCATTCATGTCATCCGACTCATAATCGTAAAAGGCAAGATATTAGTTAGGTTTAATAGTCGATCATGCGAGATTTGATCACTTGTACCAGAGATTCGGGCAGCTCATCCTCTCGGATGATCTTCAGCGCCAGCAAATCAGACCAGAAGAACATCGCGCGGTCCTGCGCATAGCCCAGGTAGTCGAACTCTTCGGCTTCGTCCACATCGGCATCCACTGGCGGGGTTCCGGTGGAGTGGTTCACTTCAGCTGTTACGTCTGAATGCACCCCGTCGCCATTAGTACCATGGTGGCCGTTTTGAGCTTTAGCTGCGGCTTCATCTGCGGCGATACCCTCCTCCATACCAGGCACCTTGGCCTGCACGATTCCCCAAGCTACCCACTGCGCGGAGTTGAGTACTCGCCACAATCTGGTTTGTCGCGCGTAATACTGGATCTTAGCGCTGGTGCTGTCCTCGTGCGCTTTCTCGATATCGAACCGAGCAGACACGTCGACATCCGGGCCGTCATCCAGGCTCAAAGGAGCTAGTGAAGAAGTGTTGGTAGAGAGGCCTCGCATCAGAGGGGTGATGGAAGGAGATGCCTGTTCGCGCAATCCGGGTCGATGGCTCAGATACGCTTCAATGAACTGATGCTGCTGCTCTGGATTCGGATAGCGGCTGGTGTCGCATGCCCACGGCCGCTCTGGATCATGATAGTTATAGCACCATTCAGTCTGTTGAGGTCAGTAAGAGACTTCCAATCACTATCGAACACTTGACTTACGAAATGGTTGGCAAACTCAATTCCTGGAGTGTTAGCCGACGCATACTCGAAGTCAATAACGACTAGCTGCTTATGCACGTTCTCAGGCCGAAGCAACGGTGATTCGTGGCTGGGCTCCATCCGAAGCAGATTGCCATATTGAGTCTAAATCATTAGCGCAGTTCCTGGAGAATGGGACAAAAGCACTTACATCATTGTGCGCAAACACCAACTGTCGCTTTATTCCGTCCATGCCTCCACAGCTGGACAAAAGCCACTTACGATATCCTTCAACTACCTTTCTGAAGGAGGGCCAGGGAACACCGCAGACAAAGCCTCGCCGGCGCCAAGCCTCGGATGCTGCTTTGCTCTTGTTGTGCTCGGATCGAATTTCCTTGTCCAGCCAATTGATTACTTGCTCGCAGCGGTCTACCCACTTATCCCAGTTCTTGAACACCATGGGTCCTCCTTCCCTCTCGTCTACAAGAAGATCGATTCCATCGTGCAGCTCCCTCATCCGCTTCGCAATTTGCTTCATGGTCGGGGGATCGCGGAGCTCCTTAGGCGTAAGTGGGCGAGCTTCGAAGTACTCTTCAAATCTTCCGTTGTTGAATGTACCCAGCACCTTCGGACCAATGTTCTTTCGGCCTAGACGGCGGAGGATTTGGAGCTCGTTATCTCGGTCAATCAAATGATCTACTTGTGGCCCATAGATACGGAGCAATAGCTTCCTACAGAGAGTTAGCTTCTAGGTTATATGTGTGATTTGGGTAAGGACACTTACGGTGGGGGTTTTCTGGGTACCAATGAATATGATCCATCTTCCGCCTTAGGCACAGGAATATTCTGTGGCGGTGTGACTACATATACGGCATTGGTCAAGGCACCACTAAGTCGAACAACTCCTATATCGGTTGCAAGTTCCATGGGAAGTTTCCGCCATCCTTTTAGCTGCATGGTGTGAGCGAGCCGAAGGATTTCACTCTTGAAAAGCGTCCAGGCTTCTTTATCCTTTGCGCGTCTCGCATTGACACTGTTCTCGTTGTCGTCATCTTCTGTACCACCACCGCTATACGCGAGAGTTTTGGAATTATCCAGCACCGCATCAACGCTCGGGGCGGCTGCCTCGTGGTCTGAAAAGTCAGATTCAGATGCAGAACCCCTACGCAACCCCTTGGAGTACTGACGCCGACGACCGGATCGTCGGGTGAGGTGTACAGAGTCGGTTCCCTGCCGTGAAGTGGCGTACTGAATGAGAATCTTTTCTAGCTTGTCGAGTGCCAATGTAGTGTCAGCACCAGATGATAATGGTCTTTCCACAAGGACGCTAGCACTGTCATCGTCGTCATCGTCACCATCACTGGCAACACCATCCAGCGTTGCTAAACTTGTCGCCTTGTGAGACCTCCGTTTGGATTTTTCGCGCTGAAGCCATTCGTAGACTTGTGCGAAAAGGCTATTCTGCGGATCTTCCTCGCCATTTTTCGAAATGCCATCCCTTTCATGACGATGCGCGGGTTCAGTAATGACGCTGGATGTCTGACTACTTAAAGAAGCCGGCTGGTGCGTAGGTAGTCTGGCTGCCGGTTTCTTGGGTGCGGAGACACGATGCCTGAATGCAGTTCCTTCTGACGCAATTGCGGAAGTTTCGTGCCCATTTGTGTGGTGATGTCTCTGGGGGGAGACGTTCAAACCAGTCCCCAGAATAGGTTGTGGTCCTTTAGATGATCGGTCAGAATCCATCAACACTTAGGGGGTAATCCGGACAGGGAAGGATAAAGAACCGCAAAAAGGGAGGGGGTTTGACGGTTGATCGAATACCAGCAGTCGCAGTGGGCTATGAGATCATTTGGCCCGGAAGCAGAGCCTCGGAAAACCTACGACTACGGGGTTGTTGGAGCCCAAGGAAAGGGGGAATGGGTTGACGGGAAGTTAACCAAGAAAGGAACCTACCATCAAATTCAAGACCAGAAAGACCGGTCTGGTCGGTGACTGAGGGCATGTCCAAACAATGGCGAACAGTACGTCGAAATGGAAAATAGAGTGACCAGGTAACCCATCCAAGGCTGTAAGTGCGGGAAGCAGATCACTTTGCGACTGGACGTGGCGTAATCGGCACCTGGAAAATGGCGGAGAATTTGGAGCTGGGGATCCTCCGGACTATATGCCAGGCCCGTGCGGGTACACTGGGTAAAGAACGGATCACAGGAATTGGAACACTCAGGGACGGCCCAAGGTGGTCTTTGAGAGGATGACTGGAATAGTGGATGGACTGATGGAGTTGACACTGCGAACGGAACTGGAGGGGATAATATGAATTTGGGGCACACAGGGGAGGAAAAAATGCGACCAAGTGGGGACAGCGATAAGTAGCGGTCCAGCAAAGAGAAAATACGGTCGGAATCCGATCCCGCTTGTCACTTTCTTTTAAGAAGCAAAGATTGAAAATTCGCAATGGATGGGACGTCAAAGCCGAGCAATTTCAGAGAAACTTGAATGGACAGCAAACGTGGTGACGGTCAAAGCGGACGACGATTGACGACAGATGGCTGAGTGGCGAAGGACGGTGTGGCTTGTTTGAAAAAAAGAACGATCGTGGAGGTTGAGCCGCGAAGGTGGAAATTGATGGAGCATCGAGGAACGGGAATCAACGTGTGTCTCAGGTGACTTGGCAGTTTCCACCCGTCAAATCCACAATCCAGGGTCTGCTGCTATGATTTAATCGTTTAACAAAAAGGTACCATGTTGCCTCAGTGTTGCTCGGCCAGAAACGCCACAGACGCAGGCTGCTAAAGGGACACCTCGTATGTGGACAGTGAATATGGTAGCTTAGTCCAGTGGCACACGACACACTGCTGTTTGCCCACCTCCTGGCCTTACTCGACTAGGACCAATCCCGAGGCATTATTTGGACCAAAGTTTGGGTCGCGACCGGGGACCGAGACGTTGTTGTCACTCACTTGCACACCGGGGGAGATAAGCAGCGAGCAACCTGACCGCAACCTCGGGATGACTGGTCCGGCCGGCCTGGTGAGCTTGAACAGCATATGTAAACGCTCGTGCTTATACTCCGTGGAAAAGACCGGCATCGTTCCATCAATCTGGGTGTAGATCAGGCACGCTGTATTGAGTCGCGTTGGGGGAGAGGCCTTGAGCGTGTCCACTTAGATTGGAAGGTAGATAGCCCATTTTGACACAGGAAGAAGCATTTGTTTGCTTTACTTCGTACAAACGGTCAACGGTAGAGGCCCACATGGTGGTGTCTCCATCCATAATCCTCAATTGTTGTCACTGTTATTGGGCCGAGATAAGATTTTGTCGCGCAGGGTCACTCTATGAGTTTCATACTTGAAAAGGTAGTCGCAACGGGCATTCTTTGCTTCACTTGTCATGGTCTTGTTCACTCTTATTGTCTCGGCAGGAAAGTGAAAGAAAGAAGAAGAGAAGAAAGAGGGGCTGGCGAGGAGGGGAAATAAGCCACATCTCCGGAATGTTTTCCTTGCTGCCCGTCTTTTCAGGCATTACTGCAGGCCAGCCTAATTCCAGCGCGATCTCGTCATTTTGATCCAATGATATCTCGCACTTCATAGTGTTTGCTACTATGTTCAGTCAACTTTCATTCTTGCTAAAATGCTATTGTCAATTTTGATCGCATTTTCAAGGCCATAAGGTCAAGACTCACAGTGGACGCGCTACCTGACAGACACCGGTCACAGATAAGATTCTTAGCCAGCTTATACACCATCTGCATCATTCAGACTATCTAAATATACTCTCTTCATGATTAACAAAGATAGCCATCTCAAAGTTAGCCCATCAATCCAAATTCTTAGCCATATAAACCCGCTTCCACCCCTTATTATCCGCACGATGTGTCTCCGCATACCCCATTCGTGTATATATGGCAATATTCTCGACCATGGTCTCATTAGTATGCAGCTGGAGAGTCTGATAGCCTGCCAACCGAGCCGACTCATCAGCAAATTCCAATAGCTTGCGACCCAGCCCAGTGCCCCGTGCAGACTGAGCAACGGCTAAATTATCCACAATCATGGCGCCCTCCTCAGGAACAAGCATGACGGTGCCTTTTATTTCACCATCACCCTCGATCACATAGACGACTCCGTCTTTGATCAGTGTGGTGTAGTCGTCTAGCATCGGCTGTGGCTTCCTTCCTATGCGACCGATGTAGATAGAGAAGGCTTCTTGTATGATTGCGTCGATGGCGTGTTGATCGTCAGGCGTTGCTTGTCGGATATTGGTGGACATTTTGTGACCAGTTCCTCAATTTGATGTCGGCTGTTATTGTAAGCAGTTATCTATGCACCAATTTATTTAGTAACTACTCAAGAAGTGAATATCTTTTCTCTTACTTTGTACAGAGATGACCAGAATGCAATGTTTTCAGGTGCGGGGGTGTTTGACTCAATCAACGTCGGATCTGAAGAACGCTACGCGCTACTACGAGTGGTCATCTTGAGCTAGTGGTCCATCCATCCAATGATGAGTATATTTTCAAGCCCCTTGTATTTGAGTCAGCACCTCTATATAACTATTCTATAATGTCGCTATGTAAATAATGCAATGGTAGTAAGCCAGCTACTCTTGCGGAAATCTAGTTCCAGTCATCGATAAATTTGTAACCTTCTGCCTGGTCTCGAGTCCGTAGTCACTTCTTAGTGGTAGGTGACACTCCACACCTTGTAGCCATCCCGGGAGTGTTTTGTAGAGTTCATCTGCAAATCTCCTTGGCCGCTCATTTTGATAACAGTTGAGTTGACATACTGCAGACCATATCCGTGACGATTTCCAAGGAAGGTGATCTTCACTTCTGCAGCATCGCCTCGGCGACCAGCTGGCAGCAAACTTCCGTGTGGGCCAAGCCACTTACCGTCCAGGGCACTGGAGATTTTGAAAATCTGGCTCTCTTCGCCGCTGGAATAATGGATGACCCATCGTTGCTTCTTACCACTGTGATCTGAACGCGCTGCGCTGCTGCTTAATCTGGTTGTGTTTCCGGTATTGGTAAGCGCATACCCAGACTTCTCGAAAACAAGGTACCGTCCCTCAGTCAGGTAGCCGACAACCTCTTTGTATCCGTCCTCAAAGAACAATGACTCTGTCACATTCTGCTTCCCGTATGGCACAGGAGGACGGGGCTCTGAAAATGTTGCTTCGCAATTGGATGTGCCGACGTAAGAACCTGAAGACATCTCAGGCTCTTCAGCTTCTGGCAATTTTGGAAGACTAATGTCGGGCTTTTTCACGGATTAGCTCGATATCACGTAGAGAATGTAAAAGGTTTGCCGTACATGGTCTAGATCCAGTGCATTGACGAGGTTGGACATGTGTTCCCGACGCCAGTGGACCATTTCTGGAGTCTGCACATTCTCATAGCCCCTTGCCGTAAGCCACTGCTCCAAGAATAGAATCTGGGAGTTATGATCCGCCCTCTCAGTGAAAACACGGTTGCCACGGGTCCATGGGGAGACCATATAGAAAGGCACCCGAAGACCTGACAAGTCAGCTTGAATGATGTGACATGAGATTATGGCTGGACTTACCAGGTCCAACACATAGTTTTCCAAATACGCCATAAGGATCCTCCATCCACTCACCCGGTGTACCTTCTGGTGAGTGGAAAGGAATGACATGGTCTCCGTAACCACCAGATTCTATCGAATCGTTAAATTCGCTCAACGAGGGGCTGGTTAGGAGTGGCTTACCGTCGTAGCTTATCATTAGCAGCGTGGATGAATATTCAGGACTACTTGTCACAGCATCCACAACCTTCTTCTGTAGCCAGGCACCGTCCTTGGGCATATAGGGCGGGTGTTCTGATAATTCCGCGGGCCCGACAATAAAGCTGATCTCCGGGAGGGTCCCGTTGGCAGCCGCTTTGTAAAATGTTTCCAATCCCAAAAACGCCATGCCTTTCTCTACGAGCGGTGACGACGATGAAGCGTTCTGGTACTGCTCAAACCGGGCCAAGGGGTTGTCGTCAAAGTTGTCTTTATCCTGGTATATCTGCCAGGAGACGCCTGCCTCTTCGTAGACTTCAAATATCGTTTTCCACTTGAGGGGATAGCAATTGATATGATAGCTATCGCACCCTATAAGTCACAAGTCAGCTAAGTTTCAATGGCATAATATAGTGTATGAGTAGCTGGAGCAGACGTACCAGGTGTTACGTTGTTGTCGATATAAACGCCGCCTTGATCAGGCTTTTGAGGGCCGCCAGGCACGTTCACGGAGCCGCTCACGAGAGTAACCCGGTTCGGGTTGGTAGAGGTGACTTGGGACTCCTGTAGAGTATTAGACATAGCTTTGACAGTGTGATAGCAGAAACATACTTGATACATATCACCGGTCGTCCAACCCTCTGCAATAGCATAATGAACAGGGATATCGTCTCTCTTAAAATATCCCCAACTCCAAGGCGTGTTATTCCTGGCCCAGTGATTGTTCAGTCCTCCGTTGAGCGAAGCATGGCTATCCACGTAACCGTTATCTCCCGCTGCCATGCACTGGATCGCATCCGTCGTGTTCCCTCCTTTATAACCTAAATACCAAGGGAGGAGAGTCGTTGTAGCATTGGACATATCAGGATCGACTTGTCTGAAGTACTTATCAGCACAGGACCTCAAAAAAACACCAAAGCAAACTGACTGGTACCAAACAGGTAATCCGTCTGGATTGATCTGCACGTTTGGGTCATTGAATCCCCGTACGCCTGCCATTGTGCCGAAATACTGTACATGGTTAGTTGAATTTCCTGGAATTGAGGAGCTTAGATATACTTGCACTATTCCATGATCGGTTCTCCTGCATAAAGATCACAACATGCTTGATGTCCTTCAGTGAACCGGCAGAAACTGATCTGCTCCCGAGGAGCAGAGCCAAGGCAGTCGAACCAAGCAATAACATCCTGAAGCAGCTACTCTTGAAAGTGTTGTATGATGTGGTTTCAGATGCCTTCGAGCTGCTTTATATATCTGGAAAATCTTGAGCGAATGTGGGGACTGTGCCTGGTCTAGATTCCGACAAGACCACAACACCGAGCAATTGATATCCCATGATTCCCGACGCATTCATAGTATGCCGAATGTTTGGGTCGCGAATACATCTGCCAGACTGGGTCGTAATATGGAACGGTGTTTGTTATTGCAGATCGGATTCGACGAGCCATTATTTAGGCCACGCTAGAGCGAAGGGCGATCGTCCTGTACGGTGGGTAATGTATGATCCACTTTGGATGGAGATGTATGTTTCAGAAGATATATGACATCTGCTTACAAGAAAACGTCCAAAGACAGAGGACTAAGCGGAAGATGGGCCTCCATGGAAGGATATCGGGTTAGCCGGCATCCGGGCACGTGTAGTGAACGGCAATCAGTCCGACTGGCTTTTCTGCTCAGACACAATTTTATTGACTTCCCACCCTCTGCTCTCGCCTTCTGGATTCTCAATAACTAAGTTTTCTTCGATGATCAGTCAGCGGTGTTTTTAATGGTGGCGGTCCTCACGGTGGACCTTTTTGATATATCCACAATGGCAACAGTCTCTCTAACGGCTATTTTCAACACCGGCATGGCCCTGGATATCGGCATTGTACCTGAATCCACTGAACAGGAACCAACTTTGAGTCCAAATTGAGTTTGCAAAGCCAGTCAGCGTGGCAGTCCATACAACAGCCATCTGTTTGGCCGAACCTTGGTTGAATCTTGTTTCAAAACATCCGTCAGTGGCGGACCTGAACATCGTTACTCGTTCTGTTCATGCTGACAGGTACATGTAATCTGCAGTTTAGCCACTGTTTTCTTTCTGGCCCCACATGTATTCAAAAAGGCTCATAGTCATGGTCGGGGTTTAAAGGCACACGAGGGTCGAACAAGCATGCAGGAGACGTGCGACAATCCAGACCACCTTACAAGACTGTCAGGAGATGAAAGGAGAGGGAGGTATTGATTTAGACTTGCAGCAGTCACCGTCGTTCCGATTACGACTGTTGCCATGGAGTATTGTGTTGTATCCGGCCACTATATGTGGCCTGATCTTTCTGCTACTCTTGACACAGATCTCACAACCAAGCCCTCTACAGGACTTGATCCCATCGGGAGTCTCGAACAGCCAGGTACACCCAATTACACATGACCCCGATACATCACGTCCCTTGATAGAGCTTCAACCGGAAAATCATGTGTACCGCGATCCTGCAACGCAACATTTCGACTGGGTGGTGACTGCCAACCATCGACGCCCGGATGGGGTGCTGAAAAGGATTTATCTGATCAATGGTGACTTCTCTTTTCATAATTATATCAAGCCACATACTTATGTGCATTAGGTCTTTTTCCTGGACCGACGGTTGAGGCACGACCTGGTGACCGCTTGATAGTAAACGTGACCAATTCTTTGGAAGACGAACCGATCTCCATCCATTGGCATGGAATTCATATCGAGAGTGAGTCCTTGTGTTTGGATATAAGCTGGTTTATTTGACTAACAAGTCATTCAGATGCTATGGATGGAGCAGTTGGTGTAACACAACGCCCTATCCCTCCAGGGTCCACGTTTACCTACAACTTCACGATTCCTGCAGATCAAAGTGGTACATTCTGGTACCACGCTCACTCCGGCCTCATCAGGGCCGATGGCCTATATGGGGGGCTCATCGTACACGAGCCCTCCCCTAGGCCCACAGTCCGGGGGCTATTAGCTCGTGCAGATGAAAAGGGAACTGCCAGCTATGCCAGCTATGATAGGGACGTTCTACTCTTAATTGGGGATTGGTATCACCGATCAGCGGACCAGGTCTACTCCTGGTATATGCGTGCCGGGTCATTTGGAAACGAAGTTAGTCTTCCAATATAAAAGTCTCATTGATTACAACAATTAACCTCAAATAGCCCGTCCCAGATTCATTACTGATAAACGGTGTGGGCCATTTCGATTGCTCCATGGCTGTCCCAGCACGGCCGGTGGACTGTATTTTTCGACAGATGAACCTCTCATACCTGGATGCGAAGAGTGACGCAGCGTACAGAGTCCGAGTGGTAAATACAGGGTAAGTTGTACGCCTACTTATATCTCAAAAGTAATAGCTGACTGGCAAATAGCTCGGTTGCAGGCTTTACATTGGGTTTTCAGAACAAAGAATTCAGTCTCATACAAGTGGACAGCATTGAGGTCGAACAAGAAGATTCAAATTCAGCCGGCGTACTCTACCCGGGCCAGCGAATGGACATCATACTCCGTCCGGGTCCAGACAAAACTCCAAGCTCAATGACTATTGATCTAGATAAAGAGTACGTTTTGGCCTGTACCATGGTTTCAGTTGCGCTAACAGACGGTTAGATGCTTCAGGTACCCCAACCCAGCTTTAGCATCTATCCAGACATTCGATATAACGAAGTCATCGGACAATACATCCTCCACCATATCTCCATTAAACAACACGATATCTCTTTCCGAAGTCGCCACTAGAAAGTCACTCCTCTCCAGCCTTCCCGAAAAAGCCCATCAAACCCACGTGGTGTACACTAAAATTGAAAAGCTCTCCATAAACCACAATGTGCCGTATGGATTCTTCAACCGGACTTCATGGAGGCCTCAGATTGACACACCACTTATTGATCTTCCGCGCGACAAATGGGATGGAAACCAGCTCGTGTTGTCAACAGGATCATCTACTTCCCGTGCTCTGCCGTCCGATAAAGACCAGAACTTATGGATCGACCTGGTAGTCAACAATCTAGACGATAGTGGCCATCCATTTCACCTGGTAAGTTCCTAATCGTTTTCAAGCCGGTCTACTCAACAAAACTAACATTAAACAGCACGGCCACCACTTCTACATCCTGAGGACCTACCAAGCACCCGTAGGCTGGGGCGCCTACAATCCTTTCACAGATGCCTATCCACCTGGTCTGGCTCCGGAATCCGCCAGCTCATCAAGAGCAGATACTCCCTACGATCTCTCCCGCGCGCAGCTACGAGATACAGTCTATATCCCCAGCCGCGGGCACGCAATCTTGCGCTTCCGAGCAGATAACCCAGGGATTTGGTTATTCCATTGCCATATTATCTGGCACCAAGCGAGCGGAATGGCCATGCTATTGCAGATATAATGAGACTGCTGAGTTAAACATCTACATGTAAAACATAATCGAATGAATGGCAGACATTATTCACCTGAACCAGCCTACTGCCTGGTTGACGATCTCACTCCCTCACTAAGCCTTATGTAACAAATACATTTCATGTATTTCAACAAATACGGTTGTGTAGTGTAATGGTCATCACTCTGGATTCTGATTCCAGCAATCCCGGTTCGATCCCGGGCACGACCTTTTTTGCATTCCTTTTTTTCTTCCCGTTCCATATACATATACACTGGATGTACCTTCTTCCCACACCAACGTCCTTGATTTCGATAATCAGCAGGTTTTTTCGCTCCCATTCAGATGGCATAACCTGTTCCTTCGACGCCACAGTCGTCCGAAACGCATTCTGTCACTATGATATAAAGCGCACAGGAAGCAGATGTAGATCTCATTAATACTCTGATAGATGGTAACAATATTAAAAGTCAAATTAATTGATGAGGGTATAATGAACAGTCTTATAGTATATAATCCACATAATATGTACAGCCAAATATACTCCACATGATCAACAATGAACAAAACAACAACACCACAATAACAACAACATCTCACGCGACCTCGCCCTGACCTTGATTCAAAGCAATATTATGATATCATGCCGCCACAAATCGCCAAAGAACATCAAAGGATAATATCATACATATACTAATATTATCTAGAAACCCTGAATATAGCCTTACTATATTAGAGTAAAACTATCCTATCCATCAAGTATAGTAAGTAGTACTACTACTACATGCATGCCAACTAACCATCCGAACAGACCAATCAGCCATACACGTAGAACCACAAGGTACTACTTACTTACTAAGTAACCATCCCCTCGCCGACGCCGTGTAGCGTCATGTCTTATATTCAGAATGCAGCAACTACGTAATATCTAAACCAATGAGCGGTAAGCGCAACTTCTCCCAAAGAGTCACGCTGCATGCGAACCGTGAACCTTAATCTGGGGCAGGTGATACACTCTACTACGTACTTTGTTGTAGGGAACAATAGGTGTATGGGTGAAATGAAATGCCCCGCGTCTCTTACTGGATTTGCATTGATTACACCCCCTTGCGTTGGGGTCCTGTTAGGGGGGTGTACGGGGGAGGGGAGGGGTAGATAAGGTGGTTGTGGTGGCGCTTTTGCTTTGCGAGTCAGGGGGGTGGTCGTTGGTATTCGACTATATCGCTTTTTTGCTCTTCAGGATCTGGTGGCTCTCTGAGATTCTTTTATGTAGGAACGAAATTAGGTACGTGCTAGGTATCTCGAAATCATCATTGTTAGGCTAACATATCGGGTACAGCCATATTAGGCCGTTCCAATCTGGTATCTTTCCCATCCATGCCAATCCATACTGCTGTCAATAATACAATAGAAAAGGAAGAAGGAAAAGTAGAAAGAACACTCAAACGCCGAATCACACCATAATGATATAAGCCCGATGCAGCTGAACAAAATGCATTTCAAATATTAGGAGGCAGACGCCCATTCAACAACCTCCAGAGCACACATGACGAGGATAAGAGTGGACGGGAGGATCCTAGAGGCACAATTAGTGGTTGTTTCAAGGATGCAACGAGCTTGGGTTTACTTACCACACCACATAGCTCTGGAACAAGAGCTTCGACATGGCGCTGACGTAGACATTGTTGATCTGGCAAATCTGGGCCAGCTGAAGTGCTGACGGAGCTCCAGTCAGGAGGAAGCAGACGATAATAAAGATCGGATCATCCAAAATGCTGACCGGCACATACTTGGCCAGCAACGCAAGGATAGGGGCCATGATGATGGTAGGGAGAAGCATGCGGGCCACCAGAGAAGCGATGATCAACTTCTTCTCTTCCTTGGGATGCTCCATATCTTCCAGCGCCTCTTTAGGAAGCGTGTTGCGTTCAAGATTGGCCCCCAGAACGACGAGGATCAACGGCACAGCAACCTGGCCATTCTGGTTGATCGCTCGCGTCACTGAATTGCTCACAAAGGTGCCCTCATCGAAGAACAAGCTCTGCAGCGATGGTACCGAGGCAACCACGATCGAGACAAGCATGGCCCACAAGGGCGGGTTCATGAACTCCCATAACCCATGGAAGAACCTCCTGATCCAGCTGGAGCAGACGGAGAGCACCTTCTGCATCCTCGTTGGCAACCGGCGGAACACGGCTCCAGTCCCCTTCTCCCATCCGCTGGCGATGCGACCACGGAGCCGACGAAGGGACGCCTTGATGCGGGCAATCAAGCCCTTCTTCTCGTAGCTCTCGTGTACAGCGGGGAATGATAGCATATCGCCGGCGGAGCTTTGTCGGGGCATGAACGGCGCAGCGGAAGCATCAAGCAGGGCTGGACGGTCGGAATCTTCTTCCTCGCCACCGCTACGGGACGACACCTTGGAGTACGGATAGTCCCGTGCGGTCACGGGTGTTTCTTGACCTGAAGCGAACGCATCCGAGTCCTCCTGCGATGCTCCAGATGCTTGCGTCTGTTCATCGAAGCTTCTGGTTCTCACCAACGGCTCATCTGGATCAATTTGCTCCGGGTTGTCCGTGTATCGCTCCTGGCCCTGTCCAATGCGAGTGGTATCCGGATCCGCTTCCGCCTCTTCCAAGTAACGCTCACGGGGGGCAAGAAGCACGTGGTAGCCCCAGCTCCACCGCACAAGCTGGCCAAGCTGCTGGAAGATGAGCAGATATAAAATTCCACGCGCTGCTACTTCATCATCGTTATCGTTCGGGACGCGACTCCAGTGAAGACCCTTGAGAGTTTGTGACAGAGACATGACGAGGGAGATAGGAAGCGAATTAGAATTTCCGAAAACCTAGTAGCATTGTTGCACGGGTCAGCGAACAGACAGGGAAGGAGAAAATGTGGAACGCATTGGACACTGCACTTACGGCCATGGCGGCGACAAAATTGGAAGGTCGTTTCTTGAGCCGGAGACATCGCGAAACAACAAAGGCGCAGGAATAAGAGACCAGAGTTTGGATAACGAAGATGGCCGGAATGATAGCCAGATCGGTGAGTTTTTCTGCTGTGAGCTGGGACCCGAGCTTTGTGAAGACTAACAGTTGTGGTCAGTTGAGATGCCAAAAGTACGGCCAAAGAAAGCAGGGAACTTACTCAGGCAGGGAGTAAATAAAGTGACGTTGAGATTTGCTACCAGCTTCTGGGCATCCGCATCGAACATGCCTTGTTTGGCAGCAAAATAACCCGGCAGACTCACGCAGATGACCTCGAGGACGGCTTCGAAGACCAAGAGGACGAGGTTCAGGAAGGAGGGGTGGCTCGAGTGGGGGTTGCCATCTTGAAGGAGGGCAGGATTGGCGCCCATCTGGGTCATGAACTGAGACGAAATTGACGGGTAGGCATTTTGAAGAGATCTAGGGGCAGTAAAAATGGCCATCGACAAGAGGTCGGAAGCACGAGGCAGCCAGGGTGACAGAGAGATCACAGGCAACCAACTCCAGGAAAAGCTGGGGAAAGAAAGATGGAAGAAGGGGGAGGGAAAGGGAAAGTTTGGATGATGGCGGATGACGACGCGAACGGGGGGAGCAACCACAAGGTCCTGATGGGCAGAAAGAGAGCAGAGGCGATGGCGATAATGCCGTCGAAGATGATGACGCCGATAGATAACAGAGGTAGGCAGGCGGTAGGCGAATAGGATTTAGAGTTGGCACTGCACGGAAGCACGATTGGATTCAAACAGTTCAACCTAATGCGTAGGTACAGGACTAGGGATCAGAACAGACTCTTCTAAATCCACTAACAGTAGCAACCAAGTCCGAGATGGGGGCACTCAGATAAGATAGATAACTAGACTCCAATGAGTGAAGCGGGACGCCGATGGGTTTAATACTCAAGCTGTTCGTGTCGGTGAGTCTTTGACTTGTCTTGCCTTTTGTCTGTTCAATTCTTCGACGAGGAATCCCAAAACATCATCGTCAGGCTTTCCCGGACTCGCTGAACCCGGGAGGGTCCCATCTGGCCAATCAGAGCCGTCTGTAGGTGAACGCCCAGCCCAGTTTCGCGCTGTGCCCAGACCCGCCAAGGCTTGGGGCCTTCCACTAGGGACCTTTTTAAGTACACTAGATTCTGTATGAGAGAAGTAGTACTACTGCTATAGTTCTATGGGAAGTTGGGAAGAGAGCTCATCTTATATAGGTACCATTCATGGAGAGAGGGAGTAAACCTGAAATCAGCGAAAAGTAAGCTCTCCGAAATCGTTCATTAATCTCATAGAACGGCTGGTACTTTTGTCCCTCCCGACGGGTGACGGCAGAATCTCCACCAGATAACCAGGAGAGAGAGCTCCTCAACTCCCCCTGCCCTTCAAGATGCTTGGCAGTGTGACCCGAGCATCGACAACCTGAACCCCTTCAGCGGTAGAAGAGAGATAAGACATTCTCTTGGCGAGAATTCCTACTAGAAGCCGAATGAAACCCCTTCTCAGTAAGGAGAAGAAACGTCTTGCTAACTTTCCTGCGAGTTGGGTGGCCATAGTGGGAATAGTCGGGGGGAGTGGTGTAACTACTGACTGACTACACGACTACAGTACAGCCACCTAGTCTTACAAAACCAAGAAATATTTGCAGGTAGAACCATATAACACATGCATGTAAATTGTAAAGCTGACTGGTCTATTTGGTATATCCTTTCTTGTTCATTACTCTGCCACATTGTTAATATCCGACGAGACATGTTCAAGCAAAGCAACTCATGATGATGAAACTTCCCACAGCAGTTATGTCATGATCGGCGGCCAATGATAATGCAAGCTGATATCACGCCGTCTTCCGCGCGTCTTTCCTCCTTCTTATCCTTCCAGTTCGGATTTCCGTTTCCATTCAAGAAATGGAAACCTTATGCGTTTCGCAATAATCTTTTGTGAGAACCTGAAACAAGTGGTTCGATCTCCACGAAACCTTGCCACTTCCCCAGATGTCCGGAGCCACAAGGAATGCAAGTGGTGTGAGTCTCATTCCTTCAATGCGACATTGCGCCAACTCTCTCCCTCCCCCACTTGGACACTGCCCGCCGCTGCCGAGGATCGACACCGCTAGCTGCTGCATTGGCTTCAGGCTCAAGGTCGATGTTAGGCCTATCTTGCTTAAACTCTACAGTAGTCCAGATGAGTTATTAATAGAGTCTGGGGCAGATTTGCTGCTTTTTATTGATTTATTAAATATTATTATTATCATTCTCTTTTCCTCATCATTGCAGAATGACTAGGACTACCAAAGTATCATGGTGAAACGGTACCTTCTTCGTCTTTTGTTGCCTTACTATCCGTACACAGGAGACCTAGCTTGAAGCCGGCCACCCAATACAAAGTACCAATTAGATAGATAGTACTTAGTCTCTTAAGTCCTTCGTAGTATGTCCCGCAGTCATCCCAAGCCAGCAGATCCACCCTGGTAATTGCACGATAGCGTACGCTTGGCATCAAACACAACATATCGGGACTGTGAAGTAGAAGCAAGGATCCACTCCTAGAGTTTGGGATGGATGCTCCGCAGCATTGATTCAATCACAAGGTTGCCGGGACTGTGGACAGTGAAGGAAGTCGGGTGCGAGCCCGACAATGAGAGCTCCTATATGTCGCCAAGACCGGGGGAAACCCTGATAAGACAGAGGCAAAAAAAATCGTCCAGGGCCGAGGAATGAGAAAAATGGTTGACTGATCAACTGGTGGCTATTACTTAGGATATGCTGCAATCAGTGCGGTGACACAATCATGCCAGTTATTGCGAGTGGCTCCCGCCGAGGACAGGCCCCATCCGATCCTCACCTGGAGATTGGGAACACCTCCGATAGGGCGTTGTACACCCACTGATGATGTCTACTACTGCCGACCAAAACCGTTCCCCATGGATCTCGGGCTTCTTATCACCGGCCGTTAGCCATAATTTGGTCGCTGAAAACGATTTCGGGCTTTGGAATGATGGATTACCCAAATCCCGTGTGCATTGGGTAGCTAGTTAACAGGCAAAGATCCTCGCAGTCCTCAATGGTGGCTGTGATAAGAGGGTGAGGGAACCACTGTTACACAGGAGGGGGTGCGGGTGTAAACGAGCTGCTTCATATGTCATAAGCCACAATATCTGATCCTGGCATCCCGGGCTAATGTTGAGGGTATTATGACTATTTGTTAATATCTCCGGGATTGAAAGATCAGCTTACGGTTTCTCTTTTGAGCCCAAGCCGAGGAATGGGACCCGTACTTTGGTTAGGTTCACCCCCGAGCTGAGGTCAATAGATCGGGGAACCATCGGCCGACGGGGGGTGGCGATATTCAGGCAGAAACGAAATTGATTGCCACGTTCAAAGTTCAGGACGACCACGGATGCTTGCGTGGGCCAATTTACACTCCGCAGCTGAACAGTAAGGTTAGTAGACTAGACGAGACAAAAAAGGGCGAGATTGATTAAAGTATTGCGTTGACATTGACTTTGTGCCTGAGGTGGTGGGCGCAGGCACGTGTGATTGGGCGGTCGGAGGACTGGACAGCCTGAGGCGACCGGGAGGCAAGCCTGGCAGTTTGGCTGTGCCCCATTCGCCTCGACTAATCACAATCCCCATCTTAGTTATAACGTTCTCTGCTAACTTACTGTCCTTTCCCATCCTCACCTTTTCCCTTAACTCCCGAGCTTGTCGGCCGTTGCTCGCTCGCTTTCTCGCTTTCTCTCTCTCTGTGCCGCTATCTGAACTTGTTTCTCCTTTCCTTTGGGCCTGCATCATATCTATTCCCCCCTTCCCCCCCCCCATCCCTCCATCCCCACCACCGGTTTCGCCTCCAAACGATTCCTTCACAGCTCGTTCATCCTCTCTGCACGGTTATTTTTATTGCCTGTCATTCCCAACCCCCACTAAGTACCGTCATCGACCCTCATCCACCCTCTCTTTCTCTGTCTCTCTGTCTCACGTTCACCTTGGTCGAACCCAATCTCCCTCCTCTATCACTAGTACTATTAAGTCCTGGCTTCTATCTGCCTTTCTCTGTCTTCTCATTGGTTACGGGGTTCAAGCCGCCCGACCAATATTTTTGCGAGGGATCGCACCATCTGTTCTCCATCTTCCCTCGTCCCTGTTGTGCCTTGTTATCAGCTTGTTTGAGCACAACCTGAGCTGTGCCCCGCGTCGACGAAACCTGCTTTCCTCTCCTCCACTTCCCCCCTCTGGAAAAGCGTTCTCTGTCTCCACCAACATCGAGCTTCCCCTCTACTGGCAATTTTATCAACATCTATCCTCACACAATTTGTGAAAAGCTTCATTTTTCCGATCGCTCCGAATCTTTCCCTCTCTCTTCACCCCCACCTCCTCCGTTCATGCACCAAGTGCCTCGACCTCCGTGAGACTGTTTTGACACGGCACTCTCGGACCACTGCGCTCCAGTCTCCGATACCAATCGAGCTGTTCGAGGACCTCCCACCAAAATGGCAACAGAAGGGGAGCCCATCACGGACATCTCGTCCAGACCCCTGTCAGATATGGACAACCGGTCCGACACGACCGACGACGACCTCTCACCCTCCCTCGCCACGACACAATCGTACGCTTCAGTGCCCTCCCTCCGCCCGACCCTCGATAAATCCGGTATTACTGCGTCGTCGACACATCTCGGCCAACTCAACGCCGCCCGCCGCGGTGCGGGAACCCCTCCTCGTCCACAAGCTTCAATGAGCGGCGCGCAGCCTGGGGGATTGAATCAAGATATTTTAGCGAAGATGAAGGCTTTCTCCTTGTCCCGACAGGGCGCCCCACCCTCTTTGGCGCATGCCAATACGACTGGCTTGGTGCCCAGGGCCTCTCCGTCGGTGTCGGGCGGAAGTCCCGTCTCAGGACAACCTTCTCCAGGCGCAAACGGCCCCTTAGCAGGTGCTCTTGCGGGCCGTTTACCCCCCGGCGCTGTTCGTCCAACTACCAAAAACTGGGTCTCGTCGCCTTCCGTGCCTCATGGGTCCCCCGGTGGCAGTTCTCCCAAGCCCGGTGGTCTGGCCGCGAAACGTATGAAGCCGGGGCTGAAGTTATCGGACGCTACGGGTCTGAACGGCTCACCGTCGCCAGGCCAGCCCGCCAACGGCGGACCTGCTCCTACAGAAACCGCATTTAGCAAATATTCGGAATTTATCGATACAAAATCGGGGACGCTAAATTTCAAGAACAAGGCTATCCTCCACGGTGGCGGTATCGAATTCTCATCAGGTCACAGTTTCAGCATCTCCTTAGACGAGGTCGATCGTCTGGACGAATTAGGCAAGGGTAACTACGGGACAGTGTACAAGGTTCGCCATAGCCGTCCGCACATGCGCAAACCCGGAATGGGATTACGGGGGATAATAAGCCGCAATGATGATGGAGACAGCACTACGACACCCGGTGTGAAGACAGAAGGTAATCTTTCTGGAGTCGTCATGGCGATGAAAGAGATTCGCCTGGAATTGGACGAGAGCAAGTTCGCTCAGATTATCATGGAATTGGAGATTCTTCACCGCTGCGTGTCCCCATTCATTATCGACTTCTACGGTGCCTTCTTCCAAGAGGGTGCCGTCTATATCTGCGTTGAATACATGGATGGCGGCTCGATCGACAAATTATACAAGGAGGGAATCCCCGAGAACATCCTTCGCAAGGTAGCATTATCCACTGTCATGGGCTTGAAGACCCTCAAGGACGACCACAATATTATACATCGCGATGTCAAGCCCACAAACATCCTCGTCAACTCCCGCGGACAAGTCAAGATCTGCGATTTCGGTGTGAGCGGCAACCTGGTCGCTAGTATTGCCAAGACGAACATTGGCTGTCAGAGCTACATGGCCCCCGAGCGCATTGCAGGTGGGGGTGTGCAGCAGTCCGGAGCAAGTGGAGGCGGAACCTACAGCGTCCAGAGCGATGTCTGGAGCTTGGGCTTGTCCATCATCGAGTGTGCCATTGGTCGGTATCCATATCCGCCCGAGACATTCAATAACATCTTCAGCCAGCTACACGTAAGTCATTGTTTTCATTACATCTTGCACATCATTGAAGATACTAACCGTCCACAAAGGCCATTGTTCACGGTGACGCGCCCACACTCCCCGAAACGGGCTACTCTGAAGAAGCACACTCCTTTGTCCGCGCGTGCTTGGACAAAAATCCGAACAACCGTCCATCGTACAGCATGCTCCTTCGACATCCCTGGCTGTCGTCGCTCATGCAGCCTCCCACAAACACCGACGCTGATGATGCACCCAACGGCTCGGCGAAGGAGGGTGCGTCCAATGTAACGGAAGATGAGGAAGTGGCGGCGTGGGTCAAGGAACAGCTAGACCGTCGCCAGCGCGGCTTGGTTCAAGACGCAAGCAAGCCTGCACTACACGCCGTTGCCCTGGATGCCGTTCCTGGGAGCCCACTCCTTGATGACCCCTCCACTATTTCCGCTCAATGTTAACTGTTTCACGGTCCCTTGGCCTCTCACAAGATCCGGCCTTCATTCTCTGCTATCATCCTGTTTTCAACATGCATGCGTCTGCGTGAGGAGATGGCACTCGCTGGCGCTGGCGCCGTCTAGCCAAGCTGTCGCATAGGGCTCACGCGTTAGGGTGTGCCTGACAGCTTGGATATCTCCCGGGTTTGAGTCTTGTTTTCGGAGGGTAGCGATGAAATGCAGCTGCTTTACGCCGTTCATGCTCCTTACTATTGATGTATAACGAATGTAGAGACATAATACGCTAGCTAGCTAGAACATGTCATGATGACAATGTTGAAACATCGCATGCGTGTGAGACTGAATTTGAGTAGAGTTTGAGGCAATGCCTCGGATCGTCTGTTGCTGTCTTTACTGAAATTGACTCAAGACAAGGCATAAGTCACAACATGTAGCTTTATAGGAACGGCAGGGATACAGACCGGAGGGTGCAATGCTCAGGATGATGAGTACCCCATGGCACAGTGACGGCCTGGCTGTCCGGTAAATTTGGGGTTATTGAACGATGTATCTATCTTTCTCTGCATATCATTTTCAATTGAGAAGGTATTCATGGCGCATCACGTCCTTTCTGATGGAAAGCATGTGATTTGGTCTGCTTAGGCATCAACTCTCGGGATGTTTCCTTCTCAATCTCCTTGACATACCACCTTTCCCGGGTCTGAAGATACCCAGAGTGCAATGCTCGATTGTCTGAGCCAATGTCAGAAGCTATGAATGTGGACGCGACCTTGTCGACGTACCACTTCAGACGGGCATCGACACTCTAGATACTCTTCTCGAAGACTCAAGAATACGCTTTTGGCTGATCAACAAATGACACTCCGAGACTCCGACTTTATTAGTTAATCCAACTGGGATTGCTTACCATATTACTGTGGGCATGCAGGTGCAGTGTTGCACTTTGAGCAAAGTCGGAGTTGATCTCAACCCCGAGGTCGGCGTGTCGGTACATCGGAGCGCCGACTTGGAACCATCGCCGCTGGAGGCGATCACCATACGAAGTATATGGTATGAGAAACGAAGCCAGTCATGATGGAGTTAATCTGTGTAGTAATTGGCAGTACATCCCAGATATTGTTCTCATATAACTGTTCTACTTCATCTAAAACGGTCTCCTCGAAGCTGCAGCTCATTGCACTTCGATCAATATGACCACTATCAGGAAAGTTGCGATCCTTGGGGTACGCCATATACCACATACCATCAACCCATACAAATATCATTCCTAACAGGATATATACTTTAGGCCACCGGTACCCTCGGATCACGCATTGCAAGCGCTCTCAGCGCAGCAGGTCACGAAGTCACCGCCATCCAGCGAAAAGATTCAACAAAGCCTACTCCCGAAGGTCTCAAGACCACAAAAGTCGACTACCAGAACGAAGACGAACTTATTTCTACATTCACCGGCCAGGACGTTGTCATCAGGTGTATCCGTAACCAACAATTTATCTCCTCACCCAAGCTAACCTCCACAGCGCCGTCCCCTTCCCCCAACTCAACTCCGAAAAGATCATCATCGACGCCTGCATCGCCGCCTCCGTCAAACGCTTCATCCCATCCGAATACACCACGATGATGGAATCCCCTCTAACCATCAATCTCCCAATCGCCAAAGAGAAGGTTCTGATCCGGCAGTACCTGAACTCTGTCATTCCTGACACCTCTTCACCCACCACCTGGACCTCTATCAACAATGGCGCTTTCTTCGACATGGCCCTCAAGTACGGCGTCTTGGGACCTAATCCCATAACCAAGGAAGCTGTCTTCCACGATGGTGGCGATAAGGAGATTGCTGTTTCGCTGTTGAATGATATTGCAACTGCTATCGTTAAGCTGCTGGAGCCTACGAAGTTCGAGGCTGCGGCTAATCAGCCGGTTTATATTTGCTCGGCTGTGATTACGGAGCGGAGATTGACTAAGATGGTTTCTGAGATCTTGGGTATTGACTTTGGAACGCCGGAAGATGTTGATGTTAAGAAGCTTATTGAGGAGTCTGATGAGAGGTTGAAGAGGGGTGATATGGCGGCTGTTATTGATCACTATTTTCAGATGATGTATGGGGAGGGGTATATGGGTGGGGAGTTTATGCGCTTTAATTGGAATGAGAGGCTGGGGTTGAGGATCATGGATGAGGAGGAGGTTAGGGGTGCAGTGAGGGAGATTTTAGGGGCTTAGGGGTGTTGCTCGTTTGCTTTGGCTTTTCGAATTCAGATTATAGAGGATTTCATAGAACACTGTTAATTTGTCTGATGGAACACGATTGGGTAACACGGGTGATTGCATTCATTGACAGACTTTAGGCATTCATTATCTGCTAATTTATAGTATTGTTGCAGTACAGTTGCAGACTTGTGGTACAATTATCGAGAGTCAGCAATAGGTAGTGATAGTTGATGTATGTAGGAAGATCGTGTAACCCGATTTAATTTCCGTCCAATGGAGTATCTGAATATAGTATAGTATCTTACGACTACCAGAAATTCAGGAAAGCAACAATCACATATGAAGTTTTGTAGCTGTTGACTGCATCACCCAGATCAATGACCCTTCAATGGTTCATTTAGTTGTGAGGTATCAATGGCGTTACATGGAATAGGAATTAGAAAAATTGACATGATGTGAGGCCTGCATTACGAAGAAGAAGCAATTCAGATGAAAACATCAATTGCCCAAATTTCCAACATATGTATACCTTCGAGATTGCCCATGCTAATTCAGAGCAATCCAACTGGCAATTTCCCTGCTAATCCCTCTGCTTGATACGCTACGAAAACTCAGTTTGCTGCTTGCAAAATGAAGACCATCTCCTACTACCTGCTCGCACTTAAGCTTTGGGGGACCCAGGTACTCGCTGCACCTTCTTGTGTATGGGTCTATTTTCTTACAATGCGTGGAAATAGACACAAAGCACGATTATATACTGACGAACTTGACTTGCTCAGCCCGGCGGAAATCAAACATACGGATGCAATGTAGGAGACAGATTCAATCTAACATGTGATATACCAGAACCACCAACCTTTTACCCCATGTCCTGCATTTATAGATGTGTCTGTAATGATGGCTATGTTCTCGACAGGGTGAGTATACCCTGAAGGCATTATCGTTCACAGATAATATGCAATTGACGCTCTTTCATAATGGTCATTGTATTTCGTTTGGAGACTACCCTGCTGACAGTGACTATGGCGCATCGTTAGATGAGTAGTGCCATTATGGATGTCAGTGTGGTCAAAATTGTGATATAATTCCAAGATATCTTATGATCGTTGCCTCCCTGATGATTCCTTAAGGCTTGTTCCAAATGATTTGTGCTTATGTAACATAAAACGCACCGCCTTTTCAACAAATACGGTTGTGTAGTGTAATGGTCATCACTCTGGATTCTGATTCCAGCAATCCCGGTTCGATCCCGGGCACGACCTTTTTGTATCTCTTTTTTTTTTCCCCTCTTCACTATGCCCTCTCTCTGCGAGTCCTTGATAATAGCGGAGATTCGAGGTTCCAATCCATGTTGCCTCTTTTCCCAATCCACTGTCATCAACTACCACCCTTTTGCATGCCCATGCTCTACAACCCTTCACACCCACTCGCAACTTTAACCAACTCACCAAATTCCAGCAGACTACAAAACTGAACCATTCAACCCAACAGCCAACCACAAAAGACTACTGACATTGGTTCTCAGTACCCTGGAACCCCAATCTAAGGATGTCCAGACCCAATAGCCAACGGCCTTTCTCATACCTACCAGTCCCACGGCTCACCTACCGACGATACGTCAACTATCTTTCTACGATCTATGGATAGCCATGTGTCTGGCCAGGGCGGTACCCCACATATGAGGCAGTTCCACTGTTGACCAGAAGATGAGAATTTGGTCGCGGCCTTTGATCTAGACTCTTCGAAATTGAGTCCGCACAAAGCAAGGCATGCACATATGTTCAGGATTTGGTTCCACTGCTCGGCTACATTTACTGATATGTGGTTTTGGGCCGAATTGGTAGAAAGTATATTTATCTGTTCTGATACAATGCCGATTGCTTCCGGTATTGTGTTAAATAGGTGGACAAAGGGTTGGTGTTTCGTTTGGGTCACCTCGTGGAGGTGTGGTTGATGGCAGTAATGCGGGTGTATTGATTTGCTTGTGACTTATGTCCTCTTGTTCGGGACTCTTATGAAAGGCAGCAGCCCACCGCTGGCGTTTCATTGAGGGATATATCTGGTGATATCTTCGATGAGACGAGTACTGGCTCCAATACCTAACAGGTCACTGATTTCGTTGAACGCCTCAATGAGTGATGTCATCAGTACGCCGCTTATATATATCCCGGTAGGATGGTCAGTGACTTTGTAAGTAATAACGCTACAACCATCAATACCCTCTGCTTTATCACCCATAAGCGCACTCGGTTATAACCAACACATCTACTATATATTTCCCGGCTTATACACCACCAAGAGAGTCATAAGCACAAAAAATCACCTGTAGAATACCCCAATCCAGCATAGCAAGCATAATAATCTCAACTTTTCAAAAATTGCGAAATTCCGAAACTCCTAGGTCGTATGGGGTAATGGTTATCCCTTCGGATTTTGATTCCGACAATCCCGGTTCGATCCCGGGTACGACCTTTTTGCTTCTTGATTGCCTTGGATTGGGATAGTTGGGCGAAGAAAGGGAGGTTGTGGATCGTGGTGTCTTTTTGTAGATGCGTTGGGTGAGTGCGGGTACGTAGGTAGTTTGGATGGGTGATGTATCATGCAGAGTAGATATACCGTAGTTGCTTTCACAACGACTGATTTGATCACCAAGTAACTGCCTGGACCGTCACTAGTACGTACATGAAATATCACTGACGGTTTGGGTGCCCATTGCTGTGACTGCATCTATGAATGACGCATAACTGTACCTTGCGGTGTCGGAGGTTCGAACCCTAAGAAGGGATCAATGACAGACGTAAGGTCATCAAGTTCCTACCATTACCGGCCAGGGATATGCCAGGGCTCGGAGAACACGATTGGACGAGTGTTGTAAATGAAAAGTGGAGGGATTGACCGCATACATATAGGTACCTTGCATAGGGGAATGTCAGACTGAGCAAAAGCCATTAAAGGTAAGTATACCGAATGCGAAGATATAGCGTGACTAGTGTTAACTATGTTTACCTAATAATACACAGAAGTAACCACCCGCAGATATACTATTAACCGTAGTGAACACTGAAAACTAGGCTCATTAGTCCCTAGAATAACACAGAACAGCCTAACATAACACACACCACCATATCATGAAACTCTTCCTACCAACATACACAAGCATCCGAATGTCAACCAACAAATTTCATTCAATATTGCAGCATCATATAGTCAAAATAATCGCCCTGTCAACAACTAAGGTTGTGTAGTGTAATGGTCATCACTCTGGATTCTGATTCCAGCAATCCCGGTTCGATCCCGGGCACGACCTGATCTGATTTCCTTTTTTGCTTTTATTTCAACAAACATACTATCTAGCATAGCAATCGATAACAGTTTCGTTCCTGTCATATTAGACTGATAAACCAACGAACTAGGCTGTGGCACTAGAACTCCGGGAGAAGATTCTCAGAACGAAACCCGACCAAACCAAAGACAGGGCCAACGTGGATCCTGCGACACCTACCGGTTTAAATTAGCTTTATCCACATACACAGCTGGTTGCTACATAGGAGTATGATTTTGATATAACGGGCTGATATGTCGATCTGGTTATCAAGGAACCTATTGCTTGATTTTTCTTTAATAAAAAGATAGGGGAGATGTACATTGCTCTGGCACTATCTCTCCATGTGTAATAATAATATAATCAGGTATTTATTTCAGTCGAAATTTGTCTTACGTTACATGAGACAACATTATCTATTTACTATCTACTAGTAAATCGCCGAACCAAACTTGCCTTCCTCCGACACTAATGAATCTATGTATAGATCCCAATCTCCGAGTAGCTAAGACAAAGAAGCACTACCCCGAAAAATGTCTAAGTTCAAGCTTCCGGGTGGTTCTGTTTGCTTCTCTTGCTTGCGTTCTTCACTGGCATGTTTTCTTTGGGCTTACTGCTATGCCGGCTATTTTTGGGCGGTTGTCTTATCTATGATGTGGGGAATTAGGGCACCGCGTGCTATCGGTCCGGTTTGTGATGGCGGCAGTATTCCTGCAGAGGTTGCTTTTATTAGTCTAGACTAGAATATACTGCATGCTTAGACTAGTTGGTTAGTTTTGCTTCGGGCTGGGTTGGGCGACTGGGAAGAGTACGCTCTCACGTTTTGAGTAGTGAGTGCATATGGAGATGGAATACGGAGTATTGAAATACGATATTGGTAATATGAGCTAAGTACACAATACTAATTCATAGTAGTGGTGTTATATAATTATTTATAGGCTTTGAGGGTAATAGTAACTGATTGCTATGGCGCAGTAGGTTGAATTTCATTCACCTTGTTGGGTATAGTAGATAACAAAAATGCAAAGTTGCATCACACATAGGAAAGAAAATGAAAGGCTGGTTGCTGGCTTGTTTGTTGTCACCCTTTATGCGGGGCAACTGGCCTAGCATCAAGAGAAGCAAAACACAAACAAGCAATAGTGGCGGTCCAGCGTACGTGTGTACGAACGCCACTATGCAGGTAGTTTTTCCTTAATGTGGAATACGAAGACTTAAGGCCGACATGTTGCGCTAAATTGGATTTTCTCGTGCTTTGTTCGGAGAATTGCGAGACAGGTGCAGCTGCATATAGCGCGGGTTTGCGAGGTGGTTTGGCTGCCACCTGTTATTGATCGCTGTGGCGCGGCCAAGGTTCCGTAAGTGGGATACGTAGTGCGTTCCCGCTTGCGTAGTCGATCGACCGGCTCTTTCCCGTTGCGATCCCATACGGTGCGATCCTTCTACTCATTTTGTCTGGCTGATGACAATGGTGATGAGTGGTGGCTCTAAGCTCTGAGCTTTGCGAAAGCAGTACCCAGAAGGGCTTTCGAGTGAGTGAGAATTGTCGGCCTGGATGGGGCGTTGGGATGCCGAGGTGCTGTTCGGGTGGGGCATGCGGTGTGGGCTATCGTTGATATCGCAGGGAGTCAAAAGAGCGTGGACTCGATGGCTTTACGACCTGAGTAGATAGATATTATGCCGTAAATCTGAGATGATAGTATGTCCGTTGAAGACCGAAGTAGATGAGATCCCGCAATCTCCGATTAGTTGATATAGACCATCACCGCAAAGGAGATCAGACAGAAACAAAGCGGAATGTAGACTTTCCGGTCCATATCTGGATCTAGCGGGGAAGAGGACGCAGCGCCGGCGATAGAACGAGTTTGATTAGCGCGATGGATGGATTTGCTAGGTTTCTGAACCATATTCTGATGGAGGAAAGTCAAGGGCTTGAGCCTTGCAGGACCGGGGGGGTGTTAGTTGTCCTTGACAAGAAGGTGGGAGGGGAAGAAGATAAGGGGGGGGAATTGGAAAGAAGAGGGGAAAACAAGGGTCGGGTGATCAACGTGGCGCTGGATTTGGATTCGCCCAACAAGATGCGCATCCTCAGGCACGCCTTCCCCAACCTTTCATCAGGCATCTCCCAGGCATCTCCCAGGCATCAAGAGGTGAGATAGTAAGACACGTGATGTATCAACACACATGGTTAGATAAGCCCGTATGGTATGGTAACTGCAGAAGTTCAGCCCCCAAAGATAGATTACAGCAGGTGACCGGAGGGTTCGCAGAACTCGGTAAGGCCGGACAAACCAACAAGCTTGAGGTCGCATCCACTACTAGTCTACATCATCCACTGCATCCTTTACCTTCGTCTGTGAAGGAGGAGGGGTTCATGTCATCCTCCCTCCCTCCCTCAGGGGACGGGATAATTAAATGAATCAAACGACCTCCCCTGTCTGTCTCAGATTGAGGCTGATGCACCTGACAGACTCCCTATGATTTTGATTACCCTGTCCACCCGTACTTCTGACTCCTGCACGTTATTAGCCCATTCCCTGGTTTAATCTCCAGGAAATTGAGCCAGAAGCGCTCGGTAGTTCGGACCCTCTATCCGAATGCGTCTGCTTATCGCTGATGGACTGAGCGAGTGGGTAAGTAAGTTAGTTCCTGACTCTCTTGATTCCTTCTCAGTGCCACAAAACATGGTCCTTCTCGAGTCGCCTTCAAGCTCTTTGTTATAACATTATCCGGCTGAGACATTCTTCTCTTCCTGACCTCCAAAACATTTGGCCAACCGAGCTGGCGCTTAGACAAAGTTTCTATTTTATTCAGTTACCAGACTTATAATATTTTTTCCGGACTTGTCATCCGACACCGGTAGAAAGTTTTAGAACGGTCCCTCCGAGGGCGAGTGTCGTGCTTATTGCAGCCTGACTTTTAATTATTGCCCTTATTTTTATTTATTTTATTTTATTATTTTCACTTTCGCACTACTTACGGCCACTGGATGTTAGTGCATTGTGACCACTAGATTGGACGAATATGTTTACAATTTCAGTCTGTTCTAATGGTTGAACCACAGGTCCAATGTACCTGATCCATGGCTCGCATCGATTGGCCTCAATTGCATCGCAGCGTCAATGCTGCGACAATTCTCTGACAGGATCAGCAAGCGGGATATCCAACTGTTGGATCACAGATGCGCGGAAATTATCTATATGTGCACGAATATGCGACCGTGGCAAATCGTGGTTAAATACTTGGCCCCCTTGGCTCTCGGAGTTATTGCATCGTTGCCTAAAAAGGGCCGACACCGACTTGCTCCACGGTGACCCTATCGTTACCACTTTGTAGAAATTATCCACTCCTTCGTCTGACCCTAAGCGAATGACATCTTGGACCCCTTCCAACCCTTGACTAGACCGTTGATGACCCTCGGTTTCAAGGAGGAAGAGACAGGTGAGAACAAGGGGGCTGAGAAAAAAAAATACAAAAAACAAAAAGAAGGCATGTGTTGAAAGGAAGGATGAAAGCGGCGCAGGGGACCGAGGGAGAAAACCAAGAAAATAGCAAATCAGAGCGTGTGTAAGACACGCCGAAGGCACAAGCTTTTGTTCCTCTCTCGCTCCGCCTTCGTATACTGTACAGTGTGTACGCACTACGCAGTGCACACAGTGCACACGCCCTCGTTGCTTTCCCCGGCCGGTCAGCGCAACGAACGATCCTCCCGACCGAGTCGAAAAGTGGATAATACCAGCCTCTGCGAATGAGCATGCGCCTATCACAGCGGCCAACACTGGCTTTCTCACTGGGGCCGTCTCCAGTCGAGACTCCACTAGATCGATGTCGTCCTTTGCTCCTCCTTCAGTCGCCGTGTCTGACCACCTCAGCCGTGACGCAGACCTTGTCCAGTGCCTGCCCAGAATCCTCGCAAGGCCGAACCAGGGGATACACCTTTTTTTGCCCCCAGTTATCATCCTTGGGTCTCGTTGGTCCAACATGACTACTCCATAGCGGATGGAGTCTCCCTCAGGGGAAAAGTATTAATATCATACAATTTGTCTCCATGGCGGCATCCACTTGGCTAGCATCATTCACTGTGACCTTATTAGTACCAGTACTCTGCCCACTTCCCGTTCCATAGTAACGGAAGTCTAATATTCCCCTCTTCTTCCCTTTTTGGTTGCCCGGGTTCCTGGGTCTGTCGTTCGCTTTCTCTGCTAGAGTCTCTTAGTTACTTCACTACTATTTAATACATCGAGCGTCCCCCGACTCTACCCGCCTCTTCAATTTCATACCCCGGACGCACACAAGCAGGAGCTTCTTCCTTCGTTTTGTCTCTTGCTATAACCCTCGTTGTTAGCATTGAAGAACTTTTGATACTGTCGCTTCTGGCATTTACCACCCCCACAGCAACAACATCATGTACTTCTCCAAGACTGCTGTTGCGTTGGCTGCGGTGCTGCCCTTGGCCACCGCGCAGACCTACACAGACTGTGACCCTCTCAACAGTATGTTTCTTCTGTTCATACCCATATTTGTTCAGCGCTAACCGAGCGAACAGAGACCTGCCCTGCTGATACGGCTTTGAGCTCCACCACCTTCACCACTGATTTCACCACTGGCTCTTTCAGTGGCTGGATTGCTACCGCCAACAATGTCACCTTTACCGATGAGGGTGCCAACTTCGTCATCAGCGAGAAGGGTGAAGCTCCCACCATTGAGACCGATTTCTACTTCTTCTTCGGCAAGGCCGAGGTTGTCATGAAGGCCGCCAGTGGTACCGGTATCTGCAGCAGTGTTGTCCTGGAGTCGGATGATCTCGACGAGATTGACTGGGTAAGCTCTCTAATCCCCTCGGACACATAAATTATCATTCGACAGCCCCTATTGCCCCTGCCAACCCTATCATGCACGCTTAGCTGCACCCTTATCACCCAGTATGCATGGGATAGTAAGCTAACCAGATTGGGATATCCAGGAAGCTCTTGGTGGTGACACCACTCAGATTGAGACCAACTACTTCGGCAAGGGTGACACATCCTCCTACGACCGTGCTACCTGGGCAACCGTGTCGACCCCCCAGGAGACCTTCCACACCTACACCGTTGAGTGGACTGAATCTGCCACTACCTGGAGCATCGACGGCACTGTCGTGCGCACCCTTGCCTACAGCGATGCCCAGAGCGGTACTCGCTACCCCCAGACTCCCATGCGCTTGAAGCTTGGTATCTGGGCTGCTGGTGACTCCTCTGAGCCCGAGGGTACCATCGAGTGGGCCGGTGGTGAGACTGACTACTCCGACGGTCCCTTCACCATGACTGTCAAGTCTGTCAGCATCACCAACTATAACCCTGGCTCCTCCTACACCTACTCCGACAAGACCGGTGACTACACCAGCATTGTCGTCAACAACGGTACCTCCAGCTCTAGCGTCAGCTCCACCACCGGCTCGACCTCCAGCTCTACCTCCAGCTCCACCAGCTCCTCCTCCAGCTCTACCTCCAGCTCTGGCTCTACCTCCAGCTCTGGCTCTACCTCCAGCTCTGGCTCTACCTCCAGCTCTGGCTCTACCTCCAGCTCCGGCTCCAGCACCAGCTCTGGCTCCAGCACCAGCGCCTCCAGCGCCGCTGCCGCCGGCTCGTCCTCTGCCCTCATTGGCTCTGGCTCCAGCACCAGCAGCGGCTCCTCCGCCGCTGGCTCTGGCGCCGCCTCTGCTTCGGGCTCCGCCTCTGCTTCCTCCAGCGCTAGTGCCAGCGCCTCCCCCGTCTACACCGGTGCTGCCACCCAGGTCGGCGCCTCCACCAGTGTTCTCTTCGCTGGTCTCCTCGCCGCCCTTTTGTAAATTTACCCCTCCTCATCTTCGACGATATGATCATTATCAGTCCTTGATGCAACCTTTTCACTTCTCTTTCTGGGTCGTTTGGAAACTTACGCCCACCCTTTCCCCTGCTTTCACTGCATAGCTTATTTGGAACCGTTGGAAGTACATATTATCTGAGAGGAGTTGTCTGTTGGCGTTCCTCACCCCCACCGGCCATCAGACAGAAAGTCTTTCCTGCTACTACCCTATCACAATACTATTGCTACTATTATTGCCGTTGGTCTATCTCGGATTGAATCTCTTGCTGACTTGTTCGCTCTTCTACGCGTCGATATTAACGAAATGGGTCTTCTTTTTTGTCTTTCCCCGGACGTTCCTTTGCTGGAAAAAATCAAAGACTTAATTAGCTCAGAACTTAATGATATTAATTCATATCCAATGCAACCCAATCCATGTAAATAATACTACGCGCCATGCTACGCTGTGTTTCTTGGCCCGGGGTAACCACTCCCCAGACTAGACAACCGTTCCTGACAGGTAGGTGGTAAGCCATGTGTAACGTGAGACCCACGTGTGACTGTAACAAAGACAGGTGACAAAGAAAAAAAGAAAAAACAAAGGGAAAAATAGCGACGCGCGCCGCATCCCAAGAACTAAAACTAAACTAAACGCCGACTTGCATGTTTACCCCAACTTTCTCTGTCTTGGCCAGTTCAAATCATAATCAAAAACTAATATACCCATCATATGCATGTCTCATATTCACGTTAGTTAGCTTTTCAATAGTTCGCGCTCAGATAACAATATTTCTTCTTTGTTGCAGTATCTGAAGCTGATTCGATAGGTTTCGGACGACCTGGATGACCGGGCGATGATTGGTGGACGCTTCTCGAAAAAGGTCAGCTAGTGAGGGATCCGGGCTGGAGACGGCGCTTTCCGGCTCCGCGGTGATTGGGCGGAGCATGGCAGGTAAGTTGACGCCCAAGAGTGAGTTAACGAAGGTGCGCAGACGAGGTGGCTGGTCTGATTGTGGTACTGGTTCGGGCCCTGGATTATTAGGCCCGGGCGCATGAATAGAAGAGCTTGGCTTTGATTGTTTTGATTCGCGGGCTACGATGGTCCCGATTGATTCGAGATGGTCATCGAGCGTGGCGAGGTCGTTGGAGAGGGAATCGACTTTGGACTGCATGCGTGTGGTGAGCTGGTCGAGGTATTGTTCTCGTCGGGCCATTTGGGTGGCATGACGCGCGTCTTGAGTCAAGGTTTGAATGTTGTCGCCGCTGGCGATCAGACTATCTACCGCTGAGCGGATGTCGGCTCGGAGCGAGTCGAATTTGCCGGCTGCGATGCGGGTGGCTTGAAGACATCCCGTGAACTCGAGGTCTAGTTCGTGTTTGCTGCCTGGGTAGGCTTGCTTGAGTTCTGTGTGGATGTCGCGCAGCTTGGATTCGCTTTGTTTTAGTGTGCTGGTGAGAGGGTCTGTTTCGTTCAGGGTAGAGCTGAGCAGGGTCTCGAGCCGCGATTGTGAACTAGTGATGGTGTCCCGGGGGGCTGGTTGGTGGCGGGGGAGTTGTGGCTGGGGATATGGTGGGATGCAACTAGCTGGGTATAGAGTTGCTATTTTCTCCGAAGAACAAAGCGTTTGGTATTGTTGGACTATTTCGGGAAGGACGAGCATGTGAGCGATGGCGGCGATAAGCGCACAATTGAGAATTGTGCGTAGGAGTGACTCCAATAATTTCCATGTGCGAGGCTGGGTCGCTTTTGGTTGGCGAGATCTTTGTGTTCGCGTTGCCGCCGTGACATCTTGTTTGGGCGAGGGAGACTGTTGTTTCCCTTCTTGCGCCGAATCCTTGGGCGATTTTTGAGGCCTCCGTCTGAGAGGCCGCTTGGATCGAGCGGTGGGCGCAACCCAAGATCCTTCTGATAGAGGCGCTTCGTATATTGACGGCATAATTAGTTCTGGTCCCGAGGCGGATGAAGTGGAGGTAGACAGGGACTCAGATCCATAATTGCGGTTCCTTCTAGCTGGTCGAGGTGTTGGGCTTGAAGGCTCAGATGGCTGATGTTCATCTTGTTGCTCGTTCTCATGAGGTAAAGCTACAACCCAGGACTCGCCCAGAATTGAGCTGTCCTGGGGACGAGGTTTTCTGGTAGACATCAAGGTCTGTAGTCACAAGGTACAGGCCGGCTAATGGTAGCTTAATAGAAGCTTCAGTCTCTTGAGTCACTACACGATGTTGGCGAGCAGACAACGCGCACGCGAGCCGTTAATAGCAAGGGATAATGATGTAAGTTTCCATATACTGTAAAAGATAGCCCAGACGCATGTGAACAGTATCCGAATATATAGTGATACTAGCGAGGTCAGCTAATCTTCTCTTCAGCTGTAGCACCGCGCTATCACAGTAAAGAGAAAATGCGACAGAACCAACACTGCTGTAACTCACGTGAAGCAAAGGTACTTAGACAGAAATAGCAGTATGATTTTCAGTGACGAGCTAGTTTCACGATAACGGTGAGTGAGCGGCGGTGAACCAGGATGCCGATCCCAAGGTAGAAGAGGCAGATAGCTGGACTAGTCGACGATAGTATATCTAGATCGGCCTTCCAAACGTCCAGCCACCCGATGAAGTCGGTGGGGGACAATCACGGGAACGCGATTCCCAATCGGGAACTCGCGTTTCCAGTCACGGGCGACTTGAGGAAAATCCTCCAGTTTCACCATTTGGTCGCTGTCTCTGCCCGCTAGATCCCACCATGCGTCGACTGTCGCCCTTGTTACGGCAGCCTTTGCTTTCTCGGAAACCTCCAATCAGGGGACGATTGGTCCCTTGGCCATCAGTGAGGGCGCAATGGCTCTCATCGACGTCGTCCCGGCTCTGCTCGTGCTCTGACCCGCAGCCCGGACAGCCTCAGGCTCAATCTTCGACCCCAGCCGATTATCGCGCCCTGGGAACCTCCCAGGACCTTTTCACAACCTCAGTCTACAGCCCCGGATCGCCTCTGTTCCTCCCCAATGGCACCCATATCATCAACAAACTCATCACCTTTCTCCGCACGCAGTACCTTCAATACGGTTTTCGCGAAGTCCTGACCCCGACGATCTACAAACGTGCCCTCTGGGAAGTCTCCGGCCATTGGCAGAATTACAAAGATGATATGTACGAGGTGCGCGGTAGGGGGGCTACTGGAAATACGGATGGAGAAGCGGGAGAGGATGAGTCCTACGGCCTGAAGCCGATGAACTGCCCCGGCCACTGCCTGCTATTCAAATCGCAGACGCATTCTTACCGGGAACTGCCCATCCGCTACGCCGATTTCAGTCCGCTTCATCGGAATGAGGTTTCGGGTTCGTTAAGCGGACTTACCCGTGTCCGCCGTTTCCATCAAGACGATGGGCATATTTTCTGTCGACCGCAGCAGATTAAGGGGGAAATCGCTTCGGCACTTGGGTTCGTGGACTTGGTTATGACAACATTCGGACTGGGGCCGTATCGCTTAGTCCTTTCCACAAGGCCAGAGAAGGACTTCATCGGTAGTTTGGAGTTGTGGAATAGTGCCGAAGCTCAATTGCGCGAGGCACTCGACAATACAGGCAGGGAATGGGCCATGAACGAAGGTGACGGAGCATTCTACGGCCCCAAAATCGACATCCAGCTTCAAGACAAAGCAGGAAAATACCACCAACTCTCCACTATCCAGCTCGATATGAATCTCCCTCAGCGATTTGGGCTCGAGTACCAGGTCGCTGAAGGTGAGGAGGATTACAACCCGGAGACCCCAGGCAAGGCGACCCCGGTGATGATCCATCGGGCAAACTTCGGCTCTCTGGAGCGGTTCTTAGCGCTGCTCATTGAGGAATACGCTGGTCGCTGGCCGCTCTGGCTTTCTCCGCGCCAGGGTATCGTCCTAACCGTGAACCAAGATGAGGCTGTCGTACAGCAGGCTCACGAAGCGGCTGCCAAAATCTCTGGATTCCGCGCCCTTCAGCCCGGCCAAATGGGGACTGATGCACCCCAGCCCATCTCCTCGGTTGACTCCACATTCTTGATCGATGTGGATAGCAGTAGCCAATCGCTGAACAAGAAAATCCAGCGAGCCAAGCAGATGAAGTACAACCTCATCTTCATCCTGGGACCCAAGGACGTCGCTGCCTCTCGCATCACGGTGGACGTGACAGGTCAGCTGCAGAGCAAACCAGAACGTGGGGTGCAGAAGCTGCAAGACATCCTGACGCAACGTTTGGGCGAGAAGGCCTTGAAGAACCCTCGGGCCATTCCCCTACCCGTAGATGACGTGCACGAACTTCTGGTGCAGCTGGAGAAGCAATTTGTATAATACTATGACGGTGATGTGTAGATATAAATCATGTATAATAGAAACCATTATTTCGCACCCAAGTTGTCTGTGGGTGTTGGCCGGGAGATGATCGGCCCTCACACGGCCTCTGTATACTTGTGTATGGGCGACACGTGACTGTCCGATTAAGCTTAAATTGCATGCCTGATCCATCTACCGCTGCCTGAATTCCATGGCCGCAAAGGGTTAGAGCCCCCGGTGTCTGGCCTCCTGATTGGCCGTGTTGCAGTCGCACTCGCCCGAGATATCGTCATGCCGGTTGCGTTCCAATCTTTCCCAATTGTTCCGGCGCCGCCTCTCCCGCTACAAGATCGGCCCATCGGAGTGTCCGTCGACTGCTGGGATAACTCAGTTAGGACGCGAATCATCATAGTCAAGATGGCTGGAGTTGTCTCCTATCGGCATATCTTCAGGATGTTCTTTGGCGCAAGAATCAAACGATAAGGCTTTTTCTACACGGGTTCCAAGCTTTCCTCAACGGTCCACTTCTGATCAGATCATCATCGCGCCGCTCTTCCTTCCCCCCCCCACGACCCAGGGAAAGGTTCGACTCTTCTGGCTGGAATTAAGGTGCGCCCCTAAGCTTGTGGTGGCCATCGTCGTCTCACTTTTCTGGTTCCCTTTGACCCCCACTCGCCCTCCCTCTCGTCCCTTTCCCTTTCTCCTCTCGCCCCCCCCTCTCTTCCCCCTCCTCCTTCCCTTTCGCGTGATCGTGATTTTTCCCTTCTCTTCCATGGAGGCTGTCGCGACGTCTGTCCCGTCCCCCACGGCCTTCCTGGATTGTCCAATTCCATGGTCGTAGAATCCAAGCAGTCGGGCATGGCCGACGTGCCTACAAAGTCCAACCTTCCCCGGAAAAGCGCCTTTTCCTGCGAGGCTTGTCGCAAGCGAAAGGTGGGTTCCTTTGTCCCCCTTACGTTCGTGACTCGGATGACTTCCGAGATTAACATGTCGAATCATCATCTTCGCTTCGCTGGCTGTGCTGACTGGACCGGCTAGGTGAAATGCAACGGAGCCAGTCCGTCATGTTCGCGATGTGCGACACGCGGTGAGGTGTGCGTCTATAGTCTGTGAGTGTGGCTTATTTTTCTTTTCCTTCACCCTCGCTTCTTGGGACTTTTGCGTTCCCCCCCACCAGCCCGACCCGCTTTGTATTGCCCTATCGGCAAAATTGTCGATCACTATTGACTCTTTATTTGCTAGAGCTCCAACCTTATCTTATACGAAGCAGCTGGAAGCTCGCGTCGCTCAGCTGGAAGATGCTCTCTCCAAATTACGAAACCAACAACCCCCGGAACCCGTGTCGCGGAAGGGCGCCTCCCCTGCATCTCCCGGCGAGTCTAGCGCCAGCCCGGGTATCCGAACCCGCATCAAAGAAGAAGACGAAAACGAACAAGAGCTCGCCAGAGACTTTGAGGGTCTCAAGGTCGAACACGATGGTCGAATATCATTCCACGGCCCAACCAGCTTATTCCAGCTACCAAGCGGCCTCTTGAACGAGACTTCCTCCACGTCCCGTTTGGCTATGCAACTGGAGGGACGGAAGGAACGGCTTATCAACAATGCATGGCGGGAACGGGCCTTTGAGCAGATGGCCACCATGCCCGTAAGTATATTCCGGTCACACCATCAGATATAGAGGATGATATTAATGTTGATCTTATCGCTGTGACAGGAACCATTCCAGTATCTCCTCGATTCACACTGGTGTTGGATACAACCGCTCTTTGGCTTCGTTTATCGACCTACGTTCACTCGTTAGTTGCCTCTCCGTTAGCCGATGCTGGTGATGCTCTGACACCTTGCAGGTGATATGAAAGTCAACGGCCCCTATTACACCGACGCCCTGTTGAACGCCATTCTTGCCCACTCAGTACGATGGTGCAAATTGGAGCCTAAAATTGGGCCAATTCTGGACTCCTTCGAAGGCGGGGCGCAGTTCTCTCACCGTGCTGTATCAGGCCTCTATGATTCGCTCAAAGCCGGCTACGTCGGCATTCCAACGATTCAGACCTTACTTCTCCTGAGTGCGCAGGAGTTCGGACGAGGCAACCGAAGTCAGGCGTGGTTATACAGTGGAATGGCCTTTAGGATACTGGACGACCTTGGAATAAACATCGACAGTCGGAAGTACTCTGATAGCGCTCACCTGACTGATGAGGATATCGAGCTCAGGAACCGTCTCTTTTGGAGCTGCTATTTCTGGGATAAACTGATCTCATTGTACTTCGGCCGTTCCCCCACGATGCAACACTCCCGGGTCAGCCCTCCTCGGATGATCTTGGATGACACAGCCGAGGTCGAGCTTTGGACACCTCATGGCGTCGAATTCCCTGATGGCACTCACTATCCGCCCACCCAGGCTCACTCTACATCGTGCTTCATGAAGATGTGCGGCCTGGCAGAGATTCTTAACCAAATATTAATCCATATCTATGATCCTCTTCGACAGGTTTCGGAAGTAGAATACTATAACTGCATCCAGGAACAAGCCGCTAATCTGGCTGACTGGTGGGAGGAGCTTCCCGATTACTTGAAGCTACTGCCCATGGATCTTCCTCCATATTCCCCTCCAAGTCACATTGTGACCCTGAAGTGCGTACCTTTTCCCTGCCCGATTTTCTCGCCACGTCTCGTCATTCTAACGCTGTTACTTAGCTGTCTCTACCATACCATCAACATCCTCCTCCACCGGCCCGTCCTCTGCTCCAAATCGAACCGCGAATCTAACGACAAAAGTCATCTGATCCAATGCATGACATCTGCGACTACGATTCTGACCCTCTTCGACTTGTACCGCCGTACTTTTGGTGACAGTCATGTCGTACTGTCTCTCTCCTACAGCGTATACACTGCAGCATCTATTTTCTTGCTCGAAATCCAGGCTCTGAAGTATGCTGCTCCGGGTACCCTCGACAAGTTGAAGTACTGCATTTATGCACTGGAGCGAGTCAAAGGGACAAGTCCTGGTATGTTTGCCGATAACTGAAAGTGAACACTGCAGCTAATGCGTACAACAGTCATCAGCACAGCCTTAAGTCTCATCTACCAGGAGCTGCAAAAGCTTCAAATCGACATTCATATTGTTCTACCCACAGCCCAACCTCAACAGCCTCCACAACAAAGTCAAACCCAACCCCAACCCCAATCCCAACTTCAACAGCGAACTCGAACCCATCATAGCCATTCTCCTTCCCAACATCAGACACCACCCCCGTCGAATATCTCCAGTAATACTTCTCAACGCGTCTCCCCTGTACAGCAGCAACCACCACAAGCAGATTATCCTATCACCTCCATGCACACTGCTGGCATGAGCTCTGCAGCCTCGATGTTACCAGGCTATAATTACCAAACGCCCATTGCCGATTTCGAGCTGTCGCAGACCAATATGCCGCAGGTGACTGCCACACATCTAATTGGCGGTATGCCAAATGCCATGCTGACGCTGGATAACCCTGGTGCATACGAGATTACTCCTGAGGTTTTCGAGGCGTTTTCCTATGCGGAGCCTATAACGACGAATATGGCACCTACAGTTGATTACGGGTGGGATAGACACACTTGATACCAGAGGCAGAATGTAGCTGCAGGATACGAGGGAACGATGTACTACCTAAGGCGAATTGGCTCCAAAGTATCTCGATAGATTAATTGAATGACTGTACTTTTTTGTACTTATCGACGTGTATGTAATTCTATCGAGAATTCCGCATGTGTAGAATTACAGTTGAATAATTGAGAACAATCGAACGTGTAAACTAAGCTATCTAAGTGGCTTAAATGATAACAAGCTGCATGCTTTTATGTCTTTGATGTATCCGTCCCAATCCACATCAGCCCGGATTTCCATCCGAAAGTAATTATGCAACATCGTCCCCATCAGAAACCCAGAGATGGGGACTCCACAGGTGTAAGTATATAGGTATAAGGTAATGTAAAAGGTGAGGTATCAAAAATGGAGGGTATATATCGAAAATAAACGTCCTTGAGATGTAATGTTTCTGGAAAATCTACAGAGGCACACTTTTGCTGTCCACTTGCTTGGCATCGACACTGCCCTCGCCGGCAGTGGAGGCCGAGGACGAGGCAACATCCTTCGGCTTTGCACGCCAGCGCAGGTACCATGGGCAATCGAAGAGATCGCCCATGCGCTCCATAGGGACACCTTTGGTCTCGGGCATCCAGATACCGAGGATGATGATGCCCAGAAAGCAGATGATGGCCCAGAATAGATACGCACCCCAGACGTTAAGGGAGACGAACATGTTGGGTGTCACGCGCACGACGGCAAATTGGAAGAACCAATGCAAAGTCATGCTGAGAGCGTAGCTCACGTTGCGAATGCGAGTGGGGAAGATTTCTGTACCATACAGGTAAGGGATGGTGCAGAGGCCGACGGACCAGCCAACGGCGTAGATGAAGACGGATGCAATGGCGGCATTGGAGGCGTTCTCATTCTTAGCGGCGCCCGGTTGCAGACCCATGTAAGCGCCCATGTAGATGTGAGCAGCTAGCTGGAGACTCAGCCCCATCAACGCGCAGCGACGTCGGCCCAGGTAATCAATGAAAACCCAAGTAAACGCCATGGTGAAGACGACCTTGACAATGCCATATGCACCTGAGGAAATAAGAGATTCGGCGTTTCCAGTGATGCCAGCATACTGGAAAATATTAGAAATGTAGTAGGTGATACCGTTGCCTCCTGTCCATTGGGCGATGGTTTGCATGGTCATCAGGAGCCAGAACCGCTGCCGATAATTAGGGTTTAACTGGGATTCCTTGAAAGCTTGCCAATGACTGACAGACGCCAAGTCTGCTGCCTTGGCGCGCACTTGAGCTTCAATTGTGTTAAATTCCTCATCAACCTCGGGATCGGAAATGTCTTTCCCACGGAACCGAGCTAGCACAGCTCGCGCCTCCTCGGGCCGCTGCTTGGACACCAGATAACGAGGTGTCTCAGGTACGATGAAGGAGGCAAAGAAAGCTAAGCCCGTAGGGATTAGTGGAATCGACTGGACCAGGCGATATTGTTCCCGGGTAGGGGCCATATGCAGGTCGGCCCCATAGTTGACAAAGAACCCTGTTGGAGCGACATGTCAGACAACGCCACATGTGAAACTAGCGGTTAACGAGAGCGTTAGCTTACCCACAGTGAGGATGGTGAGCAAAACCACCATGTAAACGCTCACTACCAAGCCTCTAGTCCTCGCCGGCGCTATCATCGATATTAGCACTTTTATAGTACATGTACATTAATCTCCGAGATTACCTACCGATCTCTGACAGGTACAAGGGCGTAGTCACTGTTAAGGCACCAGCGCCCAGACCACTCCAAATTCTAGCAAACAATAATAGACCATAGATGCCGGAGGAGAAGACCTGGATGAAAAGACCCGATCCCCAGACCAAACAAGACAGTTGCCATGTCCGTACTCGACCCAAGCGATCATTCAAGTCCAGCGAGAACAGCGCACCAAATGCGGCACCCAACACATTAAAGGAGGTTATGTTCGCCTTGCGATTGGCCAGGCCAGTGGCATCGTGAGTCCAGTTAGAGGACAAAAGGTTAAAGTCGACCATGAACGACTCGAGCTTGACGCTGGCACTGTAGCCACCCTCATCGTAACCTGCAGCCCCGCCCACCAGTTAGAATGCGATCTCTCGTGTATAACAGCACGGCGTGAAGATGACGTTACCTTTAGGAATACTGCCACAGGCTATAATAAAGATCACTAAGGCATAATAGGGATTTGTGGTCCACCGAGACCAGTCAATCGCCTTCCATCCCATGATGGCGAAGCGGGAGGAGCCGCGATGGAGCTGGAATCAGCTATTTTGGGATATTAGCCGACGAGATAATAGACGTGTATTAAGCACTATGGAGATATCTGGGGAAGCTCCAGTTTGAACCGATTGCTGCCTTGCTGGGTACGTATCCGAAGGGGGCCCGGGGGGGGGGGGGGGGGGGGGGGGGGGGGGGGGGGGGGGGGGGGGGGGGGAGAATGATTAGGAGGCAAGCCACACGATGCGAGTCAGGCCAGACGAGTGGACGGAGAACAAGCGAGGCGAGGAACAAAACTCGGAAAGGAGAGAATATCCACTCGGAAGGAGGAGGGCCGAGAAGGGGGGGGGCAGAAGAGAGGAGGAATGAGACGCACGGGATCCAGAGGGGCGTGACTCGCCTCTCGGTCAACTTCCGCAGGTTCTTCTCGCTCTCTCTCCTCTCCTTTTTCTTTGGTACACACGCTAATGCACTTCTTATCACCATTCGGGAATAGAACGCCTTCAATACTTGGTATGCATCTATTCTAATGTCTGATATTGAACTATCTATAATTCCGAGGCTGAATTCATCTAGTGATATCTATATATCTAGATCTAAACCACTGTATTCTCTGCTCTCAATAGCACCATGCGTGCACACTTCGCCTGCATGTCAGATCGGGCGGGTCGTTCCGCCTGCATCCACTCGGGCCATTACCGTTGCCTGTGAATAACTCCGCTCCCCGTGGCTCTGCATTTCGCTTAGATACACGTCCGATCTGGCTTGGTTCAACAGTCAAACGTCTTTGGTTGTCATTGGTTGCCGATCAGAGAAAAAGAAAGTGGACATATCCAATGTCGCTCACGTGTAAGTGGCCCCCTTGCGGCCACATTCCGACCTCATCATACCGGTTTTCGTACTTCAGCGACACCATCCCGCCTTTCGCTGGTGACCGGTGGGTCAGGGACTGTTTCATTCCTCACGTTTACTGGCATCCGTCCGGTAACACAATCGGGAAGCCGATGAGCTGCCGTAATGTCTTTATCCACAGTTTTGACTAGACGGGTCGTCCTTGGCTTTGCACCTAGCCTAATAGAGAGCATGATATCGATGCAGAAATGTTCCTTAAGAGCAGCTGTGGGAACGCTGCGGCTCAGCTGTCCTGTGAGTTTGTCACACCTGTGTTGGACATCTACACCTCCTGCTATTCCTCCTACCCATACTTAACCTCTCTACCTCGCCCTTGATGACGTCTTGACAATGCTCTCGTCCTCGATGCCCACCATGCTTACCACGTTCCAGCCCAGGACAGGCCTGCTTGAATCTCCTCGGGCCTTGTTCAGCACTGCACATCTGAAGGAGGAGCGACAACTATGCAAGGAGGGAACGACAACCCTCCAGCCTATCCCACTGAAGTATCGGATTCCCCGAGGGACGTGGGATACACATATGCACGTTGTGGAACCAGAGCGCTTCCCAGTTTCCGCGAATGCAGTCTATCAGCCTCCCGAACATACCGTTGACGATGCGATGAATTTCGAATCTACCCTTGGCATCGAGAAAATTGTATTGGTTCAGCCATCTATTTACGGAACCGATAACTCTTGTCTACTTGAAGCACTCAAAACTCTCGGACCTTCTCGCGGGCGAGGAGTCGTGGTGATTGATCCGACCAACATAGACACCAAGACCCTAGAGGAGTGGCATCTGCTGGGAGTACGCGGCGTGCGGGTGAATCTCAAGTCCGTGGGCAAGGTGCTCAGCGAGCATGAGCTGACAGAGACGCTGCTGCAACATGCGCAAATAGTACGGCCCTTTGGGTGGACTATCCAGGTCTACGTATCCTTGGATATGGTTCCCCTGTTGGAGAGAGTTGTCCCACAGCTCGGAGTCAAGCTGTGTATTGACCATTTTGGAGGGCCAGATTTGACAGCAGTCCAACACGACGGGGAATCGTTTAACCCCTATATGCTGCCGGGATTTTCCTCGTTAATCTCGCTTCTGCGAGGCGGAGAGACCTACGTGAAGATCTCCGCCCCGTACCGTCTCAGCAAGGACGAGGAATATCGAGACCTGGAAGCGATGGCCCAGGAGTTCCTTGAAGCAGCTCCGGACCGTGTGATATATGCCACCGACTGGCCACACACGCGGTTCTCTGGCGTGGACATCGAACCATTCACCGAGACATGTCTACGGATATGTGCGAAGGAACCTGGATTGGCGGAGCGGGTGTTTCGAGATAACGCCGAGGAAATGTTGAGGGGGGTATAGTTCATTCTCTGATTTGATAGCGTCCAGCCAGCCCGCATAGCCCCCCTATTACGAGTTACGACATCGCATAGCATACCATACCAAGAAATGTCATTCAGAATTTTCCCAGCCATCAGGAAGCGGCCCTGCAGATCGTGAAACGAGTGAGCTGTTCAATTCGGCCAGGTTCCGAGGTGTATAAGTCGACTGCATAATGTAATCGGATTTACGGTAGAATTTGCCGAGACGTCGGCAACAGTGGAGACCGGCAAAGTGCACGGAAAAGCGAGTCAGGAGCACCTTCAAGCAATAAAAATAATAAATTCCCCAGATTATAAAGATTATTGTAAGTCCTACTGGATAATATGATAGGAACCAGTATTGTCTCCCCCCATAGAAATAACCGGGGAAGAATGACCCGGAGTTCAGGATCAATCCCAAAGGTGCACGGGTACGACTTTAGCCTCGGACAGAATCCGATACGTATGCCAACAAACACCAACTCACACCTGTAAACTAGCTAACCAGATTGATACTACCAAGTATGGTTCGTTTGACGGGGGAGTTATGCTTTTCCTCGGAAAATTGCAAATTTTTCGTTGGATAGAGTTTGGACGCTCCAGCTCTGAATACCCTTATCAGATCCGGGAATAGGCGAGCGAGGTTCATCCGCGGGTACCGAGCCCTAGTTAGTTATTTAGTTTACATAAAAGAGAGTAGCAGTTAGTTAACTGATTAGTTAACTGATTACTTAGTAAGAAGAAAGGGCTCAACTTCTCTTTCTTCCCTGAAGAAGGCGAATCTGGGTTGGATCCACAAGAAGGTAGGTTTGACTTGGTCCGGGAGGTTCTAGAATCTTGGGGTGTCTATTCTGGATCCAATCTTGGAGGGGGAAATATTAGCGAGCAGTTGGACTGGTAGTTAGATAACTAGGGATTGTTGTATATGGGGATGTGTAATAGTAGATGACTCGTGACTTTGATAAGCCGTATGACTCGTGTACGGGTCTGAGCACTTGCATGGGAGGAGTTATGGCTGCAGGAAGCTTGCTGTGAGTATGAGGTGTACTGTCTGTTTGCTTGCTTGCAAGGTCACTGCACTGCGTTTTGCGCGAGTCGAGAATACGAGCTGCGTGCTGCAAGTGGGTATTCCTCGTGACTTGGATTGATTCCGTGAAGGTTGGGTAGCGGGTTGATAGGCATACTATGTTCTGTGTTTCTCGGTTGTACAAATTGCTATTTGTAACTATTAGTGGCTGTGGGATATTCATATTCGATGAAGAAGGGTGGGTAGTATAGACTTGGATTATAGTTGAATTAGATGCATGTAGTTTGATGTAGAATTCCACACACTCTAAAGCTCTTCTGCGTCCCTATCTAGTATTGGTCTAATTTTTTTCTGCATCGAATAATACACTCCTATTCGATCTAGTTGTTGATAATATTGTGAAACTAATAGAGTCCAGCGTCCGAGATATACACGCCGGGAGCATACTATTACCACCAAGTTCCCACTGACGAATGCATACTTTCTTTCACAATTCAATGCTGCTAAGTATCTCTCACTATACTACTAGTATTCATATCAAGATCTATGATACATTACATTGCATTAAATCATAATGAAGAGTAAAAGTCGAAGCACCGCCAACCCAACAACCAGTTCCACTCCCTACGTCATCGGGATGTCACCACCACCACCACCATCAACTATAAACACCATCACCACCGCAGCTCGAACCTTACATCCACCCTAATTAACAATAATCTACTACCAAACACTGAATTGAATCTACCACATAACATCCAAATAACTCCCTAGAAAGGATCTTCAAAATGCCACCCAAAAAGGTCCTCATAATCCTCAGCGACGCGACCTCCTTCCCCCTGCACAATACCTCCTCCGGCACGCAAGAACAACCAACCGGCTTCTTCCTCCCCGAACTCGCCAAACCACTCTCCAAACTCCTCTCCGCCGGCCACGAAGTCACCTTCGCCTCTCCTAAGGGTCAAACCCCTCAACCCGACCCGAACAGCGAATCCCTCCTCACCTTCGCCGGCAACTTCTACGAACGCCGGCGCGAACAAGAGCTCATCGAGCGCATGCGCCGCGAGAACGGCTTTTCCTCGCCGCGCCCCTTCGCTAGCATCTCCGACGACGAACTGAAGACGTTCGCGGCGGTGTTCATCCCAGGCGGACATGCGCCGCTCGTAGACCTAGGTGGTGATAAGGAGCTGGGCAGGATCTTGAGGTACTTTCATGGGGAGAATAAGCCCACGGCGGCGATCTGTCATGGGCCGTTGGCGTTGTTGAGTACGAGGGTTAGTGGGGATGGGGAGTTCGTGTACAAGGGGTACGAGATTACGTGTTGGAGTGATGCGGAGGAGAAGGTTATGGAGACGTTGTTGAGGGGGGAGATTGAGAAGGTGGAGAGTCAGTTGAGGGATGCTGGGGCTGTGATGGTAGAGGGGGGAAGGGAGAAGTTGGGTAAGACGACGCTTTGTAGGGAGTTGTTGACGGGGGCGAATCCGTTGGCGGCGGAGGAGTTGGGGGAGAGGTTTGTTAGGATGGTTAGTGTTTAGATTTATTTAATTTATTTACTAGCTAGACTTGTTGATATGTTGTTGAGGAATAGGTGTAGTGTACAATAGTTTGAATACTTCATTGCTTTGTGTGGGTAAATATGTGGACGAGTATATTCCCATCCATGATGTGGAACAGTAGATCAATCAATCAATCATCATCCGTGTTCTCCTCTGCTTCTGCCGTGCAGATGAACTGGGGACCCTACATTCATCTTCATTAGTACGTATCCCAGTCGAGGCAATTCTTCGACTGTCATGATGGTGGTGTTTTACTTACAATAGTATAACAACACTTCACAGTTCCACCCTGGGGACACTGATCCGTCCACTCAAGTCCATCCATCGACTGGCCTACAACGACAAACACACAATCATTAGCATTGATCCACCACAAGCAAAGGACAGTCACAAGGTATGCTGAAACATACAATTCTTCCCCACCTTAGCAATCGAATCCCCCGGCGTATCAGAGAAACTATCGCAGCAATACGGGTCCTGGATCATGCCCGTGCCGTCCTGCGCCATGAGACAATAGTAGTCGCTGCCGGCGGCGACAAGGGTAGTCGATGCGGCGAGGGTGAAGAGAATGGATTTAAGATGCATTTTGTTCCGATTTACTTCAAGATAATAGAGAAAGATGAAAAGAGAGAGGAACCGAAGTGGATGGTGAAATCCTACTAGCTAGTGAGGTGATCCCGTTAGGTATTTGAATAACCCCGGAAATAAGGATTGACTCGTGTAGTAGGGATAGACGGATGTTGCAAGGTACGTGCGTAGTATGTAGACGCGTCCTGCCTGCCTCCCGTCCTTGTTTGATGATTGTCTGTATCCCTTGCGTGGCGGGTTCGAGGCATGGCGGCTGGCACATGGTATGTATGTATTGACTGTGGTACATGTGTTATGTAGCAGGTTGGGTTGGGTGGGTGAGTTATGAGATTGTGGTGTGGCGAGTAAATGTTGATGGCTTGATGCGTATTATGCGGTCATTTCTTCCTCTGGAGAGGATTGGACAGTATCTTTGTGGTGGCGCGGCTTGAATGCTTACTGCCTTGGTGTGTATCCCTTATCCTATCCCTTGATCCCCTGCCACTGGCTTTCCTGCCTGTCCCCTGGCTACGTGCTTGCTGTATGCTGCGGCAGAGTTTATGCTTATTGAGATATGTCAATCATCTTAATTAGCAGTAAGGGCACTATGTAAGCGATCTGGTACCTGAGACACTAACTACTTTTTACCCCCTCTCATCTGAACTCCAACTCGATATGCTAACTACTTCAGCTTAAAGTTCACCGGCGCATCGAGGGCAAAGCCCTTGAAAGTCTGCGCTGACTTCCCCAGCAAGGTACATTTCTCCACCTTGGGGACGGCCTTCTGTCCGAATGTACCCTCCACGTGCAACTCCCCTTTGCTGTACGTGAACTCGAGCTCTGTCACAGATGACGGGTTCAACGAGTCCCCATCATCCAAATACAGACTGCCCGATGCGGTGTCATCCAAGTCTGGCGCGATGATCAGCTCGAAGCCCTGCTTACGAACCTCAGTGGTCGTCATGCCGCTGGATGTCCTGACAGGTATGATATTTCCACCGCGGATGTGCAGAGGGATGTGGGTGATGTTGATGTTGCTGAGCGTGATGTTTTCTCCGTGCCCACGCACCACTGCCCCTGTGTACCAATCGTAGAAAATGTCGTCAGGGAAGTATGCGTCGACTGAGGTGGATCCCTCATTCAACACGGGGCTAACAAGAAGGGCGTCACCGTAGAAGAACTGCCGGTCGTTCGCAAAGGTTCTCGAATCCTCGGGGTACAGGTAGAATTGAGGCTGCAGGAATGGCTCGCCGGTCTGGCTTTGCCGGTGAAGAGCAGTGTAGATGTAATCGAGGAGCTTGTACCGGATGTCAATGGCCTTACGGGCGGATTCGGCAACCGTAGGCCAGCGGTAGAACTCTTGCGATATGTCGCCCAGCTCGTTATGATTGCGGTAGAAAGTATAGAAGGCACCAAGTGACGCCCATCGGGCACACAATTCCTCCGTCGTGTTGCTACCAAACCCACACACGTCAGCCCCGACCATTGGAATCTGGAACATGGACGCGAAGGAGAGGATCTGCGCGATGGAGATCCGGTAGTGAACCCAATCGCTAAGGTTGTCGCCCAGCCTGTACGAATCAGTGATGTGCTAGCGAAGACTATCGGTAAACTTACCAGTGTCCTACGTGTGCTCCAGCGCCTGCAAACGTACTGCGAGTGATGACCAAAGGCCTCACATCGGGACGGCGGGCCTGCATAGCCGTGCGGGAAGCAGAGCTCATCACTAACCCTGTCAATGGCAAATCATCTCTGCAAATATATGAAAGACTTACTTGTTCCATAGAGATTGTGAGTATCATACTCGGCATACCCTTCACCCGCATGAATGAGATCCGTCTCGATAGTGCTCATACTAAGGACACCTGCGGCATTCCGAATGGTGTAGGGCGGGTCAGTGAGGTTGCGATTGGGCAGCCCAACCTTCTTCCCTTTATCTCCTTGCGCTCTTTTAACAGATCGCTTAGACGAAGGCTGAAAGTCCGCGGGGAATCCAGGTAGTGGGATCGGGCTGCTTGGCCGAACAGATGGTGCTGCCGGTGGGAGGTCGGCGGAGATCGCATATGCCGCTGGGTCAAGACAAGGATAAGGGCAGAAATTGGAGGCTTCATTCATGTCAATCCACAGGGCGTCAATATCGACTCCGGACTTGGGATCAAAGAACTGTTGAAATTGCGCAGTCCAGTAATCCTGAGTACCCTCATTGAACCAGTCTGGGAAAACAGTGACACCAGGCCAAACAGCACCTGTATAGTTTAGCTCCTGTTGAGAGAGATGAGATGTGTATATACTTACCCTCGTATAGGCTACCGTTCTGATTGTGAAGGAAAACATTGTCTCTCACGCCGGTGAGATATGCCGTGTTATCTAGAAAGTACCTATTAGCTGAAAGTTGCAAGGATGGGAAATCGTCAAGTTACTCACTGCTTACGCTCACAGCCGGGTCAACCATGACAATGTAATGCTGATCATGATTGTGCAGGTAGGTTACCAACTCCCGCATCTTTTCGAGCGGGAACCTTTGAGGATCAAGGGTGAACACCCTCCTCTTGTCCATGTAGTCGATATCTGTCCACATCGTCTCCAGAGGAATCTTTGCCTGGCTGTAGTTGTAGACCACCTCGGCAAGTTCATACACATCGCGGTATCCATAACGGCATTGATGGAACTGAAGAGTCAGCATACAATTCGGACTGTTATGGGACTAGGGGATTGGGGGGGCATACGCCGAAAGTCCAGTAACTCTGCATTGCCGGGAGACCGACAATCTTTGAGTATTCCATGCTCGCTTGCTTAGGATCTTCTCCGTAGAAGAAGTAGAAGTCCAGAACACCGCCGAGAAGATTGTATTCCAAGTACTGCTTTCCATCTGTCGTTTGGTTGATCTTGATGTCCATACCATTAGAGTTCAGCAGGAAGACTCCATAAGTTCCGGACTTTCCACGGTGATCATAGTAGACAGGATGACTACCGTACAAGTTGGTGTTGTTTGGAGTGCCATACGCGTCGCGGTTCCAAAGGGTCCGCGTGTAATTGTATGTTGGCAAGCGCATAGGGTCAGAATGCTCTCCGAGACCATACACATAAGGATCATCGGGCAACCAGGTGCGAAGGTTCACATATTGCGACTGAAAAACTAGTGGGGATGCCGAAGAGTCAAACAGGACCTCATCTCCCTTGGAGATGGTGAATGAAAACGGTTCTTCCACATAGTCAAATTCCAAAACACTGTCCTCAGAGTCCTCGTCACTACCCACGCGAGGAAGGACTGATTCAGGAACTTGATAGACTTCCTCGTCGGCATCGTAGATCATAACATGTAACCGTTCATCTGAGCAAGCATTTAGTCAGGAACCCTTGATTCACGCAAGCCAACACTCACCAGTCTGATATTCCACAAGCAGCTTGAGGTCTTCCAAATCCTTGCCATAGCTATTACAAGGCGTACCAGCTAGAGTCAGATCCGCAGTCAGTGACCTAGCCTGCTTTTGGACGTTGGACGCCTTATACCCTGGGCAACTCTGACTGTTTGCCCTGGGTCCAATGACAGCAGCGCCCACAAGGGGTAAGAGTAAAAGCAAAGACCCCAACATTATGATGTTGGCTCTGGGATCACCCCGGATTACAGCAAGCCGTGACTTCATATCCCAGCTGGGTGGTCCCAGCGGCTTATATGTGTTTGGGCACGGACTGATGACATTGAATGCATGGCGCGTTGGCCGAAGTGCATAATGTGGCGTTGCGCGGTATGACCGGACCCCGCAGATTCAATCAGCGAAGCCAAGGAATGTATCTGACAAAGAGGCGGGATGAGCCGAGCAGTTCTATGAGGAAAAACAAAAAGCAATATTCATAGGATAGAAGAGCCGAGAAACGTGGAGACGATTGCCTAAAGAAGACAATGTGAGTCTAAGGTCGTCCCATCTCGGTCAATTATCGGGGATCTTCGCCGCTATCGGCTTGGGGCTGATGCAGGGACCAAATAACATCAGGTCACTTACACCGATTCTCGTCCATTGAATCTCGTACAGCAGCCTAGACTCTAGACCACGTCTGATCGGTATATCTCTCGGTAATGCCCTGGCTGGATGATTGGCTCCAAATTTTATGCAGGTAAGCTTCGGTAGCGAATAGTAGTATGGAGATGGAATCGAGGAAGTGACAGTGATGGTGGCTCTCCTCACTCTCCCCACCACGTGCCCCGCCTGACGCCCCGCAAACAAACAAACTGAGACATTCAAAGGATCAGGATCAGATCTCACTCAAAGAAGATGGACCAAAGTAAATATTTCTGGTCACTCAAAAACCGCACAAGAGTCAGACAAAGCGTCGGATGCAACGGATCCGGTCTGCTGATACGTAGTTGTAGCTGATAGGTGGCTCTGACCTGTCAAGAGGCGGTCGCTTACTGCCAGTGCTGCAAGCATTAAGCAATGAGGTGGCATAAGGTATTGACCACATCGTACTAATTAACGTGGCACTCGAGGTGTGCATATTCACTCCTCCAGCAGGCCGGGTACCCTGGCAGAAGCTTGGGGACCTGGGGGAAGTGTGCAGATGCGTTAAGACAAAGTGTTCAGTCAATCTGCAGCTCTGGGTTACTCTGCCGCTTCATTCTATGCAGAGGCTTGTCAATGCGATGAGAGACAGCTTCTCTACCTGCGATATGTCGAATGCAGATGTTGTGAGAGTCAAAAATGAAGGAATAGAATTCTACGTGCATCTCTATGCCTCCAACCAGCAGGGATCTCTAACAACGTCATAAAAAAGGGGAACGTTACATGATAAACCATCCATCAAAATGTCATGAAAAATATGTGTCATGAATGCGAAAGGTATCCAAGGTGACCAGTCACCCAAAATAAAGCAGTGGAGGCATGTGCTCACGAATGTACGACTGTTTAAATCTTCTGACCAGCGGAAGCAGCCTTCACATCGTCTTCGGAGCTCATGATTTGAACCTTGATGGCTCCCGTCTTGGGGTTGGCAGCCGTCTCGAAGGCCTTGATCGCATCCTCCAAGAGGAACCGGTGTGTCACAAGCTTCTTCAAGTCAATAACACCGTTCCTCACCAAGCGGATCGCGCGAGGCCAAGTGTTGCAGTACCGGTACTGGTACTGGAGGTCAATCTCCCAAGTACTGAGGCGCATGAAAGGAACGGTCATCTCGTTCTTTCCGACACCAATGACGAAGACCTTGCCGCCGAACTTGACACTCCAAATCGCCGAAGCAACACTGCTCTCCACACCAGTGCACTCCATCGCAATGCGAGGCCTCAAAGCGCCGGGGCCCGAGCCTTGCCCATCGTTGAAGACGTTGATGATACCTTCAGCATTCTGCTCAGCAGAGAGGCCAATCTGCACCTTGTAGGTGCGAACGTCAGGGACCAGCGACTTGGCGAATTCCAGCCGCCCCTCGTCGATGTCGGTAATGACGATAGGGCTAGCTCCAGCAGCACGAGCACTCAACAGGGTGATGAGACCAATGGGGCCAGCACCAGTGACTAGGCATGGGTCACCCAAGCGAAGGCCACTACGTTCAATACCCGCCAGAGAAACACTCAGAGGTTCCAAGAGCGCACCATCTTCATAACTCATATCACCAATCTTGTGGCACCAAATAGCGGGGTGGTTGACATAGCGACGCAGCAGTCCGTCGACAGGAGGGGTGGAGAGGAACTGAACATTTTCACAGCCATTGTAGCGACCAGTCAGGCAGGGTTCACAAGCGTTGCAGATGATGTTAGGCTCGACGGCGACACGGTCGCCAGGCTTGAGGGAGGTGACATCGGGCGCAACAGCCACCACCTGACCCGCCGACTCGTGACCCAGGATGTGGTCTCCTGTGACGATCATAGGCCCAATGCAGCCTGCATGCCAGAAGTGCACGTCGGACCTGGATGCGATGACCAATCTTTAGCCAGGGAATACGAAGCCAATCGCAAGAGGAACGGAAGACATACCCGCAGATTCCGGTGCTGCGAACCTCAATTGTAACCTCACCAGGCTGCAATCCTTGGCCGTTCTTGACCTCCTCGAGCGTGGGCTTCGCGTCAGCGACCCACAAGTCATGCTTGGTGTTTGTGAAAACGCCAATGTTCGCCTTCTCGAGAACAGTTGCGGTAGCCATGATGACCTAATCGAATGAAGGGGACGATCTAAAGGGGAGGACGGGAAGAATCGCAAGAGGCGAACGCAAGGGATGAGCAGGATGGGTAGCAAGCGGAAAGAGGATCTACCGGGCTTAAGTATTTCGTAACAGCGGTCTACCCCTCCACGGTTGAAGGGGAGAAGGAAGAAAAAAAAAGCTCAGGGATGATCTTTTCTCCAACGTGAGAGGCTGCAAGTAGCTGATTCCTTCGCCACCGATAGGAGCTTTGCCAAATAGCAGTAACACGACGGGGCCAACATGGGCTTACTGATGGTTCAATAAGTGGATAGAGCTAAGAAGGGCATTTACCCGGTGGCCCCTCGAAGCGCGGGGTTCGGTCTGGGGCATCAATTTCTCCCCATTGGGCCAGACTGCCCGGCGGTCGCATTCCAAAGACCATCCTTGAGCCAGGATGTCGCACTGCTACCCTTGATAGCGTGCTTATAAACACGAGCTTGGTGCACAGGTAAGCTTTAGAGAAACAGTGGCTTGCCTAGAGAACTTTCTCGGCAGCCTTCTTTGCAATGGGCTTGCTCAAGTGCCAGGAACTCATGCTCTTCGTGAAATCCGGCGGGGCCTCTTATCTCCGTCTTATCGGAGTCGGTTCTGTTCCCCCAGTGCAAAGCCGGGGGTAGAGGAACAAGAATAACTGGAAGTGATGGAATATTGGAGAGCCTGTCAAGGAAGCCAAGCAGCAGAAGACTATTGTCACATTCAATCTATACAATGCAGCCATCCCTGCTGCAATAGTTCTACATGATACAATGCCAGTCGTTCTCCGATCCAGTCCAAGAGGTACGGTAGCATCTCCTCTCGGTTAAATCATTCAGACAAGGTTATTTGATCGGTCTATTCTTAGTCCCTCTTCTGCCACCCCAGACATAATCTCTTAAATAGTCATTCTCTCCCATATTTTACACCGGCAAGTCACGGCTTTGACCTCGTTTCGGATTGTTGGCCCAGAAGAGCACTTCAAGTCACTTATTACCCGGTGTGGCAATTCTCCGGTGGGCGGGACTTGGATCCTCCACCTAGTGGTGGAGCATTACGGGATGCCGTATCCACCACCACCTCTTCGTTTATCCCTTTTATGCAAGGTCGTCCAGAAATCGGAGTTACGGTTATATTGCGGGTATAATATTGTTGCTGCAATGATGTCCATGAAAGTGGAACTGTTGTCGAGAGCATTGGCAACCTATGTGATCCTATCACATTTGGAGCTGCAGACTGACATGCTGTATAGTGCAATCGGGTAAAGACGAGTTACTTGGTTCATGGGACTCGACTAAGTTTTAGGTACCGTTAAAGGATCAGGTGAAATGTTCAGCCTTACAGCGGGTGTCCCAAGCCCTTCCATGTTTTATGAGAGTATTTCCATTCTCAGCTTCTGATATGTCCTCTCGAATTCAACCGAGAGGCGTGTGTTTTAGATTGGTCTACTGTCCTGTTAACAATAACAAGAAAAGGATATCTCGTCAGTTTTTTGACATGGTAGTATGGCTAAATCATGCAATGATTCAAAGCATAAGACGAACCAGCAGTGGAGCTTCCCAGATCATTCTGGAAGAAGTTAAATCAATCCCTGTCCTTAAGCTGATACCAATAGTACGATGATCACTAGTTCGCTTATGACTCGCATACCTGAGTAAAAGCTAGATCTGTCTATCATTCGTGCTAGGCTTTCCAAAAAGAGATTCTATAGAGCATTATCATATCTGTTATTCTCATCAACGGCAGAGCTAGTATAGGCTGCCCAATCCCACCTGCGCCTGTCCTCGGCAGACTCCGATCAATCACACCGGGAACACGTCCTCAACAGCCTCTGTATCCACACCCACTGTAATATAGCCAAGCATCCCATTCTTGAAGTCATCCCCATCGATAGGAATTACTGACACTATCGCATTATACCCATCGGTATTCTCATTATGGAACGTATCATCCAAACCATTAACGAGTCTCTCGATCCCTGTCACATCCGAGTACGGTGGGATTGATGTAATCTCCTGTGAAAGTCCCTCGTCAAAGAAGAATTGCCCCGTGCTCACGGTCTTCCCACTGGCAAGTGTGCCATTTTCTCTTGCCACCCAGTCAGTATGCACTTGCACATGGATGTGGATTGCTCTTCCGTAGTAATAGCCTATACGTAGCCAGATTAATATCAGTATGCGAGAAATCAAAGGAAAAGGATCAAGTTATGCAACTGACCTGGAAAAATAGTCCTCATCTCCATCATCCCATACTATCCGTCGGCCACATGCCCCGCAACCAAGTCTCATTACCGGTATGAATATCCGACTGCCCCGGCTCAAACCACGTAAGGTTAAGGCTCTGCAGTACAGCATTTTTGTCCTCGTTCATAGGCAATGCGGTAAAACTAGAATATTTGCCTGTTGCATTGCAGTGCCAAAGATCCACTAGTACCCCTTCCAGAGGCTCACATGTCGCCATGTCCAGCACACCGACATCGAGGATTAGAGGCACGCCGGGCTGATCCTCACTCATATCTTGACGTAGTGTCTGGGACTGTGCCCACCAAAAAGGACCAGCCGTCACTTCGGGAGTCAGCACGCAGGTGTCATTCTGAATTGTCTTATAGTAAGGTGATTCTGTTGTGGCTTCGATCGTCGTATCACTCTGTCGCTTCTCAAGTGCCCTCTTCCGTCTCTTTGCGTTGTATTCGCCGGCATGCTGGGCGCAACGAGCAGAGAGTTCCTGTCGACGGGAGATCTCGGCTCTCGTGGCCTTTTTATGAGGCCCTGGATGTGCGATGGCCAATGAGGCCAGAGTAGCTGCAACAAAAACGCTGAAGAAACGCATGATTTGTGAAGAGTAGGATTCCCTGTGTCTGTTGTGCACCGGTCAGATCCTGCTCGCTGGCTAGCTGCAACCACGTATCTCGTCCTACTCGCCACTATTTATTACTCTCCCAGAGGATCTCCATCGGCGATCATTATTTGTTCTTGCTTCTTGCGGTGAGATATCATTAACAATAATTCTATACATCAATGGTTGCTGGTTGGTTGAGAGTGAAAGATGATCATTACTTGGATTGGGCCTGACATGATTGGAATGTTTGTGCTTGATAGGCGGCAAGGGCTGGCAGCCAGCCACCTATGATATCGAATATCTTGGTAAACGTCCGCGGAAGGGAGCAATGGTTGCCAAGTGCCAATGTTGGATGGATAGTAAATAATTTTCTTCTATTGGTAGATCTCAGTTGCGCGTTCGATGCACCTTACTGTTATCGTGGACATTATGTTGTTAGCCAGGTTATTATGGTTCATTTACCTGCAAGGATATCATTTACGGAAGTCTAACGGAGGAGCGTTTGTTTCGCTTTACCTACCACTCTAGAATCCTATAGTTTCACAGTAGGAACCAGAATATAGTACTTATCTTTCGTTGCTAGGATCTTACGTACTTTGGCAAAACATAAAAACTTTACTGGATAACTATAACCCACCTAGATACCCGTACAAGGTCGGTCATGTACCACGGAATCCAACACATCGCGTCATATTCCTATTTAGGTGAGAGTAAGCTTATCGAAGCCCATACTCGGCCCTGCGCTACGGGGGAGCTAGTATGCAGGATATTTGGCTCTTTAGAAATGCACGTAAGGCTCACATAATTGTTGAACTTGGCAGAGATAGGAAAATGATTCCACAGTCTTTATGACAATGTCACATGCATTCATGCATAAGTGCTGCGGGATTCATTTCATATGCAACCTTTAGACTTTTATACAATCTTCATCAATTACTTTCCAAGCCGCAAGGACGATACTACGTTCTCCCAGTGATGATCGATCATATAGTTTGAAAGAGCTTTGCATATAACATAACCAATAAGAACATAGTATCATACAAAACAACCATGACACAGAGCCTATCTACCATTGACAAGGCCTTCGTCCGGCAAACAAGCTCCCGCTTATCCATTGCGCCACAACATCACATTCAGTATAGTGGTATCAAGTTCGAACGTGGCGAGTAAAACGATAAGAAGGAAGGAAAACATGATCGTAGACGTTGGTATTCTTTACCAACCACCGGGGCCACCAGGACCACCAGGACCACCCGGACCGCCAGGGCCACCGGGGCCACCAGGGGGACCGTCGGGACCACAGCAGTCACCGCAGCAGCAGAAGCAGTCGAGACAGCAGCAGCAACTATTGAAGATGCATGGTCAGTTACAGTCTAAAAACTATATTGTAGTTCAGGGTTCAAGTAGTAGTTACTTACTCGTCACCGCCAGGTCCAGGGGGAGGACCACCACCACGAAGGCTCATGTCCATGTTGTTGTTTGGGGTCTGGATTTTTCATGTCAGCATCATGAGACAACGAAAGCTTAGGGCCAGGCTGAAATCATACAGGTTGACCGGTAACGACACCCTCAGTTGTTGGAGCGGCAGGGCTCTGGGGCTGGGCCATTGTGACAGTGTTGGGGTCCCAGGTGGCCTCGGGGGCCGACTCCTGTTTGGAGGACTTGAACCAGCTGAAAATACTGTCGCCGAACATTGTGGATTTGGTCTTTAATTAAGATTATGTTTGTTTGAAATGCAGAAATGCAATGCAAGAAAAAGACAACAAACGTAGGGGAAGACCTGGCTTAAGAAGCAAAGGACAGCAGGTAGATGGGGCCCAAAGCTATGTAAGGCTATCCATTCAGCGTCGACGTCCATGAAACGAGCCATACTATGAAGAGTTAGATAGCCCAATCAAGTGAGTTGTCTTCCTGAATTCTGATTCCAGAATTGGACCATGGTCTACGATGTGGAGACCCACTGATCTTAGCTTCGATGGGCGTTACGTATACACTTGTTAGGCAGACAATTTAGTGTCCAACAGCAAGCATCTTGGATGCGCCTTGCCATTGCTTGTCTGGTACAGAGTAGAGAGGGCTGGACTAGGTATGTGTGCATAATCAGGTTGTGGGTGGGATTGAGCCTGTCTGTATGCCTCGAGAGACTGATACATTGTGAACATCACGGAGTGGTGCCGACGACAGAGCGGACCCAGAATCAATAGAGCAACTCAATTTTCCGCCGATGAAAAATAGCAGGGGAGATCAACCGGACATTTTTCTGTGGGCTGGCGAAGAGATCATCCTAATCTCAGCTGCCAGAACCTTATTGATGTGGCATGGAGGATAAAGCTTGATCCGGCTCTGAAGGCTTGGTTTTGGGTACACACAGCAAAGATTCTGCGCCACGCAGTAAAATTAGCCTCAACTGGGCTCTCCTGCCGGAGATGATGTAGGTGTCGCCCCAGTCGCACGATTAGGGCGCATTGCGAATGCAAAGCCACTTTTGATTGCGTCGTGGCGCGACACGCGAAATGTGAAGAAATCATGAAGTGGTGGCGCCTCATGACTAAGCGGCAAATATCAAGTGGATCTCCGACAATAGACTTTTCACGTGACTATATCAGGAACACCAACCATTCCTACCAGAAATCCTTCCATGGATCGTTCCACCTTTGGGTCTCATCAGCAGATCAGAAGCCATGCGTTGAACCCAGGAGGCTGAGACCGACACTAGACAACAAATTTTGACCCCTATAAGTCCACAGTACATTTAAAATTAGACTACGGATTTATGGGTCGGCTAGAGCAATCAGTCACATTGCGGATCGTTACCTGGGACATTAATCAGTCCCACGGTCTATCTTTTCACTTCTCTTGATCAGGAAGTCCCGCACCAGGGCTGCTTCGGTCTAGAGTCCATACTACTATCACAATATTGCCCAAATATGCGCACTCGTGCTTCCTAATATGTAGAAACATGTGCTTGGCCTATTTGCTGATTGGTCTCCCATCTCCAGGGAAATTGCATTCGAACCGTTCCTGATAACGTAGTGGAGAGCAATTTGCCCAAGTACGACTTAGTATAGTACTAGGATCTCCGCTCTAGTAGCAGTCGACGTGAGTACAAATGCTCCTGGTTTGCGGCAGCGCACTCTACAGGAGGAGGACTATCCCCCCAATGAGTTTGGTAGGCTGAAATCAGACTACGTGCGAAGATCCTCAAAATTTTTTGAACCCGCAAGTGTTGGTACTATCATGGTTCACGTATACTTTAGTATACTAGTTGTAAACCATGAACAACAACTCGCAGAGCTGCAAACCCTACTAAAATATATATCATTCTCTTCTTCACCACTATAAAATTCCAAATGCTACTTCAATGCCTCAGCACGCGCCTTCAGGTACTTATTGAATTGATTAAACTGGCCTAGCATCTCCTCCCCAGCAACGACAGGGTCATCAAGAGAAAAATTGGGCCAGAGAACTTCTATTTGTTCGAAGATCGTCGACGACCCGTAGTCTGATGGCTCCATTTGAAAGCTGTGGAACCCGGCAATTGAGCCAGATACTGGGGTCCCTTGCCATTGGAAAAGAGAGTTTGAGTTCTCCTACCCAGTACTATCATCTCTGTATTCACTACACCCGTTGAGGCACCTTAGGCACAGCCCGTGGACCTAAGCTAGGTTGACATACCATTATTTCAGCAGTAAATATCAGAAGTCGATATCGCATTAGATTTTATCTCCTGGCAAGAGGGACTTTAAAGGCTTGGCCTCGTCATAGAGAAGCCGAGACGCTGCCGTAATCGGTGACAGGAGGATTTAAGGCATGGTAATACATCAGAGCTGGAAGTGGTTCAGTACATACAACGTCTCGTACTTGTGTTGGGGTGACAGCAAAATGTACTTCTGTTTCAACCATTCCGTATCGGTAGATTGTCTGTTAGGTCGCTATTTTCCAGCGGCTTGTACGCAGACGACCGAGTGAAAGGCTTATACTCGAGGAGAGTATGCTATTTTGTAGAGAAGCTGTCAGAATAGATAGCCCATTGAATGATCGTTGTTTATCCATTGACTACGAAGTTGGCTCCTAAGAGACAGTAAACTATTTGCTGCTACTCGATGCAACCAAGCGAACATGAAATGTAGCATCGCCAAAGCTTTGTCAGAGCAGTAGGCTACTTTTGCTCAGATTGGTAAATGACGCCATGGGTTACAGGCAGCTGGGGATCATATATCGATAGCTCAAGACGATGTGCAATACGAAGAATATTAACAAGCTCATAACGATAACTATCTTTCCTATGATTAGTATGTCATCTCTCGGCATAATCGCCGCCAGGAACTGTCCTTCGTCGGAGAAATACGTGGCACTCCGTATTAATCAAGTGTTCATGTCATTGTCAAGTTTTGATGCCGGCCCATACCCGTACGTAGCGATATTTGCAGGTGATTATATACGCTAGAGCATCTGAAGTGTTCAAAATTCAGCAGACTTTCCACTTAACCGCGACGAGTGCTGCAATGGGAAACTACAGACTGGTCCTCTCGATCTGTGCCCAGAAAGCGGGTTCCGCTATGCATTCTCCCATACTCTCTGGCTTGTATAATGGCGCTCGGAGGCTGGACATAGGTGACATGACTGATTCGTTGGCTGTCAAGGTATAACGTTAGGGAAGAGGTTTATATGGGTGCGATATGACACAAAAGGTCAATCAGACGCCTATAAAATCTCCCGTATAGCACGGAAGCGCTTTCGTAGATGGTGGACAAAGTGTGTCTATATTGTCGTAGCCACTTCGAATCGACATTGTCGATTGCAAAGTGATAAGCACGGTCATTCGGCAGAACGGAAGTCTCGGATGTTGTGAGTACACCACTGACCACGAAGAATGACCTGCTTAGTGTAGCTGTAGCATCAATGCACGATTGGCAGTCTAGATAAATGGAAGATTGCAATAGCCAAGTGTGTTGGATTTGCAAAGATCGAGTTGATGTGAGGGCCGCCGATAAACAAAGCATGAGTGCGAGTGCACGTGACACGGAAGTGGAGGCTCTTCCCTGAACTTCCCGAACTTCAAATCTCAATTCTGGTCCTGCAATTGCGCGACGATCCAGTGTCACCGGCTCTTGACCCTACCGCCATTGGACTCTACTGTCCTCCACCTGCGACTTTTCAGAGTCATTCTTTCCTTTTAGCGTTTTATCTCCTCCAGTGGTCTTCAAGATGCCCGCCACGGCGTCCCGTGCCGTGCTTCGGCAATCGCAGTTCCTGACCCGCAGGTCTGCGGTCAGGTACGCTTCTTCGACCTCCGAAGCCGCTTCCAAGGCTGGTGAGACTGCTTCCTCTGCTGCCTCGAAGGCGTCTGAGGGTCTTTCTCGCGTCTCTTCGACGGCTGGTCCCGCCATCGCCAACGCCGCCCAGGGTCTCGGTAGCGCCCTCAGGAAGGTCGGTGGAAGGACCGGAAAAGTCATCGCCTTTGTCGATTGTAAGCGGACGCTCCATGATATTTGCTTTGAATTACCCCTTCGAATACCCATTGGGATGGTACTATGATGGTGGTATTGCTGGATGCCGTCATGTCGTGGAATCACTCCTTGAGTGGAGCCATCCCCGGATTTCTGTCATATCTTTCGGAGCATTGCTAATCATCTGCCGTGTCAATGCAGCCATGATACCCCCTACCGTCTACTACTCGAAGGTTGGAATCGAGCTTGCTAAGCTGGTCTTCCGTGGCCAGAACATGACTCCTCCGTAAGCGCTCACAGCTAACCTTAACGAACCGTGACCCTTGTCAACTAATGCGGATCACAGCAACATGGCCACCTTCCAGGCTTACTTCCAGCCTCTGACCAACGCCTTCCGTAACCCTGCCGCCTTCAAGAACTCCAGCTTCGCTCCCTCGAACATCATCGCCCGCGTTCGTACCGCCAACAAGAAGGAGATCGCTCTTGCTGGTGTCACCGCTGCGGAGATCGTTGGTTTCTTCACCGTCGGCGAGATCATTGGTCGGATGAACATCGTTGGCTACAAGGGACAGCCTGAGCACCACGGACACCATTAGATAAATACCAAGCACTCGTGACTTAGCCTGTCTTCCTTCCCTTTCCCGTTTTCCTTTGTGTGCTGTACTATTGTATGATAGACGATGGAATAAACTGTTGTCTGAGTTGTGCGATACGAGCAATTGGGTACGTCTCATTCTTGTTGTCTTAGACTTAGGATCATGCGTGGGGACGACTATTTGGTTGGAAATTCTGGCTGCTTTAGGGAGGATGTTGTAGACCATGGCAGCCATTCTGCTATTGACACGGCACTGCCTTAAGTGACTGATGATCATAACTCAGAGCTATGACTGTCTTTTATGTTTTATGTTACAAAGTTCGATCGGTCTACTCTTAAGAGTTGGCCGTGGTCACGATCAATGACTCGGTATCTGCTTTAGTTGTCAGTAGGATACAACAACAAATTAGATCTGAAGCACAAGAACTTCAAATTTCATCATTGAAATATTATCTAGTCCCGGAATGCATAGCAAGAGAGCGTTAGGCCAGACGATTTGGTATTTCGGACTTAAATTATTGAGAGCTTCGAGAATTATCCGTTTGATGGAGGTGAGGGTTACTTGCTTCTGATTGGCCCGTGCGGTAAAGAATTTCAGCATCGAAACTTTTCCCTCATTAAGTCCGACTACTCAACAACCATCAGAATCAAGCTCGCGATCGCTAGGACTCGGACGCTCGTGTCCACCTAAATTACTTAGTCGCATGGACTGATAGTCCGTATATTTAACGAAATGGATGCGTTTAAGTTATTGACAAGGTCCACCAAGTTCAAGGCTGGCAATTCCCTGTCTTCGACACTGCCTTCCAAAGGCAAGGCCGAGAACCCCCAGCTTTTCCGTGACGCAGAGGCCGAAAAGCTTCTGGAGTCAAATGCTTCTGGGAAAAAGAGAAAGCGCACGCAAGCTGCAGGTGATTCAGATGCAGAAGATGGCAATGCTGGCGATCTAGATTTCTTCGGTTCAGGTAAACGGTCTGCGGCCAGTGCCCCATCGAAAAAGGATGAAGATGGACCTTCCGAGCAGAAAGATGCATCTGACTCCGAAGGCGATGATTCGATGGATGAAGTTGAGCGCCGGACGATCTTGAACTCTCACAAGATCAAGGTCACTGATATGCGTGATTTTGAAGAACTTCAGCCCACTCAGCCTCAGAAAGAGGAATCTAAGAAGAAAAAGAAGAAGAGAAAGCAGCAGGAAGAGGAGCCCGCTCAGACTCTCACTAAGAAAGAGCAGAAGAAGGCCCGGCGGTTGTTTCCGGAGCCCTTGGTCTCCTTTAAACAGCTGCGCACGAAGTACAATATTTCCCGACGTCTCGCGGAAAATATTGCTGAGCAAGGCTTTACGGTCCCTACTGAAGTTCAACTAGGAAGTCTTCCTCTTTTGCTCGGAGACCAATCAGTGCCGCAGAAGTCGGGCACTGAAAAGAGCACCGAACCGGATCTACTGGTCGTTGCGCCTACAGGAAGTGGCAAGACGCTATCATTTATGATCCCGGTGATTAACAAGATTGTCCGGCACCATCACGAAAAGCCAGAGGAACGGGGCATCTTGTCTGTTGTAATTGCTCCGACGAAAGAGCTTGCTAGCCAAATCGTCAACGAAGGCCGAAAGTTAGCTTTGGGAACTGGTGTGAAGATCACTTTGATGAAGAAGGGCATGCGTGTGGTAGAGCGTGATGATGAAGACGATAGCAAAGACGTCCTGGATGAAGATGATTCGGAATCGTCGGGCTCTGAAGATGATGAAAAGGCCACAGCAAAGAACAGCAAAGGAAAGGCGCCGGTTACCAAGAGCGACATCCTTGTAACAACACCATTGCTTCTTGTTAACGCGCTTTCTGCAAACCGGACAAAACCGTTGGCGACTCTCCCTCTTGTGAGAAATGTGGTTCTGGATGAGGCGGATGTTCTCCTGGATCCTCTGTTCCGCGACCAAACACTTGACATCTGGCGCTCCTGCACGCATCCTGAGCTTCGAGCAAGTCTCTGGTCAGCGACGATGGGATCAAATGTCGAAGACCTCGCTAAGTCAACGATCAAGGAGCGGAAAGATACTCTAAGCGAGACCAAGTCTTATCCGCTACTCCGTCTGGTGGTTGGCCTCAAGGACTCTGCTATTCCAAATATCAAGCACAAGCTGGTTTATGCTGCCACTGAGCAAGGAAAGTTGCTCGGTCTGCGGCAGCTTCTGCACCCCGCCGCAGCATCATCTACGGACATTCGTTTACGCCCACCTTTCTTGATCTTTACTCAGACGATTCCCAGAGCGGTTGCGTTGCATTCAGAACTGCGCTACGATATCCCTCCCGAGGCGGGTGGCTCGTCACGTATAGCTGTCCTCCACTCTGAGTTATCAGACGGCCAACGTTCCGAGATCATGAAGCAATTCCGGAAAGGTGAAATCTGGATTCTGGTCACCACGGATCTTTTGGCCCGTGGCGTTGACTTCAGAGGCATTAACGGGGTTGTTAACTACGACATCCCGAACTCCGCTGCTGTCTACGTCCACCGTGTTGGACGGACGGGCAGAGCTGGCCGTGAAGGTGGCATTGCAGTCACATACTACACCAAGGAGGATATCCCTTATGTCAAGAGCATTGCCAATGTAATTGACGTCAGCGAGAAGCTACGGGGTACAGATGAGGAGAAGTCTGTACAGAAGTGGCTGCTAGACGCTCTTCCGGACCTCAGCAAGAAGAAGAAGGAGGAGCTCAAGAAGCACGGCGTCAAGGCCAGGCAGACCCAAGGCACCAAAGACGACAAGAAGACGAGAATTAGCACCAAGAGTGGTTACGAGCGACGCCAGGAGAACAAGAAGAAGGCTCTCATCTCAGCCAGCCGCAATAGGAAATCTCAACCAAAGCCAGGCGCAGACTCTGGCAGTGACGACGACAATCAGGGCTGGCAAGGACTCGAGGACTAGGTTCCTATGGATGCGTTGGTGTTTCTGTACGAATATGAAAAGTCTACCTTACGATTCCCCAATCCAGCATTTCAATATAGATCATGAATTATCATTTTTTGTTTTTTGTACAGGCTGTTCAATCAGGCTCCGCTTTAATCGCAAGGGCTGGAAATCATTATCCAATTTGCCCTGTTCCTCCAACACACCCTCCAAATCATCTCCATCGCGATCGTAGTATAGCGCCCAGGAGCCATCATCTTCCTGCACGGCCACAAACTGCCTGTTCTCCTCCAGTGTCACCGTGGTCTCCTCATCCTCCCAATCCCACGGCCCAACGACATGATCGCAACTCGATGACCGGTTCCCATATTTCATTTCATGTGTGTAGCTATCTGCGTATATCCAACCCAACATCGGCGGGTTATCTGAAATGGTGGTCGCTAATCCTAAGCCCCGCTTAAGGTGCTTTGTATGTTCCGGCTCCGGGTACTCAATATAGAACGCTGCCGCGGTATGTGAGGGTATTTTTCGCTTCGAGGGAACAGGATCATCAAGATAAACCTGTCAAGTCGACATAATCAGTCAGCTAGTCAGACTCACTTAAATACAAAACAAGAGGAGCAAGAACTATATCGCAGCGACAATGCCAATCGTACCTTAAAGTCCCTCAGCACCACCCGTAACCCATGGACCTCATCGTCAGGTTCCTCGTTCGGTGGTGGTGCGACATCGATATTGATTTTTGCCATACGTCGCTCGTCATTCTTCCTCTCATTTGCTTTGCGCTGTTCACTCACCCCCATGGCCACGCCGGTGACGGTGGGGATGGCGGTAATTGCTAGGAGGCCGATCACCATGTTGATTGCTCAATACTTTGCGCTTGTCGATATAAAGATGGAGGGTTTCCAATTTGACTAATGAAGAAGCGGTATTTTTGGAGAGCTAAACACTTGGAGCTAAACACTGAGCTTCATATTGGTTTGTATTAAGTAGAGGCGTAGAAGCGAATATCACTTATCGCCGGTGGCGGTGCCGAGCGTCGTCATATGTCATCGGTGGCTGACCTGGTTCGCTGCCTGATTGATGCCTGGCTCATCGAAGGCTCCAGCAACTACTCTCTATTGTCTCGATCTCGCGATCCATCTATCTACACCTAGTTCCCTCTACATGTCAAGACGGAGAGATCATAGCTTGTGTGTTATAGCTTCTCGGGAGTGTTTTGAAAGGTGCGGCATGCGCTCTATTTAATGTCCAGGTGCTCAGTCATACTGGGGCATGCTCATTGGCCTCCCAACTATGGACGCTGACTCGTGGGATGCTGAGTGCGAATTGCTACTGGTTCTGAAGAAGTCCATACCATTCCGCAGGAGTTATGCGGTTGAACAGACACGCTATTTAAGATCACTAAGTATCCAATATATGGAGTGGAAGCCTCAAAGGCACTAATATCGAATCCTTTCATCCCAAGACCGGCATGGTCATCCAAATTCGATCTTACAATGTTGTGATTCGACTGTCGTGGTGAATTGGTGCAAACTCGCAATTATGTGTGTGGACTGAACCGTTGATATTCGTCGTGCCCCCCACCATAGGTATGTGACATTCAGGGTCGGGAATGCTGCAGAAGTCTGGCAATGTCATTCCCTGGATCTCTGGCGAATTGGTCGTTGTTCGGCGAGATGTCGTGAGATACAATTAATTAACATTATAGCTTAAGCCAAATCAGCTCGATTGCAGGCATGGTATCGAGCCTATGCATATATTGACAAGCCGTCTCGGATTGCTTCACGTATCGACTGTCGCGAATACCACCGCATGATTCATACGAATGTGATGCAGCAGCAAGGGGCAGCAGCCCCAAAATTGTTTAAAACAGGCATTAATCGCCTCTCGCAATGACAGACATGTCATTCTCTCGTATAAGTCTAGATAAACCATAAAATATCCTTGGAATGAAGTCTTCCGCAATGTGCAACTCTTCGCATTAGATTGCGGCTCAAATAAGGACCTGACTGTGATACCATCCACGATGGACAATGAAGGTAGAGGTAAGCTTAAACACCATTTCCTTTCCTAGTGCGAACCTTGTTTAGGCCTTTCTGTTGGCGTCTTGAGGTCCACCATGATTGACTATACCAAGCACTGCACCGTCAGCATCCGTATGCGCTTCCCGCCTGGTTTGTAGCTGAGAATGTCAAAACCAAGTCAGAACATCGGACAGGAATACGCCTACTTAGATATAGTAACCTTAGTGCTCAAGGGGATGAGGAAGCAAGTCCCTGTACGGATACTGACGGAGTCGGTAGAAGCAAGAATGAGGACGACAAGGACCAAACGAAAGCCGTGGATGAGTATGTGTTCCAAGAAAAGCGGTACGCGGAACTTTATGACCTTGCTACTGCTGCTCTACTCAGCAAGACTTCATTTCCTAAAGTGAAGCGATGCGGCATATGGCCTTGCATGGCTGTGGAAGTTGGAAGTTCTGCCTGCGCGACAGCCATTATAGATCACCTAGCAGGAGATATGGGTGCATCCTGCATCTCAGCAGGGCCCGAAGATCTGTATAAGCTTGCTCGTGAATTTCATCAACAAGACCAATCCGCTCAGCATCGCGATGACCGCTCCATCCGTGCAGATTCCATGTGTCGGGATGAGGATAAGCAATCAATATTCCCTGATGAGATGGTAGAGCATGCCGGTTCAGATATTGGTCTCAGTGATGACAACAACGACACTGATTACGCCATAATTGATGATAGAGATCGGATGATCAAATATCAGTTCGGAGACGGGCAGAGTCTACGGAGTCAGTGTTCAATAAAGTCTATTTTGAATGCTCCTTTGGCGAAGATTGAACAGAAGTTCTTGCCATGTGATTCTCACAGCATGGCTCCGAAACAAGGTGCTCCAGTTATACTCCACATTCGCAACTCTTATGAGATTGATTGTATCTCCTACCGAATCTTGGGCAATTTTATGAATGCCATCATGGAACGTTGGAGGAATAATGAGCTTGTATTGCTTATCGTCAGCGATATGAACCATGACTCCCGACGGCAACTCAACATCGTACCTTCTTTTATTGTTTGGTTCGATGATCCAAAGTCACCCAATCACAGGATTGCATCAGAAACGGAGAAGAAACAGCGTGAAATTGCGAGCAGATTTAGAAAATTGAAGGGGTCTATACGAGAAAGGCTGCCAAAAGGCTTTGGTTCCGAGTTGCTATCCGATGCCGTACACTTGGATATACCAGATACTTTGCTAATTAACTTCCATGATGATATGGACTACACGCTGATCGCTTGCCAAATTTTGGGTCGGGTTTGCATCAAAGGGGCACTGGAACTTAGTGACATCTTTGAAGTCTTACGGCGTCTTAATAGTGAGGAACCGCCGCCACCAGAACCCCCCAAAAATGGGCTTATGGAAGTTGAGGAGCCCAGCTTCACCGGAAAGGTTGATGCAATCAGGAAGAATTGCAACAAGTTCGAGCTAGGGCTTCTGAAATGCATTGCCGATCCAGGTAAGTACGTCTATTCTCAGTTTCCGACCCTAGGCTAAACGGGTAGCAGCAATTCGGAAAGTAACCTTTGACGATATCATTCTGGAGCAAAATGTGAAAGACCACATAAAACACTTGGTGCGCTTGTTGAGAACCCAGATTGACGGTTTCTCTGAGACACTTCTGGAAGAACCAAGAGCTACAGGAGTCTTACTTCACGGACCTCCTGGCACTGGGAAGACCCATCTAGCTCGTGCTATCGCCAACGAATTCAAAGCGACCATGCTTTGGATCAAACCAGCAGACATCGTGAGTGATATTGCGGGGGATGCAGAAAAAGCAATTCATGCCGCGTTCACACTAGCAAAGAAGCTATCCCCTTGTATTTTGTTCATTGACGAAGTCGATGCCTTGTTTCACCGTCGCTCCGCTGACGATCAGTCCTGGCGACGAACGGCCCTGGCTCAATTCCTCCAGGAAGTGGATGCACTATCCCGGAGTCAAGATGCAACCTTCATTCTCTGCGCGACCAGCCGGCTTACAGATTTAGACGAAGCTTTCCTGCAGCGATTCCCTAATAAGGTTATGACAAAGCTGCCCGGCGAGAAGGAAAGACTCACGATTCTGCAGACATTCCTTAAGAGACCAGACACCGACCCTGAAGTCAGCCTAAAGGCTCTCGCACGTCAAACAGCCGGCCTATCTGGCTCAGACTTGCGGTCACTCTGCAGACAAGCTGCGTTGCACTTTGCTATGGATGAAGCATCCTCGCACTCACCCGGTAGCGCAATCAAGACTCCGACCAAACTTCATCTTAAAGCCCAGCATTTCATTGAGGCTCTTCGGAATATTAAGCCCAGTGTATCGAGGGGTTCTCAGACCGATATAGAAGCGCCCAGTCGTCTCGGTACTCGTGGTAGTATAAAGGTATGTTCGCCTAGCACACAGTTCCTCACGGCTTAATGCTCATTGAAGTATAATTGTAGGCTGGTCAGAACGGAGGGAGTGCAGGAAAAGCGACGACAGAACCAAGCATCCCAGAGTCCCCTGTATCAGACCACGAGACTGCTTTTCTTTAGACGTGACAAAGAATGGTGACTTTGCTGGTCACGGAATGCTTATAGTTAGTTGGCTGGAGCTTGGCTACGTTCAAACAAGATAACTAAGTTAATAGTAATTCTCAATTCTGCCCTGAAGACCCACAAATGCCGGTAACACAGCGTTCACTACAGGAACAGAAAGCATTTGTCCGAGTTGACGTGGTCATCTGCCTCGGTGCACGTCATCTTTCACTAGTGTCTCATTTTGAACAATCCAAGCATCTACTGTCTTTCTCTATATACCTACTTCGCAAGCATTCTCAAACTGAGTGTCCCATGTATAAGAGAATCGTGGCTCTATTCCAGCATCTTAAGTATAATTCTAAGCAGTCGATCAGTCTACGTCTAGACTCTATCATCGTGTCTCGTTTTTCATCATGACGTCGTGGATAATATCTTCCCTCCCTAGAGCTTCTCGCTCCATCCCCAAACTGACCACCAACACTTCACCTCCAACGCGCCCCCGTCCGCCGACTCCCAATCATCATAGCCAATCTCCTCGCCCTCATCCACCACCGCCAGCCCCAACCGTCCCATCCGATCCCGCAGCTCCTGCACCTGAGGCAGATACGCATCCCGGAGTGGCATTTCCAGCACAACACGGGCATCCAGCCCCCTACTCAGCCAATGCGTGATCGTGTCGACCAGCAACTTTGGATGACTAGGCGAATACAACGGATCCGCAGCAAGAATGAGATCGTACTGCTCTTGTGCAGTGGGCAGCGGGTCCGGGGTAACGGTCCAATCAAGAACACCCGTTGTGACGGCACCGCCCGTCCGATTGAGCAATTCGACGTTGAGAGCCGCGTTGTGGGCCAGGTTGGGCACAATGTCCGGGAGGTCTGTGAGATGGATGGTGGCTGAGGAGCCGCGCAAAGCGGCGAAGGAGAGGCCTACGAGCCCTGTTCCGGCGCCGAGTTCGAGGGCGCGGAGGGTCTTGTTGTTGTCTGGACGGAGTTGAGGAGTGGTGGAGGTCGAGGGGACGAGGTTGGGGGGCGATTCGAGGAGGTTGTGAAGGCGGCGGGAGAGGAGGTATGAGGAGACCCAGGTTTTCATGCCCAGGTTGTCGGCTGTTAGGGAGGGTTCGTGGAGGGTCAGTGTAAATTCTTCGACTTCGAGTCCATCGGATGTGGTACTAGGGATGCTGAAGACTCGGGACATGGCGGGCATGGCTATTCGCTCGAAGAGCAAGACATCATGTTAGATGCGGCAAGAAAATGAAGCAATGAGCACTACAAAAAGACAATATCAGTTCTGCGTACCGGTTCGACCGGAGCGCTCGCTAAGTCGGGCTGCAGCGGCATCCCAGACGGCCTCTCGGAGCTCGTCAGTGTCGAGCCATGCCAGCGGGCTGGCGATGATGGATGTCAGATAGCGGGTCACTCCAGCAGGCTGCACGGTCCGGCCCTTTGTCGCTACATGGGCTACGGGCCCGAAACTCCGCGGTTTGACTGTTAGTAGGTCGAGAGCTTGAATGAGCTCAGTGCCGGAGGGTTTAGTGTGGATCTGAGGGAGATCGAACACTGAAGCAGGCTTATCAGTACATTATCGCCCGAGATGTCAGGGGGCACTTCCGAGGAAGAAGACGTACCGTGGAGAGGCTCGTCGGGATCGGCGCTTATCATGGTGCAGAGGTCTGGGGGGCTGATTAGTCCGACTACGGATGGTGGTAAGTCTATGCAGAAAACGGGGAATCGAGACTCCAGTCTTATATCGGTGTGCCTGTGGCAAAATAAGATTGGGGGGTTCTGGATGCAGGGCAGCAAAAAAAAAAGTCGTGATTTCCCAAAGAGGAAAGGCCGGCGGGGACTGTTCCGCGGATCGGATTCGCCGCCCCAAAGTTGAATCGAGATCAAGATAAGAGCATGGATGAATGGCAAACAAGAGCAAGCGATCTTCTAAAGCAAAAAATAAAACCTAATCTCGAATTTGGTATTGCACCCCAGACGCCAGGCACCATTCCACACCAATGACAGTGAATAACTCCCGCAAGGCCGGTTCAACCCAAAGTGGCCTTGAATCCCAGGTATGCTTGTTCAATGTCGAACGCCAACTCCCGAGCCTGGTCTTCACCGAGTTCCTCGGTTGCACGCATCTGATTCAAGGTGATCAGCCACTGGATGATCTTGCCCCGGTTCTCGAAATCGACATCGGTGACTTTATTGACGGATTGGATCACTTCCGACAAAAGCGGGTGCAGTGCGTCCTTGGACACCATGTTCAGCTTCAGCGCATCCAAGAAGGTGATGAAATTCTCAGTAGCCGTCAATATCAGACTACCAGATGCTCCTGCAGGGCCTGCTGCTGCTGGAGCCATGTTCGCGGCGGGTGTGCTGTGGGAGGCTTGTTCGACTGTCGCGGGGAGGCCAATGCGGAGACGTTCGGTGGCGCGAGGGCATTCCAGCTACACGAAAGAAAACCAGGTGATCAGCTATCGTCTTACTGTAAGCACACGATAGTAATACTCACCTCCCAGGTGCGTTTGAAGGTCTCTAGATCGACGAACTCATTTGCAACAGTCTCATCACCCAAACTGGACTTGTACTGCTTCAAGAGCCGGGTACATGTCTCCGTGTACTCTGCTTCCGTAACCACATCTTTGATATAAGCTTTCTCCAGGCCATCCAGAGTGACGATGATGCCGTAGATTTCAGCCAACGACTCGTAGAGATCCCGCTCCGCAGCGCTGGAGGCTAGTTTTACTTCCTGCCGCAACAGTCAGTCCTAATCTAGCAACACTCTCCAACCTCCAGACAACTCACTTCATCAAGGTTGATAGACGCCGCCAACGCTGGGTTGGGCGTATAGCTATACGGCGTAGGGGCATACGCCAACGGTCGCTGGGTATACATGATGGTGCGATGAGGGGGAGAGACGACTGGCATCATCGCGAGGGGAAGGGAAGGCGGTCACCATAACGGGGCTCCACTCACCGCCTGATTCTGCCGCGGGATGTTTTTTTCGTCTCCAGATTTTTCTTGGACGGAATTTCCGCGTGCTCGAAGTATCTCGACTGTCGTCGTGGTCCTTCATTTTACTTTTCCCACACGTTTTATCCTATCCATTCGGTCGGGTAGGCAAGGATCTCGGGCACAATGGCCGGAGCTCAGAAGAAGTCCACCAAGAAGTTCGAAAAGAAGCACCTGAAGGATGTTCTCGAACGCCGGAAGGCCAATGCGAAGATCAAACAGCGCAATCACCTCAAGGACAAGCGTAAGGCCGATAATGCCAAAAACCGCGCCGAGAGGGAGGAGGCTACCGAGGAGAGCCCTGAGCAGGTTCAAAAGCAGAATGCTTTCGCCGATATGAATGTCGACGATTTCTTCGCGGGCGGGTTCGATATTGCTGATTCTGCCGCGGACTTGAGCAAGAAGGCTCGGAAGAAGGATGTCACACCCAAGATTGGCAAGCGCAAGCGCTCCGATGAGCAGAAGGAGGAGGAGGCTTCTGCTGCTTCCAGCGCTGAAGAGGAAGGCGCTAGCGACGAAGACGAGGACGCCGCCTCCCAGTCCAGCGACGCCGATGAGTTCGAAGCACACAAGGACCAGCTCGAAGCGCTGAAGGAGAAGGATCCCGAATTCTACAAGTACCTGAAGGAAAACGATGCCGAGTTGCTCGATTTCGGTGACCACGGAGACCTTGCGGAAGTGGACGAGTTGAGCGAAGGAGAGGAAGAAGGACCGGCCAAGAAGAAGAAAAAGGCCGCCAAGGAGGAGGAAGAGGAGACGATTGACAACACCCTCACCATTGCGATGGTCAAAAAGTGGCAGAAGTTGATGGAGGAGCAGCACTCGATCCGCGCGATGAGACAGGCCGTCCTTGCTTTCCGCGCCGCCGCTCATATCAACGACGACGCCCAAGAGCAGAAGTACTCGATCTCCGACCCCGACGTGTATCACCAGGTCCTGGTGACAGCCCTCAGCACCATCCCCCGGGTTCTCGCTCACCACCTCCCCGTCAAGGAGACCGCCTCTGGCAAGATCAAGGTGTCTCTGGATTCGAAGAAGTTCAAGACCCTCACGCCGCTTATCAAGTCGCACACATCGTCGGTCCACGAGCTGCTCACCAACCTGTCCGATGAACAGACTTTGAAGCTCACCCTCTCCTCCATTGAGCCCATGCTTCCCTACCTCCTTCAGTTCAGAAAGCTGCTCAAGGTCCTCATCAAGACCATTGTCGGCATTTGGGCGGACGTTGCTACCACCGAAGCCACGCGTATCACGGCTTTCCTTATCCTCCGCCGCCTCATGATTATCGGCGATGCCGGCATCAAGGAAACCGTCCTCAAGGCTTCCTACGAAGGCGTCGTCAAGGGCAGCCGCAACACCACCGTGCACACCCTCCCTGGCGTGAACTTGATGAAGAACTCCGCCGCAGAGCTCTGGGGCGTCGACCAGAACGTCTCCTACACAACAGGCTTCAACTTCATCCGCCAACTCGCCATGCACCTTCGCAGCAGCATCACCAACACGTCCAAGGAATCCTACAAAACCGTCTACAACTGGCAATACGTACACAGTCTGGACTTCTGGTCCCGCGTCCTCTCCCAGCACTGCGACGGCCTCGCAGAAGCCAAGGCAGGCAAACAATCCGCCATGCGCCCCCTCATCTACCCCGTCGTGCAGATCACCATCGGTGCGATGCGTTTAATCCCCACAGCGCAGTACTTCCCTCTCCGCTTCCAACTCACCCGCTCCCTCCTCCGCCTCTCCCGCAGCACGGGCACCTACATCCCCCTCGCCTCTAGTCTCCTCGAAGTCCTCAACCTGTCCGAGATGCGCAAGCCCCCGAAATCCAGCACCCTGAGGCAACTCGACTTCAACACAGCCATCCGGGCACCGAAATCCTACCTGCGCACGCGCGTCTACCAAGATGGCGTGGGTGAGCAAATCGCCGAACTCCTCTCCGAATTCTTCGTCCTCTGGACGAAACACATCGCCTTCCCGGAACTCTCCGTCCCCATTGTTGTCTCGCTGAAGCGCTGGCTGAAGCAGGCTAGCTCCCGGTCGGGAGGTAACAAGAATGCTAAGGTCAATCAGATGATTCTGCTGCTTGTGCAGAAGGTGGAGGCCAATGCGCGCTTCATCGAGGAACGCAGATTGAGCGTCTCTTACACGCCGAGGAACCGTGCTGAGGTGGAGACGTTCCTGAAGGATCTGGATTGGGAGGCCACGCCGCTGGGAGCTTTCGTTAAGTCGCAGCGGAAGTTGAGGGAGGAGAAGGCTAAGATTCTTGAGCAGGGTAGACGCGAGGACGAGAAGCGGAGGGCCCAGGAGAAGGAGGAAGCTGGGAAGGATGTCATTATGGATGATGTGATTAGTGAGAATGATGACAGTGAGGATGATGATGAGGAAGTAGAGGATGAAAGCGAGCCTGGTTCGGGTGATGATGGTAGTGAAGATGAGGAGGAAGAGGAAGAAGAGGAGGAGGACGAAGATGAGGTTGAGTTTGAAGAAGAGGAGGATTAATCTGTTTAATCTCCTTCTGTGCCCCTTTTCTTTTCTTTTCTCACTGTCTTGTTATATATCAGTCGTAGCTTTATGGGATATATCTTGTCTGGTCTGCTGGTGTCAATATAAAAGTTAGATTTCGTGTAAGTGATCAATAGCTATAATGGTTGTATTGTGCGCCATGCTGTACACTAATTGAAAGTGAGCTGACAGTTACATGTGCAAAACTTGATGGCATACGTATACTCTACCACTAGAATAAGACTACAAAATAACACAGACAATAAAATCACAAGAACGATAGCAAATCAAGAATAAGAACAAGCAATCACTGCAACCAAACCATACATCACTACACCTCCCCTCCTTGTGGAACATCACCTTCAACATACCACCCCATCCACAAATAACCTTCAAGCAACCCATTCAAAAGTGAGTGAACACTTAAACCGACCCCACAGGCATTTTATCACTCCCCCAAGCACGAGACTGCTCACGTCTCATAGCAGCATCTTCCTCCTCCGCCCACTCAAGGGACTCATTCGGTAGCATGACAGCGCGATCAATAGCGACCGGAAGACCCCTGTGGCGACCGCGCAGCATAACAGCCGCCAATATAAGTTTGCTGATAGTATGCCAGGAGCTACAGAACGAGGCATTCGAGCTCGGAAAGCCCACACTGATGCCGACGCAACCGTAGGCGGAGACGACCTCGAATATGATATTCAGGGTCGAATATGCCACGGGCATGCGGCTGTAGTTGCCTGATTCCGCGATGGCAATGAGGAAAACGGCGAGGGCGATCCACCAAAGGTCATGGCTCAGTTGGGAACGCAGTTGCTGGTGGACGAAGTAACTGCGGGATGCTTCGGGGGTGGATGCATCTTGTCGTCCGAGGAGGTGGTGTCGGACTAATTGGATGAGCATGTTTGGTGATGCCTTCTCTTCGGTCTCGTCGTCCGTGTTGTCGTGAGCGTAGATTCCGAGGGAGCGCTCTTCGTATACGTTTGTGTTTCTGTGGTTGTTAGTGGGTGGTTGGGAGGAAGGAGAGGAGCGATTGTTACTGACCTCATGGTAACCAGCACTGGGTATGCTGATACATACTACATATAAGGTTAGTTTGATCTGTGTCGACTACAAAGCACTAATAAACTGACCATCATGAGAACTGTGGAACGTTAGTATAATTCTGACCAAAGCTTGGGGAAACAAGTGCTAACCATATAGAACGAGTAGTCCCTGACGGAGATCCGCAATCGTAACGACGTAGAAGCCTCCCGCTCGTACAGCTAGACAGCATAATGTGTCAGATGAAGATTTGATCCATAGCAAAGTTAGGATGTATACGAACCACAAGCCTGGAACAGTCCGTCTAGGACTCGATACCCTGTTGGCAAGCTTTCAATCTCCTTGTTTCCGATTGAAAGGACTTCGAAGCCAGCCCAGTCGATCGCATTCAAGATGATAATGGTACCGAGCAAGTACCATGTATGTCTTCTCGGGAAGAGGTTTGTGTAAACCTGCGCTTAGGTTAGCGTAGGAAACTGTGAAGAAGCCTGGAATCCGGCGGCATACCCTTCTAGGATGGTCAAGGATGAAGTCCAGGGTAACCTTCCATGTCGCCCATGACGGCTTATCTGGGATCAAGCATCTCATTACCCAGATAATAAACCGCAAAAAGCATGGGTAAAGCGTATTCCCAGACAGAATTAAAAATGCCATGGTAAGCAAAGGGTACGCACTATATAACGATGAGCATGCTTTCGGGCACAATGCACACAGGGGAGATCATACTTTGTCTGGAATGCAGTCATATTCGCATCCAAGAGCGACATGCCGCTGTTCACAAATGCAGACACAGCAAAAAATGCGCCTGTCCAGAAAGGCGATAGGCCGTTTGCTCGAGGTATATCTGGATGATTCACAGCGATCCAGGTACCCATCCCAATGATACCACAAACGAGGAACAGGATCCAGTAGAGGGCAACAATGACCAGTAGTAAGGAAACGGCCTTATACTCGACACCTCCCAGTCTCTCTCGCTCTTCAGGGGTAAGCCCATGGAACTGGGAATTTCGTGCGATAGATCCTTTTGACCTAAAGTATTTTTGTGTGCCCTTGATAAGGCCTTTGAGGGCAGGTAAATCTGTATCTCCATCATTCTGGGTCATTCTTGGCGCAGCATCTCGGGGGTGGTTGTTCAAGTCAAGACGGGCCCCAACGCCTACCATGGGGAAAACGCGGTGGTGATGATGGTGCTTTTGACGTGCCCTCATATGGCTGAGGGTGACTTGATCATCGTCGACCCATCGGATCTGGTCGTCATCTCGCACGTCGTTGCACTTATCAGCGGGTGCAGCTCCTGCTGTCACCGCGTGCTTGACATCAAGGGTAGCACTGTCAATCTTCGCCAGCTGATAGTGTTCCTCGCAGGCAACACTCTCTTGGATTGGTTCAAGTATGGTGTCGTGTCCTACCAGTTGTTGCTGTAGTGCTTTACGGGCACGTTCAAGTGATATGCCTTTAAATTTGGCTTGAAACGCGCCCATCCTGACGAAGAGCACCGTAATTGAGATGAGAATAGCATGCCCCAACAGTAAGAGTGCGAAGAGGATAGACTGTTGGAACGAATTCAGGGAAGACAGGTCGACCTGTTACGAGTTACTTTACTAGCTCTATCGAGGGATGGGGAAGCAACATACGGTATTTAAGCCAGCACCCGTCATGGCACTGATGCATAGAAATAGGGAGTCTGTGTATGAAACACTGCGCCGCGGAGTCGAGGAGCCCCAGAATATGACGCTGCATATCAGAGACGTCGCAATGAAGTATACATAATGAAGCGTGAGGAAGTTAAATGGCGGAAGCATGGCAATTATGCTTCGACTCAGAAGCTGCCGCCAGCCTCGAGCTAGGGATCCGTCATGTCAGTAATTGAGAACCACTAGATTGCGGGATGTGAGATGGTGGATATAGTAATCCTTCTCCTCTTTCTTAGATGCTTGTGGCTGCTTTCGTAGCCATGATGACATGCAAGGGGCAAAGATGCAGGCCATGTTGAAGGACTACAGCGGGAAATAAAAGGCAAGAGGCATTTAAGCAAAGACCGACTCACAAGTCATGCTGGCAGGCTGCGACGCGCGCAAGTTTTGTCAAGAAGATCAGGCGGCTGTGGGGGGGCGCGCACACCGCTAGCCACAAGGGTTTTGCAAAAATTTCTGAAGGGTTCTTAGACGTGTACGATAATTCATGTTTCGATTTCTGGTCAGTTGTGGCATAAGCAGTCCAGTCAAGGTCACTGAGGGTGAGATGACCTGAATGGTAAACAATATGAGTGGCTAGAGGGCTTTGGTGTCGACGCAGTGCTACAGTAGATAGCAGTTAATAGTAGTAGACACAGGGTTTATCTTCGGCAAGGGTCGCGATAGTAGCTTGGGTAAGGCAAAACAAAGTTCGGGGTTTCCTAGTTTTGTGATCTGATGGTCAAACTTGGAAAGATAAAATCGGCGAAAAAGCGTATGTTATTCCATTGCAGCGAACATTTCGACAATAAGACTCAGGTTGTTTCAAAAGTTGTTGTGTTTGTAGGAAAGAAAGAGCGAAAAAGCCTGCGGCAAAGAAAAAACGGCTGGGATTTCGTGGGACGGCAACGTGATTAAGCACTTGCGGGCCGAGATTTGATCTTCGCCCCCACTGCATTCGGCTTCCATTTCATAATTTCCTGTAGGGCTCTTCCTCCCCCTGTCTTCAAGGTGGGCTGCCATCTAAGGATGAGAATTGCAGTCTGATTGCTGTACGAAAACATATAATTGAATGGTGGCTGCTCATGCTATCCTCCAGCCCAATTGTTCACCGCTCTTCTCTGGGTCTGTTCTTGGTGCTTGATTGCCACGGGTGCCGATGTTACCCTGTGCCTGGATATCAGACGAACATTGCGAAACAGTGACCTGGGCAGTTTGTGTCATACGCATCGCAAGCCCAAGTCATCAGTCATGGCCCGCACATTCACTAATTGGAAGCCAACCTCAGTACTTCTGCAGTTTCCTTATCCATTGTCTTTGCCAGGGGAACCACGCAATTGACCTTCACGCTCGATTCAACCCATTCCTGTGTAGAAAACACCTGTGTTCCAATTTTGCATTAGTTATGGGCTCATTATGTCATATTATGGGTATCTCACAGTACTTTGGATTCTGTAGTTGGTGTAATGTCATACAAGGTTGGGGTTGTCCTGACAGTCGATCCCGCTACACATGCGAGGCTAAGGTCGTGCACTTCTCGTGTCAGTTTTGATTCCTTAATAATCCAGATATCAATGAGATTCATACCACTCCTGGTGACTTGTGATTGATATAACCCGATCTGTTGGCGGGTATGATTGTGGACTGGTCACTCATAGCTGAGGGCATTTTGCAGAGAATTTGAATGGAGCTCCTGTATACTGTCAAGAAGGAGAACGAAGTGAAACACCATATGCACGCAATAGATAGCCAAATGTATACTCAAGAGTTGACATGAACATAGCTCTGGAACAACATATTGAGGGAAACAGAGCCGCACGCGAATGATCCCTGGAAGTGAGGGGTGACAACAGTCAAGATTCTGTCCCAAACAGGAATAGCGAGCCTGTCACTGTACGATCACGAGATATCGTAATTTGACTATAACCTGACTTTAACTCAGTGAATTTATTCCTGAGCAGGCACGGAATAGCGTCATTGGCCTTAAAAGATCACCTGATAATCAAACTTCTACTGCAACAAACCAGGCATTCATGATTTACAAATTTCTAAGCATGAAGAAGTGCTGTATGTCAAAATAAGTATAAGCGTCAATGGTACTGCATTATCCACGCACATTGGTGATTACTCCATAATTAGTGCAGTCATACTGGTTCAAGTCCTCAAGCCTGATGTAACCCCACTCCAACTGCGCTTATTCCTCATCTTAACGCGGAAGCAGTTTCCTCAACGTCGAACATATACTGTTATCGAACATAATTTCTTCATAATGTTCTACACCTCGGACAATCACATGCAGCAGATTGAACTTGAAAGTTAAGGAGAGCCAGTCTAGCCCTGGAAAGGAAACCTATGCGAGCTTGTTGGGTTGGAAAGCGGTAAGCCGCAACCATTCTTCAGGTGTCTTGTAGATCTCCAGACCCAAACAGTCAATCATCTCTCTCCCTCCAATATCCCCTCCAACGTATGATTGGCGACTGCTAAGCGACAGGTATGCGAGTATGGGATCTGCGGGTGATCCTCGGTGCTTTCCATCTCTCCGAGGCACAGTAATGCGGGGTTTACACGTTCCATGCGTTCAACATGCACTGCCGGGCTTCATGTGCCGAATATTTAGTTTCCCTCTCGGTCTATCTTTTGCTATTTTGGGTGAAAGAGGCTCCCACCATGATCGATGTCAGGGTACACTCTATGCTCATCTGATATTTTGTTGGGAAAAGTGATCCGCTATTTGATACTTGGAATTATCAATGTGATGCAAATCCTTCACATGAAGGTAGTCCCCCGAACTCCAAAGCTATAGTATAAAACATCATGGCCTCAATTTCTGGGGAAGGCATCCCATGGTATCAAAAAATTAACATACCGCCATCATGACTTTTGCGAGCAACCCAAAAGACTCTATGAAATCTACATGGCGTACTGGCAACCGGGACGAATGGGGCTTCAGTCACTGGCTGCTGGAGCTGCTCAATGTCCATCCCATTGCGCTTGACCAGGAAGTCCCCGTCCATTCAAAGCAGGACAAGCTACCTTATATGCCTCAGTGGTCTCTTAACATATGGGTTCTCTTTTATGCATCTATCCCGCTTGTCATTAATCAAGTCTACATCTCATATATGGCCCACAACCTCGGCCCATTCGCTCTGTTCAACCTATACTTCTTTTGGTTCAACGCAACGGTCATCTACCAAGTTAAACTTCTTCGTCGCCTCGGACACACCTATGGCTTCCTTGACGGTGACCAGCATGAGCGTGACGGTATTCCCGATGTTGGCGTGGGGAAAGTTACCGCCTCGCTATATAAGACGACCGGCTCTCGCTTAGTTATGGCGATCTACCTTTCCTACTACAACCAATCACCCATGGCCATGAACTGGACGTGGCTCCCACTGATGATAGGTCTCTATGGGATTGTGCTTGACTTCTGGTTCTACTGGTACCACCGCATAATGCACGACGTTAGCTTCCTCTGGAAGTATCATCGCACCCACCATCTCACGAAACACCCCAACCCTCTCCTCGCCGCCTATGCAGACCACGAGCAGGAGTTTTTCGACATGGTCGGTGTGCCGTTCATGACCTACATGAGCCTTAGGCTCATGGGTCTACCTATGGGCTTTTATGAGTGGTGGATTTGCCATCAATACGTTGCATTTGCCGAGGTCTTTGGACATAGCGGTCTTCGTGTCCAGATGACAGTGCCATCTACACTAAGCTGGTTGCTGCAGTGGCTGAATGCTGAGATTGTCATTGAGGATCACGACCTCCATCATCGCAAAGGGTGGAGGAAGAGTCATAACTATGGCAAGCAGACTCGCCTATGGGACCGGATCTTTGGCACGTGCCATGAGCGTATCGAGTCTGTCGAGAGCAACGTTGACTATACGAAGTCTGTCCATATGCCTTTGTTCTAGACTTGCTGCAATTGGGCCGCTTGTATCAGCGCTCCAGCTTGTCTTATAATTGCAAGATTTCTACGATGATGAAGATGGACAATCCAGATATTATATGACGAGGTCACGACGATGATGAATAATACCATTGGCAGGACGTCAGCAGGACAGAAAGGTACAAGGTACATACAAAATGTGAATACTAGCTCCAGGTATTCCACCAGCCATATATATGCTTATAGTACTCCGTACATACTGCTATTTCAATTTAAACAAGGATACATAACTACACGTCTTCCCTAATAGAAAGGTTCCATTCACTGGTCCAATAGTACATCATGCAAGCGAAGCACAATGAGTATCTAACCACCCACAGCGCAACATTAGTGATACACACTATTACTAGATCAGCCTATCCTCAGACACAATCTAGAACCAACCCTCAACCCTGATCCTCCCACTTCCAGAAGAATCAAACTTACATCAACCCCAACTAAACCATAAAGCTTCCAATCGCCACCCACCTCATACCCGATAAACAATGACACCCCTTCTACGTAGCCTAGCCTAGGCTCCCCTTCCCCAACAATCCAATCCAATCCAATCCAGCACAGCACAGCAGCGCATCTAAAACCCGCACCGTAAACACCATCAAACCAAATCCAACCTCCACAATTGCGCAATCGCAAATCTAGACTCACCATCCCCCAAATTCCCAAACACACGTACGTGATCATGACACTACTACTCCCCTATGGAAACAGGGCGAAACCGCTCCCCCGAGCTACTTGTCCCACGGAAACCCTGCCATGTAAGTTCCCGCGTGGCGAGCCAGGTCAGCCAATATCAGGGATGGAATGCTGCATGATGGGGTACGGAGAACTTGTTTTAGGGTAGGATAATTGGATAATATTGTTGGAGTGTTGAGGCTCAGTATGAGGTTTATGAGAAAAAGTTAATTGCGAATTGCATCAGGATGCGTAGGTTTGTTGTTGATGTCAAATGGGTGACATTATGACTTCATGGGGTTGGGGATTCGTAGTATATATATGCTGGTGTTTTTGGGATTGAAATTGTGATTTTGAATCAAATCAGAATCAGATTATCTACTATTACCTACCATCAATATACTATAGAACACATTCGATAAAGGAATCAAAATGGCATCCAACTCCAACCCCGGAAACTTCGCCAACCGCTCCCATGACGAAGTGTCGAATATCGCCAAGAAGGGCGGCCAGTCTAGTCACTCGGGCGGATTCGCCAGTATGGATCCTGATAAGCAGGTATGTTATTGTTATATATTCACATGTTTTATTCATGATTATTGTTCATGAAAGGATGACTGATATTATATTTAGCGCAACATCGCATCCCAAGGTGGCCAGGCCTCTAGCGGTAGCTTCCAACCCGGAGACCCCAGAGCCCGTGCTGCTGGCCAGAAGGGCGGATCGAGAACCCAGTACGACCAATATGATGAAGATGAACCTGAGGAGTAAATGATGTCTCTACTAAGTGGAGGTAAACGTTTGTTTATGATCGTTATGATATGAGAGGATAAGGGCCCTATTTATTATTAATTATATGAGAAAGTGTATGTACTGGCGCCAGTATACATAAAGGCGAATATGAAATGTGTGCACACAATTATTGAATACTGTTCTTTGATTTCTTCAAGACCATGAAATGTGGAGGATAGTATGGTTTGGTTTGTGGGGTGACATCACAACATGCCGTTTCCGGTCGCTTCAACTCAACGCATCATGTGAGGTCATAATATTGCCCCTTGGATGTCATGGAGTTGTATATTCCTCGTAACTTCTGGAAAAAATGGTATGTGGTGGCGATGGTTACAGTTCTAATGGTCCAAGTGCTACAGTAAGCGGCGGCGTTGATGTTGCTGAAAATAGTAGAGCTGCGAACGATAACTTCGGTTTGAATAGATGCCTAAATTCTAGACAGAGCTGGAGTGGAAGTTGAGCGAATTACCTAAGCGGCACGTTCAGTGAGCTAAACATGGTACAGAGCAGATCGACCGAAGATTGGTTTTGCTCACTCATCCTGGATGAGTTGCTTCAAAAGACTGGTTCGGCGAATGAAAAGAATCACAAGTGCACAGTCTTCAATTCTAGCCTTAGGTATTGCCAATTTGCGCCTGCGCCAGACCAAGGCAGCCTCGAAGAAAGCCTTATAAGGCTCGGCAACTGAAACAAGCCTCCAGCTCAAGGATTCAGGAGACCCAAAAGGCAAAACTCCTACGGGCCGAAAAAATAAACCTTTTAACTCTCTTTTTCTTCAGCATCCCAGTCGTGTGCAGTCTCAGCCACAGATCTGCAAATAGATACAAAATACTCTTATCCGTAGCATGAGGCAAAAGATTTGCACGAGGCTATTCACAAGATCTGCCATCGAAAGGGCGCTAGGCAATGGCAACGGTATAGTTTATCGTCTCGGTTTCCTATTAAGGTTATCGTGATGCTGCGGTGCCGGCTGCGCCCATCCAGGGGTTGCTGGACACTAGGAAAAGATTTGCTCGAACTAGTAGAACCTAAGGCCCAACTCAAGCCTCGAGTGCCGCATTACCGGGCCTAGAGACGAGCAGAACACACTTCAATTCAATAGGACCGTTTTGATGCTCGACGGAAACTGTGCAGTCTCCCTTCTGGGACTGGTGGAACGGTCCAGCGATCGGTGGTTCTCCGTTGGGACGAGTTTCACCCATTGTCCTTCAGTAATTCGGATTTGAAGCAGAAGTTACAACTGCATCAAGGCCTAGAATTGAATTCAGCAGGTTAAGTTTCGGCCGGATCAGCAATTCGTGGCCACCTCTGTCAGGCCATAACCATCCCCATCGAATTTTAGTCATCTAATGATTACCCGTCCCGCGATGTTCTTTTTTGAGTATGTGCGCCGGAATGATAAGATGCCACTGGCGCTGTTCGGACATGGGCGATACGCTCACTGTTTAAAAAAGTACCTTTTGTACAACTGTCTTCGAGGAGTGAAACGGCCCTAAAAAGCCTTAAGTGTAGCCGGGGGAGAATCCTTTGGACGTCCAGAGGAGAAGTGGATCATGTCCTTCTTCAGCGCCTAGTATCTAAACGGTTAGATAGTAGCCCACCTACTAGGAGTCTAGAGCCGATAGAAAGAATAGATACTCAAAACTATCTACTCCATGGATAGTGCTGGGATGGGCGACCCGAAAGTTTCAAAGACCGAACTACTGGGCGCGAAGCGAGAAGGGCAAAGAGTTGAGAGTGGCTCGTAGTGGGCTCTCCCCAGGGCCATCGGCTCACAGTCAAATCACTGGGTTTCTGCTTTTCTTTTCCATGGCAGGCTGGCGCCAAGCTTTGCTTCCGGAGCTAACCTTTGTCGGCCAGGAACCGGGTTTCTTACCCACCAGAATTCCACACCGGCGCATCCACACCAGGGGACCAGCTCTTGAAGAGTCGAGATCGAGGTGCTCAGCACTATTGGCCATTCTAGAACATCTTGATGCATCAGCCAGAGAGCCCTGGAAGTGGACTCGCTCCCCTCGACCACACAACGACTGTGTTGATATTCTGGTTGTTGTTCGTTGTTCCCCATTGTCCCCTCCAGAGGCCTCCCCTCCCCTCTCTGTCCCATAGATCGATTAATCACATTGGTGAAGACTGAATGACATTCCAGACCCAGGCAGTCTCAGCTACATTATCCACCCCTTTTTGTTTTCCAATCAATCAAAGTGCCGATGTGGATTGGTGGACTCGCGGAAACTGTGATCACAATTGCTGTGAACAGATCGCAGCCGTCGTTTAAATCATGGCGGTCATTGGCTCTGGCTGAGCCACTAACGTCATAAAGTGGTGATACATTGGACACTCCAGGTGAACAATCTTGCAGGAGACTACTGTGATTGGTGCAAGCACATTGTCAGGAATTGAGATTGTGCTCACCTGTGCCGCCGTTTCAGTGCCTCGGAGAAACAGACTTGAAACGGCAAGGTGTCAGAAAGGGAGGCAAGAGGGACGGGAAGACACAATAATACCTACTTGGTCCGTCCATGTACAATGGGGGTGAGAAAAGAGACTTCGGGGCGACCATCTAGGGGGCGGCTTGCGAAGAAAATCTCGCATGCCGGCTTTCACACCTCCCATTCTCGTCCAAAGTCACCCGACACAAAGTTGTGCGGAGGGAAGGACTCCATTAGGTTGGCCTACATGCTTCTTGTCTGCACAAGGGATGTGTACTACTGTAGAGTGTATGCTGGCTGGTGAGAGTTGGCCGATACGGTCAATCCCACACCTGTCAAGGGGGGGAGGGAGTATACACAGTGAAAAGTAAACAAGGCCCGGGGATCTTATCGACGATCTCCTGATTGCACCAACTGTAGAATTAATCCTGTATTCTGTTTGGTAGCATTCAGCGTTCCTGCTTGGAGTAGAGGAGACGGGCGAAAACCGGTGCGACTAAGCCCGAACTACCCAAGTAACTCAGGGAGGGAGGGAGAGAGTGGATTCCCCCCTAGTAACCAGCAGTGGAGTAGGGTGCTGCTCCCCGGAAGCCCTAACCCACTGAACTTGCCTTAGTGCTCAAGGGGCCAACCAATCTTCAATGGAGTTGAGGTGGGGCGGGACCCAGTAGCCGCTGAGTCAGCCAGAGGACGCGCAAGCCTTTTTAGCTACCTGAAATTCTGGGTGGATTTCTATTCCTGGCGTGGAGAAGAGTTGCCCATCTGGTCTCTTCGCTCTGCTGTGTTGCTGCTGCTGCTCTGCCCACTCGGTCTTGTAACGCTATCCCTCCCTCATTAACTCCCGTCCGCCAACCTTGGTCGATCCCTCCCTCCCATTTTATCCATCGTCTCCTCTTCCTCCTCTCCATCAATCACTCCTCCTACTATCACTATTATCCCATATTCACCCATCTAAATCCTCCTTTCTGTTTTTCACTTTTCCCTCTCCAACGCTATCGTTACGTGTATTGTCTTTTCGATATCCCTCATAGACCACTCTGCTTCATTGCTTACTAGTAACCCTCCTGCATCGATTCTCTCTCACCCCTTTCTACCTCGGATCAACATCACCCTCTCATCGTCTCTCGTTATCAAATCCACACCACCCCTTTCTCTGCTCCGACCGTGCACTTGACCAAATCGCGCTGGTCTCCGCTCTCGTCTATCAGGTCGCGCTACTCGAACAGCTTTTCATCTACACATCATCATCATTACCATGGCTACATTGGCAGAGCATCCGGCGGTTGCGCCATCTTCCTTTGACCAGGACATCGAGTCTTTCCTCGACCTCGATCAACTAGCATACACCTCCGCAGAGCCCGCCCGCGCAAAGACCGCCCTGGCTGCTCAACCCACCCTACCAAGCACCGAGTTCAACGCTGGCGATGTACGAAGTGCTGGTTTTGCTTCGACAACAAGTCAACAAGCCCCGGTCGCATTCCAGGGTCCCAGTCACCAGTATGATGAACACAAGCAGCAGACCGGCCTGCCTCCAGGTGCCCTGGCTCATGCCATGACTTTCAACCACATGAACGGAATGGGATATGGTGCCCCGAGTCCCGGTTTCCCCATGGGCGCAGACCTCTACCCTAGCAGCCAACTCAAGCGCGAAGAGCCTCCCATGGATTTCAACAGCCCCCCGACTCGCAACACCTCGGATATGGACCTGGAGTCCGACAACATGGGATCGGTTCCTGCCTACTTCATTTCCCCCAACCCGAGCAACAAGAGTCAGTTCGTCGACCCCAACGCTTTGGGCGGCCATGAGGTGGCCTCCATGGGTCCCTCCACTCAAGTCGGACGCATGTATCCGGGTATGCACCAGCAGCAGGCTGCCATGGCCAAGGCCGCTCAGCAGCAGAAGCACAATGAGTACCTTCGCCAGCAGCACCTTCAGCAACAGCGCCGTATGGACGAGCACATGCACCACAACGGAGCCCCCCACAGCCAGACCCCTCGCCCCTCCAACCCCGCTGTTGAGGAACGCATCTCCCGCCTCTTGCAGCAGATGCGCCAGTCTGCATTGAACTCGCCTGACGACTCCCCCTCTCCCCCTTCCCTCCTGCCTCAGATGGCCAAGGCCAAGAAGGAGGAGCAGGATATGGATGAGGATGAGAGACTCTTGGCCAGCGAAGAAGGAAAGAAGCTCAGCAGTAAGGAACGTCGTCAGCTCCGGAACAAGGTTTCCGCTCGTGCTTTCCGGTCTCGCAGAAAGGGTATGGATCCAATGGTTGTTGGTGTAATGGCCTGAACATGAAGTAACTGACTCGTTATCTAGAATACATTGGTCAGCTCGAGAGCGAGGTTGCCGCCAAGACCAACGAAGCCCACGAACTGCGTCTGCAGAACCGTTCCCTCTTTGAGGAGAACGCTCGTCTCACCGACCTCGCCCGCATGCTCCTGTCGTCCCCTCACTTCTCTCAGTTCCTGGACGAGATGGGCCCCAACGGTCTTCCCCTGCCGAGCCAAGTGCAGTCGCAGCCCCACCCTCAGCACCACCAGCACCCTCAGCACCCGCAACAGGCCCAACCTCAGCAGCAGCCGCCCCAGCAGCAAGCTCCCGCCATGACGCAACCGCCTATGCAGCAGGCTCCTCCGGTTGGTATGGTCATGGTTCCTAACCAGGGACTCGATGTCTCAGCCATGGGTATGAACAACGGTGGCTGGAACTCGGGTATTGACATGAACTACGGCAATGCCTCCGTGTTCGCCGTTCTGGAAGTCCCTGAGCCCGTTATTGACACCGAGTCTCTCTCTGGAAAGACCTCCAGCATCGTGGACTCTTGCCTTCCCAGCGTTGCCAGCGCCAAGGACGAGGCTCCTGTTCTCGCCTCTATGCCCCCTGTTGCCGAAACCGAGCACAAGTCGGACATTGGCGTTGAGAACCCTGATGTCGTGATGGACGAGTCGGACCCTGCCTTCGCCCTCTTTGCCGATATGCCTGCCGCCCCTACATCGCAAGGATCTGTGCGTGCTTTCGGTGGTATCGCTACCGGAAAGTCGACGTTTGAGCTTGTTGTCGAGGGCGAGGTCAAGGACAGTGCCCAACAATTTGCTCATCTCTGCCACAGCATGGAAGCCGCTTTCGAGCGCGTGTCCATGATGACTGCTCATCTTTCATGATTCCCCATGTCGCGCACTTTCGAGCCTTATAAGTACTGTAAAGCTGATTCTTCGTTTTTTTGCCTATCTACCTTCTCGCTAGTGGTTCGAAATACTATTGAACCTGCCATGTAGACACCAACGTCTTTCCTTTGTCAATGATCTTGTGTTTATATACTTCTGCCCACGACGTGGCTTATTTCTGTCTACGCTTATTCTTTCTATTGCTGCTCGTCTTTTCTTTTTCTTTTCTTTTCCCTATCTTTTCAGGGGTTCGACGGAATGGCTTCTGGTGTCTGGATGAGGGAAGGCTTTTGGGATTGGAATTTGGGAGCTTGGAATTATGGATTGTCCGGACTGGCTATTAGGGAACAACATCAAGATACAAATTAACTCCATATCAAAAGTTGAATGACCTTAAAAATCTGCGAACCTTTTGTATAGATTGTATCACGTAGATCACCAGAGGAAGACTACTATTTGGCGCCGAGGAGCTGCATGGCTTGATGTGAACGATAGCAGTGGTGGGTGACAGTGGCGATCGTCTCGCCGCAGAGGCCCGAGAAAAAGTTGCCGGGCGGAGAAGCTCTGCGACTCATCCAAGTCAATTGACAACCTCTCATCTCCAACCATCTCTTTTATCTTGCTTTTTCTTCCATGATTTGTATGAGATGACGGACCGTTGACACTGCTTTCATTTATCCTAACCCAACTGCATCCCCTGTCCCATCAAGTTGGCTTCCCTTCTGCGGTCCGCGGCGCTACTCGCCAGTGTTTTTCGCGGAGTTGCCGTCGCTCCCAGACGTCCCTCGCCAGTCCTCCTCCGAACTACGATCCCTCGAGATTTTCGGAGCTATCAGAAAAAGGCTATATCCCAGAAGCGCGATTTTGTCCCGAAGCGTGGGCCGTCAGCGTCCATCAAAAATTCTCAGAGTCGCCATTCAGTGGAGCCGGGCACTTATCTACTGCCTGCCCCTCGACTACCTTTCCGACGCGGACAGAATTTCCTCCTCTACAATCCCAAGGCTTTTCAGACATCAGGATTTGGTCCTCCGCCGACACCACCGACGGGCAATCCCCCAATGAAGTTCTACTACGAAATCCTGACCACGCCCACGGCCGATACCCCAGGCACTACGGTCCTTCTTCACTTTCCGGACAAGCGTTACTTCTTCGG